ACCACTATATATATATATATATATATATATATATTCCCACTGTCGCTAACAGCAGAATAGAAGGAGGCAACGTCAGCCAAAATGAATTTGCTACAAGTAGTTCAAACCTCTTATGAGCCCGGGACGTACGTGATGGACGGATGCCTGTGCAACGGCGGCTCGTCCCTCGCCCTCGCGCTCTCCACGCAGGCAATCCGAATCTACGACACCCAAAGAACCACATTCTTGGCTGACATCAAGGAGCACACGCAGCCCATCCGCGACCTCGCCTCGACCCCCGCGCAGCCAAGTCTGCTGTACTCCTGCCAGGAGGACTGTGGCGTGATGGTGACGGACCTGCGACAGGCCAAGGCGGTCCATTTTGCCACGGATATGTGCAGCAGCGGCGCCACGTGCAGCAGCATCAGCATCTCACCGTCCGGGTCGATGCTGGCCGTCGCCGCTGACCGGGATATTCACCTGGTAGACACCCGCACGTGGACCTCCGCGAAGTGCTTAGAGCAGCTGCACGTGGACGAAGTCTCCCGACTGCGTTTTCTCGACGAGCGAGTTCTGTGCTCCGCCGGTGAGGACCAGATGATCAACTTTTTGTGTGTCGCGGACGGCGTGATCGATGATGACGTGCTGCTTCAGGCCGTCAACTGCGGCGAGGCCGTATCGAGGATGAACTGCTTTCCCGAAATCGGGCTCGTCGCCATGGTGGGGACGTGCGAGAACGGGTACGTCTTCCCGTACGATCTTGAGCAGAGGGAAACGCGCTACGCCCGACCTGACTTCGACACGTATCTCGTTGATTGGTGTGTGGTATCGGGGCAGTTGCACCTGGTCTCTGGTGTGCGGGATGAAAACGGCGACGTAGGCCCGTTGCAGGTGCTGAACTGGGCCACCCAACGCACGCAGGTGCTGCCACGTGTGCACAAGGAGCTGGGGCGTGTGGCGATCGGCTTCGGCAATCGCCTCATTACGGGTGGCGAGGACGGCATGCTCGTGTATTGGAAGGATGGTGAGCTGCTGCCGTCGGAGGTGGCGATGTCGGCCGGATCGAGTGCGCACCACACTGGAGGTGGGAAGACATGGGCGACGGGTCGGCAGCAGGGCGCGCCGTCTGGTGGCCGTGGTGGTGGCCGCGGTGTTGGCCGCGGCCGAGGCAGTATACGCCGTCCTGGTCGTGGGAAGCCGTACTAAGAGCGCATTGGTATTCTCGCCCTTCCCCAGCGAAGGCATCCTTCCAGCACGTGGGGAGTAAAGACATTGCTCTCTCGTTCCTATTTTGATGTTACCCGGTACGGGCTGTTCCGGAGACGCCCTACGCGCAGAGGAACGTCTAAAAAGGAAGCCGCATGATGTGTTTTCGGTGACATTAACTTCTCTGCCTCTCAGCGTTTAAGAGCTGTATTTTAAGGCAGCGCCGTGTTTTTTTTTAAACACGCAGTAACAACGATAAAAACAGCAGGAAAGAGAGAGAAGCAGTTACGAGAACAGAAAGCAGCATCTTAGTGGAGATTGTTTGAAGTACAAAAGAGGTTTAAAGCTTCCAGGCTCGAACGAAATGCGACGGCCCGCAAATTGTTTGTGCGTTGTTCCCTTCTTTTGAAAGCTTGAACAGAAGTTTTTTTTCTTCTGCACATTTTTGGCTACGATACAGTTTTGCGTATCGCGGCGGGCTTCTTTTATAGATGCGCTCTCCTGCGTTATTTGCCTTCATTACCTCCTCCTCCTCACACACCTTCCTTTTTTCTTTTTCTTTACTCTGCTCTTAAGCTGTGCAGATATCAAAGGAACAACAACAACAAAACCGGCGGATATTTTTTGTTGACAGCCGTTTCGGTTGCTCTCGCTTTTCCTCTCCAACGCTTTTATTTCTCTCATTGTTTCGCGTCTTATGTTGCATTTCTAAGAGCTTTTGGCGTTTAATTGCCTGTGTCGTTGTTTTTCATCTATTATTATTACGATTATTATTATTCTTTTCACTCGTGGAAAGTCGTGTCTTAAACACACTCGTTTCGCTTTAATCTCTTCTTCCTTTTCCTTTTTCTTCTTGTCGTGTGTGTGTGTGAGGCTTTTCCGCGTATAGGCTTCAGCACTCCTCCCCCTCCCCCCCCCTCCCCGACAGGAAACACAAACCGCCATGGAAACCGGCACTGTCCACCAAAACAAGTTCAAAAACAGCAGCAACAAAAGAACCTAAAGTACTAAGTTGCTTTTCACATGTCCACGACGCTCGCGTTGGAGCCGTACCATACACCTATGGAGGGAGAGAAGTCGAGTAGCAGCGCTTTCAATGACGCCCCCTGCAATGTTCGATTGAGCGATATTGAAGCCGGTGTATCAAACGTGCCGGCGGCATTGCAGCCGACCGACTCAGACGCCGCGACTGTGCTGATCCAAACGGCAGATCTCTTGGCCACCGCTGCGGGAGAGACCTCCGACGACTCTCCTCGGCAAAACAACGCGTTCTCGTCTTCCGCGCCGAAGGCGATGGCTGCACCGGGCAGCACGTCGACGTCGACGTGCAGCGCGCACAAGCCGGCGGTGCTGTCTGTCTCCCTGCGTTCTTTGAATGCCGATGTCGATGTAAGGAGAAAAGAGCCAGCTCCTCTTGGCAGTGACGCTGGCCGTTCCGCCGCCCCTGTTGTTGCCCCTCCTTGTTCGTCTGCCCCTTCCTCCTCCTCTCCGCCTTCTAAAGCAGTCACTGCGATGAAGGAGGCGTCTCCGCTCAAAGCAGTGCGGTCGCCTATCGTTGCACCGCGCACTTCGCCGCTGTCAAAGTCGCACAAGACGCCCGCGAAGCCGTCAGGGACCGCTGCAGCTCCTGTCGTGCCGACGCTGCAACTCTCTATCAAAGCGTGCGAGGACGAGGTGACACCCGTCAAGACGCTGTACAGCCGCCTCTTTCACGAAGCGCAGCAGCGAGAGCAGCGGCAGGCGCAGGCACAGCAGAAGCAGAAAGCAGCGCTGAAGGCAGAGGAAAAAGAACAGTGCACCTTCCGCCCGCGTGGCGCCGATGCGTTTGGCAGGCCGTCCTCGCCAGCCTCGAAGAAACGTGCTGCTTCTGCGGGCCATCGAACACAGACGGCGACGGGACCAACAGCAGCTGCGGCGCCTGTCCCGCCGTCGTCAAGCCGTGCGTCTCCTCCTCCCACTCCCTCTCATCATGACGGTGCACCCGTCGCCGCGGAGGAGACGGCGGCGTGCGAGCGACTGTTCAAGAACGCCGTCCAGGCAGAGCGGTGGGCGCGGCGACGGCAGCAGCTGCTGGACGCCGAAGAGGAAGAGTTCCGCAGCACCTGCCCTTTCCACCCCTGCGTGTCACCACGTAGTGCGAGTCGGCAGCGCGGTGTGAGCAACAGCCGCCGCGGCCACGAGGCAAAGGACCGGTTGCACGACGGAGGTGACGAGGGCGGCAGGCAGGACGACGACAGCGCTGTACGGGGAGCTTCGCTGAACCGGTCCGGCACTTCACCGCGAGATCAGCCGCGGTTGTGGGAGCACTTTTTAGCCGACCAAGAGGAGCGCCAGGCCGCCCATGAGCGTGATCTCGAGGAGCTGAAGAAGAGGGCGGCGGAGCGGAACCACGTGAAGCTGTACACCGGTGTACCCCAGTCCAAAGCGAGCGAGCATCTCAAGCGGTACCTCGAAAAGAAGAAAGGCTACAAAGGCCCGATTGAGGGATGGGCAGAGCGATTTGAACACTATATGAAGGTGAAGCAGGCAGCAGAGGCGGAGGCGCCCACCACAACCCCACAGAAGAAAAATTCGGCCACCAACCACGCGGATGGTGATGTTGCACGCACGCCGGTGTCGGGCCGGTCCCGTTCACGCACTCGCAGCAAAAGCAACGGCGCAGCTACGGGACGAAGCCCCAGCGTCTTCCACCGCCTGTACCACGACAGTGATGAGCGGGAGGCGATGCGCGAGTTAATAAGCCTCATGAAGGAGCAACAGGAGCAAACAGAGTTCTTCAAGCCAAATGCTGGTGAGGCGCGCATGACGGGGAGTAAGGGAAACGCGGTCAACACCAGCAACGGCAACGGCAGCTGTAACCTCCTCCACCACCAGACACCGCGTCGCTCGCAACCCTCACCGGACCAGGCGGTCGCTGCTCGTGAGACGGCGGCTGCGGTAGCGCTCGCTGCTGGTGCTGCTGGCATGAAGGCGCAGGATGACACCGCTGTCGACTCTCCCCGTCAGCATGACGACCCAACGACGCAGTCCATCTTCGACACCCTTTACGCGGAAAAGGAGAAGCTGCAGCGGCGACGTGAGATACGACACCTGCAGGCGCAGAACAGCGCAGAGGTCTTCTCCTTCCACCCGCATGTCAACGCACGCAGTCGCGAGCTGGCGAAGGACATGGCGCGGCAGAGGGCGTGCGGAGGAACTGTTGAATCGGTGCGGGAGCGACGCGCCAGAGAAGCCGCACAGGCGCAGGCGCAAGAGGCGGCACGTCTTGCGCAGGTGCAATTTCGCTACGACTCTTTCGCCCATCGACAAACGGAACGTGACCGCCGGCGGCAGAAGGAGCTGCTGCGCGTCCTCCTTCAAGAGCGCGGCGACGACGTCGTGGCCTGCCGATTCCGCCCTGCCATCTCCGAGGTGTCGGAGGCCATTGTGGAGGGCAACAAGAATTACACCCAGGTCATTGATGATCCGCAGGTGACCCTCAGCTTGATGAGACAGCGAGCGTCGTCTTCATCTGCGTCGAAGCCTGCTGGGCACGACGCCAGCGCGCTGCCGACCCAGGCAGAGAAGTCACCCGCGCGCCAGAGTGCGGCGAAGCAAGCTGCAGAAGGTGGCAGGTCGACCAGCTCGGCGCACGCACCGCCTTTCCTGACACCGGTGCAGGCGCTGGCCGCAGACGCTGAGGAGGCGGACCGCAGCATTGACGCCGGGGCCACCGTGCAGTGGTACGACGCCCTCTCCGCCCCTGTCCACACCCAAAGCGCGACATCATCGAACTCTTCTGACACCGATCCCCACCGCACCGAGCACCACGAACAGACCCACTCCCTGCCCCACGCGCAAGTAGGCTCTCCCGATGCGAAAGGGAGTGCTACAGGGAATTCCGCACAGCGCGGTGACGTGGGGGGTGAGTTGGGCACTGTTCACATCGCTGGCGCCGCTTCTTCGGATTACTTGCGTCAGTTAGAGTCGGAGCTGCAGGATGCGCTGAAAGATTGGTCGCAATGCATCTAGGCGGCGAGGAAATGATGTCGAAAGGGAGAGCGAAAGCGGAATCGTTGGATCCGAAGATGCAAGGCCTGACTATTTTTTTCTTCAATGCGCGTATATGTCGGCAAACTACTTGACCCCGCAAAAATTGTGTTTTCTTTTGCCCTTTCATTGTTCTTAATAGTATTACTTTTTTGGTGATACCGCATCTGTGGGTCACCTTGAGTAGTGGGTGAGAAGTGAAGGAAACCGAAAAGACTGTTTTCAAGCGTCTGAAAAATTGGATTAAGAAGTGAAAAGCAATGCTTGGCGGTGGTGGAGGAGAGTGGTGTTACGTTGTGGCTGCAAGAGCAACAACGCACTTCATTGTTGGGTTTTTTGCGTGCGTTGCGGCTCTCTCGCCGTCCGCTGAGCGAGAACACAAAAAGGTGAATGCCACGAGCGCCTCGCTTTTTCGTCTACCAAACGTCTACTCCGCAACGAGCGTCGGCACTTGAATTGACGAAAATAGTTTTCCTCTTCGCGTCTCCTCTCTATCGGTTTTTTTTTTAAAACTTCCCGCTCTTCATTTATCTACACAAATACCCCCCCCCACACACACACACAAAGTTGCTTTCCTTTGGTCATGTCTGCGAGCACCGCTGTTCCTGGCTCGTGGCGGCGCCACTCCACCAAGGAGTTTACCGCCCTTTTCTGCTTGATCAGCCTCGTCGTCTTCCTCGTTCATCAGACGACTCTAAGCCACGAAAAGGCCGACCTGCCCATGGACCGTGTCCTGGCGGAGCTCCAATCCAGCTGCCCGGTAGCCCTCCGAGATGGCACCGAGGGTGCCGTGGCAAAGCTGCCGCCTGCGTTTTTCGGGCTGGGTGTGTGGGTCGACACGCCTGCGCTGCTGCCCGGCGTGCATGCAGCACTCGCCTTGATGAAGGAGCGTTTAGCCGGTGACGGCGCTACCGCCTTCCCTCCGCCCACGCATAGCCTTCACTCCTTCGTGCGTGTAGAGTCGCACGCGCGTGACACTGCGGTGGCCGAGCTCGTGGCGGATGCGCACCGCGACGGCACGGTCGACGCCGACCGCGCCAATCGCAAACTGGAGCTCGTATCGAGTCAGCAGCAGCTGGGGATGCTGACCATGAAGCACGCTTTTTTGCCGCAGATTGGGCAAGAGATCGAGCTTCACGGGCTTTCCCTCTTTAGCGTGCCGGCGGAGGTGTTGCCGGAAGGGTCGAGGGTGCGGTGCTACGTGGCAGAGGCACTCCAGGCGTACTGCGCCTTCCCTGTGAACACACAAGTTCGTGATGAAAAGAGTGACGAAGATAAGGAACAGGAGGCGCACACAGCAGCAGCGGCTACTGCTGCGTCCATCACCGCCGCCTCGTACCGCACCCACGCCGACTCACTCGAGGCGGAGATTCGCGCTGCCCTGTTGTCCGTCATGGCACGGCAGATGGAACTGCGTTCTTTCAAACCGGCTGACGTGGCTGCGTGGAAGCAGAGGCGAGAGGAGCAGGGGTGCGTGTACACCACCGCGTCGGTGAAGAGCACGTTGCGCTCCATCACGGCAAACGCGAACATGGTGATTCCTCTCAGTACGCGGCACATGTTTGCGGATTTGGAGCAACATGTGCATGCAAGAGCCTTCGTGCGTGCCGCACGGGCGGCGGATGACCTTCAGTTCCATCCCTCGCTGACACCGCAGCTGTACATCCCATGGGATCACTCGCTGGTCTCCCAGCTGGTCATCCTCCTGCCGATAGTGTCCATGACGATCCTTTCTCTGCGATTTGTGATAGATGAGCGCCGCGCACGGCGGGCGAGAGCCGCAGCTGCGGTGTCGCAGGCGAAGAAAGTGCAGTGAGGGGAGGAGACGACGACGCGTTTTCTTTTTTAAAATCCCTTTGAACCGCCGTCAAAGAAAAAAAAAAGCAGCGGGTAAGGGCTTTGGCGGCGCGGTGTTGCGTCGTTAAACATGCAGGAACAAGTCTGATCCTCTTTGGAAAAGCAACAGCATTGTTTGGCATGCTTTTATATTGAAAGATGCTCCCACCTCCCCTTTTACGATTTTGCTGCCTTTTGGTGACTTCAGTTTTGACGTATTCAGTGCTCATGTGCATATGGCAAACCAACAGAAATACGAAGAACACGATTGAGGTCGATGGAACTGTTTCGCCACTTCGCCGGCGACTTTCAGAGGGGAAATCTGTACCCACTCGGGACCGCTGTGCGGCCATTCATGTGAGAAAACCTTTTTCCTTTGCGTTTACCTGACAAACATTCTCATCGTCCACAACAGCGACGACATCAACTTAAGAGGACATCAGCTGCTAGAGGCAAGCGCACACGCGGTTCGCTGCTTTTTGTTTTTCTGTGGCGTCGCGTGCTTCTCTCGACGCTTCCCATACATTTTTTCTTCTTTCCCTCTCTTGTCTCCTTCAGTTTCCATCGCCGATTGAAGTTTGCTTAAACAAGCGGATCAGACGAAAGTTGTCTGGTGGAATAGGTGTCTCGTGGCGCAACTTTGAATTTCTTCTTGCGGGGAGCTCCTTCTTGCAATGGACGAGAATGCGCAGGCACATCCCGGTGTGCGAGTTGGCGCGACGTCCGTTATTTCACGCATGATGTCGCACAAACCGCCAGCGCAGCGCAATTCGGGCATTTCCTCCTTCAATACGTCCGCCACCAACACCGGCGCCGCGGCGGACTCGCACAGGCAAAGTCGCACTCAACGGCACGAGGGGGATGGACTAGCAAACAGCAACAACATAGATGTCGGAGGCGGCCGCGCACCTCCCGGCTCCAGTGACGCAGCTGCCGCACCCACGTATCACCGCATCATGATCGACGGCGACGAAGGCGACAAGGACTACCTAACGAGTGTCGGCATCATCGCCAACATCATCCAGTCCCGCCAGACCTACAAGGACATCGACAAGGGACAACGCGAGACCCCACTGACGGTGGAGGAGGTGGAGCAGCGGTACCGCGACGTCGTGTCGTCCTCCTTCTCGCCTTCTCCTTCCCAGTCGTTCAGCGGTGGCGGCGACGCTCTTTTGTCAGGTGACGCGCGTGGAGCACAACAGCAGCAGCAGCGCCAGCCACAGCAGCAAGGGAGGGCGTCAGCGAGCTTAGATGTGCTGATGGGTCTTGAATTCAAGCGAGGCACCTTCACATTTCGCGACATGCGCACCCGCATCGTCTCGTGGGAGCAGTACGTGAAGGACATTCGGGCAGTGTACGGCGCCATCGAAAACGGACCCTGTCTCTCCTCCGGCCGCGCGCGTGTGACGTCCATAGCTGAAAAGTTCCGGCTCTACTCGCTGCTGAATCAAGAAATCGAAGGCAACTGCGATGAGCTGTTCCGCGACGGCGGCGTGTACGCGCCGTGCACCCGAGTCGACAACAACGTCAACTTGCACACCTCCGTCGTGGCGCCGGTACTGTTGGACTACGTGGTGACGACGGCGCTGGAGCAGCCTCGCATGCCGCTTTACGTCGATGAGAAGACGCAGCAGCCTGTTACCCTGGCCGGCTACCTCGAGACGGGCGGTGTACACGACCCGCGTGCGCTCACCGTGGAGGGGCTAGGGCTGCACCCCACGCTCTACCGCAACAAGTACCTCCCCTATGACATGTTTGACGCCAAGCTCAACCCAGCCGGCGAGTTTGGCGCGACGCTTCTCCAGGCGGTGCTGTCCACCGACGGACCAAATCAGGGCGATCTCTGCGGGGTGCTGCTGCGCGCGGAGCTGGAGCGACGGGAGTATCAAAAGAAGCAAGTCACCGCAACGGAAATGGCGCTGGAGGTGCACGGCTACCACCCAGAGGAGATGCTGCGTCTCGCCGCGTGGGTGCGGCGGCAGGGCTTCAACAAGTTCTCTCGCAACCGGTGGGTGCTGGCAATCAAGCGGCAGCGTCCCTCCTCGCGGGGGCCGAATGAGCTGCCCGACAAGTGCAACACGATCGGAGACAAGCTGCGCAATCTGTTCCGCCCGCTCTTCATGGCGACGCTCTGCCCCAACGACCCGCAGTGGGCGGACGTGGCGCAGCTGCTGGCGAACACGGGCGCCCTCAGCGTCTTCACGCACAACGTCGTGCGCATGGAGAACTTCCACACGGGAGAGGTGGACCCCGACACGGTGCCGTGGAGTGGGGCAGCCGTTCCTGTGCCGGGGCAGGCCGAAGTGCGCGTCGGTGGCTGCAGCGACTACTACTTCTTTTATTACGTGTGGGCCAACCTGACCTCGCTCAACGCGCTTCGCGTGCGCCTTGGACTGAACACTTTGCTTTTCACGCCGTCCGTGCACGAGCAAGCCCCCGCGTACGACCAGCTTGTGTGCTCGTTCTTGTTAGCGGACGTCGTGCACCACGTCAGCTCCCTCGCCAAGAGCTGGATCATGCAGTTTCTGTACATGTACTGCCGCATCGGTATCGTGCTCTCCCCGCTGCGCGACAACGCGCTCAGCACGGCCTACTTTGACAATCCCTTCCTGAAGTACTTCCATCAAGGCATGCGTATCTCCATCAGCACCTCCGACCCTCTCTACTTTCACCACAACGAGGTGCAGCCCCTCATGGAGGAGTACGCCACCCTCTGCAAGCTCTGCTCCCTCAGCCCTATGGACACGATGGAGCTGGCGCGCAACAGCGTGCTGAACAGCAGCTTCCCGGAGGCAATGAAGCGGGAGTGGCTGGGCGAGCACTACACCCCACTCGGTGCGCAGGGCAATGAGCTGCGTCGGTGTGGCGTGTGTGCGTACCGCCTGCAGTTCCGTCATGAAACTTTAGCGCACGAAGAGGAGCTGCTGAATCGCTTGCTTGAGAAAGCAGGCATCAAGGCTCCGGGCGGCGGCGCTGGCGGTGACAGGGACGGCAGCCGTCCGCTGGCCATTCATTTGATCCCCTACGCGCAATCGGTTCTCGTGTCGGACCTCGTGCAGCAGTCGCGGCACCACTCACGCCGCATGAACTACACCGATCAGCGCATTGAGTATCCCCGCATCGACATTTACTACGGCGGCCATCGGCAGGGCCTCGCGACGGATGCGGTGGTGGCCCTGCGGCAGGCGATCGGGATGCGCCGCAAGTACGCGGGCAACGTCAACCGCACGGCGGCGGACACCAACGTGCACGTCGAGGACGTCTTCAGCACGACGCACCGCTTCAACGAGGCGCAGTGGGAGTACAACACCTACTACGGCGTGTGCATCTTGTCGTTGCGCGGCAAGACGCCGTCGTGGCCGACTTTCCTGCCCACCATAACGGAGTTTATCCGCGACATGGCCACGATGCGACAGGTGGCCAACTCGGTCGCGCTTCAACGCCTGGCCATACACCGACTCAACCTCCTCGAGCAAAAGTTTCTCTTGCACTTGTCGATGAACGTGTCGAACGAGGCGGGGAAGAAGGAGGAGAAGGAGTGGAACAACCGCGACTTCTTTACGGCGTACAAAGTCGACACGAACGTCCACACCGACGCAGGGTCCAACGCGCGCACGCTGTTGGAGTTCTTCGTCGACAAGGCGCTGAATCACGGCGAGGACGTCGTCTTTGAGCGTCACCACCACCCCGTCACGCTGCGGGAGCTCTTGAAGGAGTACGAGATGGACGTGCACCACATTACCGTGGACGAGCTGCACCACCACCTCAGCACCCATCCCGACTTGCGTGGCATCTTTCTTTCACCCTTCAACTTCATGCAGGGGCGCTACTTCGCTGAGCTGACGAAGCGCACACTCGACATTTACGAGGAGGACGCCTACGGCTTTGCAGAGAACCGACTCACCATCACCGGGGAATCGGAGCAGGAGTGGTACGACCTGGCGCACTGGTTTGACCGCTACGGCATGGCCAGCTCGCGCAGCCGATGGATGGTGTGTTTGCCATGGCAGTACCGCCGCCTCCGTCGCACCGGCGCGCTCAAGAACTTCGGCGAGTTCCTCGACAACGTCTTCCACCCGTTGTGGGAAATCAGTCTGCACCCGGCCAAGGACACAAAGTTTCACTACCTACTGGCGCACATCTCTGGCTTTGACTGCGTCATGGATGAGTCGAAGATCGACCTGCCCCTCTCGGATGTCTCGCCGCACGACTGGACCAGAGACTTCAACCCGCCCTACAGCTACTACATGTACTACATGTGGGCGAACATCACGACGCTGAACGAGTTCCGCGCCTCGCGGGGGCTGAGCACCTTCACGCTGCGGCCGCAGTGCGGGGAGCGGGGTGGTATGGACCACTTGGTGACGGGTTTCTGTCTCGCCAACAGCATCAACCACGGCGTAACGTTGGCGCGGCACCCCGTGCTGGAGTACATGTGGTACATTGCTCAAGTCGGCGTGGCCATGTCGCCCCTCAGCAACACTGCCGGCGCCTCTGCCTACCTCGAGAACCCCTTCCCTGTTTTCTTCCATCGAGGGCTGAATGTCAGCCTTGCGACGAACCAGCCAATGTACTTCCACTTCACGCGTGAACCCCTCGTTGAGGAGTACTCCATCGCGGCGAAGCTGTGGAAGTTCGAGCTAAACGACCTCTCTGAGATTGCGCGAAACAGCGTCCTGCAGAGCGGCTTCTCGGCGGCGTGGAAGGAGAACGCGCTGGGTCCCCGCTATCAGCTCCGTTCCACCCTCGGCAATGATGTGCGTCGCAGCCGCGTGTCTGATATCCGCGTCGCCTACCGCTACGAGGTGTACCACACCGAGCTGAACTTTCTGGACGAGCAGCTGGCCGTTGCGCCACCGAGCTTCATGCAAAACAGCTCAACCAGCGGTACGAGCTTGATGGATCAGGCCCCACAAAAGGCATCCCGCACGTCGGCCTCTGCAGTTCCGAACGCGAATGCTGCTGCGGTCGCGGCGAAGCGCATGCCGCGCGCGATGAAGACGCTGGAGGAGGAGTTGGCGTTTTGCGGAGATGTGGCAGTGGGTACGCTTTGGCGAGGCATGTCCGTCTCTGGCATCTCAAGTGAGCCTGGCATTGGGAGTGTCAGTGTTGATAGGGGCGTCAGTGCGAGTAACGCAGGAGGCGTGCCGCTGATGTTCTCCTCGGGGTTCGTGACGCTGGAGTCGCGTGCCGAGCAGCTGAAGCGCGAGATTCAGCAACTCGACGCGGAGCTGACGCGCATGCGGGCCGTGTCGCTGCAGGTGGCAGGACAAAACAATTCCATTGCGATGCAGGTGAACGCCATTCGCGAGCGGTTGCGGACAGAGGGTTTGACGATTCTGGGCGGCCTCTATCACCCCTCTGAGGATGAGCGCGCTGACGAGACCACGGAGGTTGCGCAGCGCAAAGACTGAGGGTCTTACAGTGCGGAACATGGATGTGACGAGCGTGTCGAACACCCCTTAAAAAAAAAAAGAAACTCCTTCTCTTGTTGGAACGCGAAGATGTACAGAACAGGTATTAGCGAGCTGACACGTTTTCTCTGTGTTTGTTGGTTTCCATGGGCTTTATTGCGATGTACATGAATTCGCCTGTTTTGTTTTCTTCACTGCGCTCAAAGTCAAACGCAAAATGCAAAAAATAAACAGTAGCGCGACAACTCTTCCCAGAAACAACGAGGACCAGCTTGCATTTCGCGTACGTACGGGTTGAATGTATCCCACCACGGCTTCGACGGAGCGGAGCCGGCGAGTGCGAATTATCGTCGCTTTCTTCTCACAGCTGTACACAAGGGATCGTTTTTTCTTTTTGTTTTTCCTCAGGAGCAGACTTAGCAGTGTCTGATCCGTGAGTGGGGTGACACCTTCCGATTCTGTTAGCTCTCCTTCCTCTCTCTCTCTCTCTTTAAAAATAAAACTTCCTTCTCCTCTTCCTCTTCTTTCTGAATGGGGTTTTCGAAAGCCACAGAACAGCTGACCACAGAACAAATACCGCATCCAGGAAAACAGTCTGGCACACATTGGACCCACTGGCATTTGTTTTCCTTCTGCACTCAAACCCCATAGCTTCTTTTCCCGCAAACCCATTGCGCTAGAAAAGAAAAAGTAGTGTTGCCTTTTACCTTCTCATAAAGAAAACGAGCAGGTATTACGGCGCTGGTGTGTCTACGCATGCCATCAAGGAAATCCGCAAAGAAGGCGCTCGTTACTATTATTATTACTTTTCTCGTTTTGTTTTCCTGCTGCTCGTATTGGGCTGATTGTCTCACCGTCTTACAATATTTCAGCTGATCCACCAGTTGCGAGTTTTATCGATTTATTGCTTCCTGTGTGTGTGTGTTGATATTTGAAGACGCACATTTCGCGCTCTTCAAGTACTCCATACTCGGTGCCGCATTTTTTTTATCGGCTTTTTTTTCTAGTATTTGATCACATAAATATATATATTTGCTTCTCTTTTCAGAAAACTGTGCGTTTTCGGCAACACCGTTAACGGGCGCGTTGACTGTCTTGCCGCTGAGTACCGTTTCTTTTTCTCCTTGGTTGAGTTTCTGCCTTGTAGGGTCGTTGCTCTCCTCTCCTCTCCTCTCCTGCCCCACCCTCTTCTCTGTCACGATGCCGCCATTGCTGCACACAAAGGCAGGGTCCGTGGAGCGCACGGAGGAGGATATGAACTTGCTCGAGCCAAAGCGCTCCGTTTCCATACAGGACATGATATACGGTCAGGTTGAGTTTCCACCAGTCATTCGCCTGCTGACGGACTCACCCATCGTTCAGCGTCTGCGTGACCTGAAGCAACTCGGTACCTCTGTCTACGTCTACCCGAGTGCGACACACAGCCGATTTGAGCACTCCTTAGGGGTATGCTATCTTGCCATGGAATTGTATCGCTGCATCATTGACAGCCACAGAGAAGATGGTCGCGACTTCGGTGTGCCGGAGATTCTGACAGTATCGCGCGAGGCCGTTCAGAAGGACATGTACTGCATCGGCATTGCGGGGCTCTGCCACGACCTCGGCCACGGACCGCTGTCGCACATGTTTGAGTCTTTCGTGCGCTCTTCCGCTGGCGAAGAAGACGACTTCCTGCGCTTGTGGTCGCATGAGCAGTCTAGCATCTTGCTGCTGCGTCAGCTGTGGACGGACAACACGGTCGCGTTGGCGGAGTTTGGGTTCAACGAAACGGATCGCCGCTACGTGGAGCTGCTGATCAACGGCTTGAAGCCGGGCAAGCCATGGCCGAATGATGTGGGTCGCGAAAGCTGGGCCCGATTCACGACGGAGATCATCGCGAACAAGCGGAACGGGCTGGATGTGGACAAGATCGACTACATTCAGCGCGATTCCGTTTCCTGCTTCGGTACGCGGACTTTCACGTCCATGCGCCGCCTCTTTCAAGGTGCGCGCGTGGTGATGGACGCGGAAAAGGAGACCTCTATCGGGTTCCCCGACAAACTGGACGGCATCATCGAGGAAATATTTCTCGCCCGCGCACATTTGCATCGCATTGTGTACCAACACCGTGTGTCGAAGATTATCAATCTGATGACGCTCGACGCCCTGCGCGCGGCGGGCAACGCGTTCATGGTGACCAACAGCAATGGAGAGCAGTTGCCACTGCGGGCGTGCCCGTCCCGCACAGACTTTTACGTCCACGTAAGTGACTGGATCATCCAGGCCATCCTCCACAGCCACAACGAGGAGCTGGCAGAAGCGCGAAGCATTCTCCAGCGCATTCAGAGCCGCCAGCTCTACACCACCCTCGGCACTTACCGCTACAACGAGGCAACGCTCATTGAAGCAGCCCATACCCGCTCCGTCTTCGGGTCGAGTCAGCAAAAGAAACGCAAGGTGATGCTCGATGACCTGGAGGACGAAATCCAAGTTACAGAGCGGCAGCTGGCGGACAAGCTACGCAAGTGGTCTGAGGCGCACGACAATCTGCGCGGCATTGAATTTTTACAGGCGGAGATCACGCAGAGTGCCGCGGATATGGACAAGATGATGAACCCCGTGGAGGCCACTTACTTCTTCAACGCGCGCCAGTCCGCGAAGTACCGAGTGGAACCGCACTTTACCTGTAACACCACAACGTCGCTGGCATCCCAACAAGGACCAGTCTCCTCAATTGTCCTGGTGTGCCGCATGCCTCTCACACCGGGAGAAAAAGAAGCCTTACGCCGTAGCTTCAACGTCGTAGCGGATCGGTTAGGCACAACTGACATGAACACCTTCTCAAGCTCGCCGCCCGCTACGCAAGGGCGTGACGCCAAGCTATCGCAGCATGACTCCGCCACGCAGGACGCCCAGGCGCCGCCGCAGGCTGTTATCAGTGATTGGCCGAGCTCGCCAGCGGCGAAGCGGCTTAGGTTCGAGCCGGAGGGCTGCTTACCGGGAGCGACGCTGAATGATGTCGCTGACAGATCTGGCCTATTGGTGGATGAAAGCGCAGCGGCAGAAAAGAACGAGGAGGGGGAAATAGTGTGACGTGTGCTTGCTCTGTTGAGATGAGAGGAGGGGGGTGGGTGGGGCGGGGGCGGCAGCACACACACACACACACACATCTATCCACAAAAGGAACACCTTTCCCCTTGGTCTGTTCTCTTTTTGTTTTGACACTTCAATAAGGCCGACGATGACTCCCGCCTGGTTGTAGTGAAGGAACTGCCGTGCGCTCTGTATTGCCTTTACATGAAACACAAACGCTTTCTCTTCTCTGTTCTGCGACGCATGAAGAAGGTACGTAGACGATGGCAGATGCGCACAAACACCAGGGTTTTTTTTGAGTATGCTTGTGATTGCGCCTTTTACTGCTTCCTATCTCCCCTGAAGTATTTTGATATCGCTGTGGCCCAACCAACTTTGTTTCTTCTCTTCTACAAAATAAGTATTCACGGTAAAAAGCAAAAGCCCACAAGATCAACAAATATCAGCACTCACGTTGCTCCTGTCGTATTTCTTTTCTTCTATATATAAGCCGATGCAAAAGCCGTTTTAGAGAAGAAAAAACACGATCAATTAAACAGACCCCGTCAATCGTTGCCCAACTGAGTATAAAAGACTTTTATTTCTCTCTCTGAGGTGGCTGGCTATGCAACAGGAACTTCGCATTTGGTGTGTGAGTAAAATACGTTGGCTATTGTTTGTACTTCACTTTGCCTTGGCATTGGCGGAGGGAGGCATGTTTACCTGCGACAGATATGAGACGCCGTGCTTTCTTCTGTCTTTTATTTGAAGCCGTTATGCTTCCTTTTACTGCAGCTCTTTTCATCTTCTGAATTTCCTCTATGACAATTCTACCTTTTGCGTTAATGAAATCGAAACCCTCCCTCCATTTGGCGGTATCTGCGCTCAACTTGTTAAAGCCTGAGCGAGGAATGATTGGATTTATGGATGGGAATGAGAAGTGAATCGTGTCAGTGATCCTTGTTTCTAAACATTTTCCCTTTTCCTTCTTTCCCAACCGCAGTCTTCAGCTGTCGTATTCTCTTTTCTTTCTCTTCCCGCCCGCCCAACCCCATTCCGCCCCGCTTTGGAGGGGGCTTTGTAAAAGAAGGCTGCCACTTCGTTAGTAATCCCCAATAATCAAAATATCGAACTTTTAAATTTTTCTCAGCCAATTCACCAGTGCTTAAGAATTTATAACTTCCTGTTTCCCTAAGACAGGAGACTGATTATGCTGTACAATTTGGATCATCTTCAATCTAACCTTTACTTTCAAACTATTTTCCCCCTTCACCTTTCTCTACCTAAACCATCTAAAATTATTCCGCAATTGTATTGCTTTTCCGAGAGACGAAATCACGTAGTAAAGGAAGCAGCAGTTACTGACCGAACTGAGGGACCTGTTTAGATCGAAACTCTCTTTTTCAAGCACGGACCTCGCCGCTCGTTCCTTTTTTTTTTTTAGAGTCCCTCCTCATAGCAAATAAAAAATGCTGAACAACAACGGTGTAACTCCGAAGCTGCCGAGTGGGCAGCAGATGACTCACATGCAGCTACCGCCAGTGATGCAAGAGCAAATTCAAGCCATCGCCCTGCAAGTGCTGCAGCGCCTTCTCAGTCCCCTTTTGCGTCGTCATCGTCTGCGCAAGGCCCGTCTCCTGCTGCTGCATCAGTACCTTGCGAATCACGTGTCTGCCGGCGAGGTGGAGGCGGCGGCGGTGAGTGCCCTGCAACACGTTTCGTTTCTCGGCGCCGTGATTCGCGATGTGCACACGGCGACCAACGCCACCGGGGCAGACGGAGCGGGGGCGGCAGCGCGGTCGCCGACGTCGACCTACGATGGCTTTGCGCCTACCACCGCCTCCCCCACCGCCTCCGTCTCTTCGCCTGTGGCGAACTCAGCTGCCGCGGCAGAAATACGCGAGCAGGTGCGGAGTGCCATGGCGTCGAACCTCGTGCACCTCTCCGTGTACCTGCAGGAGGAGCTGGTGGAGTGGGAGTGGGAGCCGGCGAGTGAGGTGCTCGTCTTGCTGGCCGGTGCGGTGGAGCGGCGTGGCGCCGCGGTGGCGGTGTCGCAGGCGGTGCCCGCCAGTCCGTTGTCCCTCGGACACGGTGGTGGTGGTGGTGGTGGCTCTGCGCCGGGCACGCGCCGTCAGTCCGCTGTCGCCGCGCACATTCCCTCCCACAAGGGCAGCCTTTCCTACGGCAGACCGGTTGGTGGCTCACGCCGCGGCTCGGCGTCGATGCAGTCGATCACGAGCACGACCACCACGCGAAGTTTCCCGCGTCGGGCCTCCAGTGGGGCCGGTGCTGAGGGGTTGTTCCCCGCAGCGGGCGGCGGTGCTGGTCGGGCGCACACAAGCGCTCCAATGTTGCAGGGTGCTGGTGGCGCGCTGATGGGCGATGCCGATGTGCGGCAGCTCGCGGCGCCGCAGGTGTTTGGGGAGCTCGCCTGTCTCGGTGGCTTTCCGTACTGCGCGTCGCTCTCGGTGACCTCGCCCACGGCGATCCTACTGCGCATTTCAAAGGAAGTCTATTGCAAGATGGTGAGCGAGGCGGTTCCCCTGGACGGTCGGCGACGGCTGCTCGTCGAGGCGCTGCAGATGCGGGAGCGTCTCATGCCGTACTACGCCCCGCTCACTCCCCCCCGCCTGCTGCTCTGCCCTTTGTTGACACACCTGCGTCCGGAGCAGCTGGAGCACATACGCGACCTGGCCATCCCGCGCGTCTACGCAGCCGGCATGGAGTGCTGGGAGAAGGGAAACCCGCGCCACATCTTCTTTATTCGCCGTGGTGTAGTGCAAATGCAGCGGGATAGCGGGGTGAGTGGTGGTGGTGCTGCTGGGATGGCCGGTGCTGGTGCTGGTGCGGGTCTCAGCGCCCGCAGTGCGGCTGCCTCTGAATTCTCCTCGCAGCAGACGGCAGCGGCCATGTCGCGCGCGAGCTACTCGCTGGAGCTGCCGAAAAACCGATCTATACTGGTGGAGGGTCACACCTACGGCGAAACTGGCTGTATCTTCGGCGACTCCCTCGGCGACCGCTACACCGCCGTCACGCATGTAGACATGTACCTTCTCCCTTTCCAGGTGCTGATCCAGCTGATGAAGCAGGTGCCCCAGGTACAGAGCACGGTGTACCGCAGCGCGCAGGAGCTGTCGCTCTTGCGCGATAAGGAGTGGCGGGGCGTGCTGTTCGGTCCCCGGCAGTTTGGCGTGGAGCTATCCAATGTGCACGGCCTCGTGCCTACACAAGGGACGCTGGCCGTCATGGCCGCCCCACCTGCCACCCAGAACACGGAGTGGCAGTCGATGAGCAGCCGCAACAAGCGAAGCAGCAGCACGCGGCCCGACCCTTTCGGCCGTCCCATCGGGGGCGGTGGAAACGGCGGTGATACCCGTCGCGTGACCGTTTTCGAGGACGTACCCAACAGCGCTCGAGGGACGGCCGGCATGGATGAACGCACCGGTGGCGGCTTGACAGGTGGGCGGGTCTCCTCGGCGCTGCTCACGGCGATGGAGCAGCTGCCGGTGATCAGCCTGCTACCGACTTGCACCGCGGACTTCGTGAAGGCGTGCACGCAGCAGTGGCAGTGCATCACCTACTCCAAGGGCGATGTTATCGCTTCTGCCGGGCAGGAGTGCAGCCGCCTTTTCTTGTTTTTCGAAGGCCGGGCTGGGGTGGTGCATAACGCCGCGCTGCTGCGGGAGGAGCTGCAACCCGGACCGTTCGGCGTCGCGGATATCAGCAGCGTTGGCGCCGCGGCCATTTGCCCAATTCCGGCAGGACACGTCGTTGGCTACACCTGTGTCCGCCGTCACCGCTGGACGCACTCCATCGTTGCCGTGGACGACGTGGTAGAGGTGTGGGAGATCTGCCGTAGCGTGTTTGTGCAGCTGCTCCGCACCCACGGCATGGAGCGGGAGATGCAGGCGGTGTCGCTGCAGCTGCTGCAGCCGCTGGCGGTGCAGAAAGACCGCCTTGCCGTGCTAGACTACCAGCCCTTGCTGCACCCAATGCCCAACTCACTGTGGCAGCAGCAGGCGGTGCCAAACGTGCACCCCGTCGTGACAAAAGAAGGCGCGGCGTGTTTTCCAGTGTGGCGCGAGGGCGACTTTCCGCTGGACCGGCGTGCGTCTTTGTCGGACAAGTCGGTGCAGAGGGGCAGCGTCGGCGATCGGCGCAGCACCTTGAATGCCGTCACCACTGTGAAGGTAGCGGCCATTGTGAATGAGCGTCAGCGCAGCATGAGTCAGCGCGGCGTTGATTCTCCCAAGCTAGTGAGTCATCCCTCCGCCAGCGCAGCGGCCATGTCCGACTCTGACAGCGGTGCACGAACTAATTTCATCGCCCGTCTCACCAGCGCCGCCGGAGATATTTAGAAAAAGCGGGCACGCGTCCCTTTTTTTTTTACTCAATCAATGGGCCTTTCGCTGTATCGGATTTCCTGAAACGAGATGGTGATGTGGTGCTTACACACACGTCTTTTTTTGAATGTACAGTAGCACTGCCATCGGAAAAGGCCACTGCTTAGAGCTCTTAGATTGTTCTTTTCTCCTTAGATTAATTTTGCTTTTTGCGGGTTCAGTATGTGCGCTCCCTCTTTTTTAACCGCTCTTTTGACTCGCTGAAATTTGTCCGGCTGCGTTATGTTCAGTTTTCCTGTTTGCGGTTTTCTTCGACTTCGCGAAAGTACGTTGTACCACATCAAGACCTCGACGGATCCCCCCGCAATGAAGAAAGAAGAAAATAACAGTTCTGCGCTCTACCGCAAGAAGCATTAAAAAAAATAGTGTTGGTAACTTGATTGTTTGCTTTGGTTGGTGTACTTTTTGGAGACCGGTGACAGACCGAAGCCTAAGGAGAAGTGTGAGGCCCTTCTACGTCCCTCCTTCGTCAATGAAGAGCAGGTCTGTCAGAGGGTGCTCTATGTCTTCAACTCAGCCATCTTTGCCGTTCTGCGCATTTCTCTCGCCTATTCATCTCCTCCTCCTCCCTCCCGCCCACCTTCCTCTTCTCTTTATGATCTTTTCAAACTCGTTTCTGTACGCATTTCGATGTTCAATTCCTGGAGAAACGCTCTGTTTTTAACAGTCCACGCTGTACAGCCCTATTTAGCTGGTCTTGGAAAAACAATCGCAGCACGACACAACGAAAGCAGCTATTCAAGTTTTTTTTTTAATTGTCCCCCTTTTTTCTGACATTTGTGGGGACGTAGCACGATTGTTTATACTTCTCTTGAAATCTATCTTTCCGTTTCCGTTTTAGGTGAGACTTCTATTTTTTTTCTTCTCACCTTCATTGCGGACTGCGGTAGAGGCGTATTTTCATTGTTGTGCTCTGTGTTTGTCAGACTGACGTTGGCGCTGTATAACGGTTAGATTATCTTCAAAGTTTTCTTCCCTGTGGTGGATAACGATTTTTTCCCCTTTTCTATCAATTCGCGCGGCAAGTTTATCCCTTGTTCTCTTCTTGTAGTGCGTAAATCGGCGGGCCTGTGGTGGAGGCCATCTTTCTTTTTCTTTCCTGATATTTTTGGCTTTGTTTGCAGTTGTGTTCGGTTGCCGAAACCTGATTTATTTATTCAACTAAGTTGTGGCGAGACTGGCGCTGGGCGCGCTGAAGCAACTCGATATTGTAGAACGTTGGTATCCTTCCCCTTTCCTTTTCCCTTGTACAACTAACCCCGTTTCTTTTTTTTTTCTGAAGTATTCATCGTTGAGGCCGCGGAAACTGCTTGTAGCTTGTCCGCTGGAAGCTACTTCACGCATTTATTGACTAACATTTCTCTGCTCTTCTCCAACTAGATCGTCCCGCGACGTCATGTACACGAGCAGCCGCTATCCCGTGGCAGGGGGCAACCCACATGGGCAGCCGGCGGCGTACGCGAACGCAAGCACTCCCGGTGCACCCGCCTACAACCCTGCGATGAACGCTATGAACGGCATAAACATATACGGCATGATGCAGATGCAGGCAAATTCCAAAGCTGCGATGATGAGAGGCGGGGTTGCGCCGCCGCCTGCTGGAGGAGCAACGAGTCCCAACAAGGGCGGCTACACCGCGTACACCGGTGGTGGTTACGCGACATCGGCGACGTCAGCGCCGACACGAGGCGGCTATGTCTATCCCCCTTACACGGCTGTGAACCAGCCGGGGATGGCAATGCCTTCCACCTCCCCTGCAACACCACCACCACCACCGCAGGGTCAGTTCTCACTGGCAAAGTCTATCGCAGTCCCTGGCGCCGCACCAACACCGGCGTTGCCAGCCCAGCAACAGAAGCCAAAGCAGGCTGCTCCTGCATCCCCTACGCCGGCGAATAATAATAAAATAGACGACTCAAACGGTGGCAAGAGAGCAGGTCGACACGGCAACCATCGCCGCCGGGGTGATAAAAAGGAGGGCGCCGCCACCACACCGCCTCCTGCGACGGAACTCACCGCGGTGCCGGGCAAGCCCAGCCGTCGTGAGCGCCGTCGTCGCGGCAGAGACGGTCAATCCGTTGAGCGCACCGACGATACCCGCGCCCCTTCTCCCGCCAACCCCGCTCGGCCCGATGACAGCACCGTTTCGTACCACAGCCCCAACCCCGCAGCCATTGTTCCCTCTACACGCAATCACGCTGGCGGTGGTGGCGAGGGTGGACGCCGTCGACACCACCGCCGCCGCGCAAATGGAGAAGAACAACGACCGCCGCAGCCCGGTCAGCGGGATCCCTCGCGAGACACCAACTCCAACACGCCGCCCCACCACCGGCGTCACCGCCACCGCGGGCGCGAGGAGGTCCGGCCACGACGGCATCATCGCAACCACCACAGCGACGTGGTGACACGGTCCGAGTCGACCTCGCTTCGCCCGACAGAGCGTGTCGTAACCCCGACGGACGACGGCAAGAGGCAGCACCGCCACCGCCACGAAGGTGATGGCGGAAGGATGGGCGCCGCGCGCTCGCCGTCGCCTGCCGCGCAAGTCCTTTCGCTGGTGCCACCGGTATTACCATCCTCAGCGAAAACTTCCACCGTTGTCCCCCCCGCTGTCTCTCCCAGCCTGGCAGGGAAGAAAGCTCTCACCATTCCGGTGCCCCCGCCGGTGGTGGTGCCAGCGCCGCCCGCCGCCGCAGCGCAGTCGTCCGCACCGGTGAGCAGCGCCAGAGGGCATCACCGACACCGCAGCCACAACGACTCGCGTCGGCCGCGAACGGCGTCATCGCACTCGTCGTCGTCACGAGCGTCGTCACCGTCGTCCTACTCGTACTCTGATAGCAGCGACTCCCGCAGCGCGTCCTCGCGCTCCTCTCGCAATAGGAACCACCACCGCCGATCGGGCCGGGACCGGCGCAGTGGGCGGCGACGCGCGTCTCCCCGCTCATCGCGCTCCTCCTCCTCGTCGACGTCGTCCGCCGCGGCGCGGCATCGCACGAAGGCGGCGTCGAACCCCGACGCTGCTGCCACACCAGTGGATGCGACGAAGGCTGGTCAGCAGAAGAAAGGCAACCGTTTGCTCAACCTTTTTCGCCGCAGCAAGTCGTCGACAGCACCGGACGTGGCGGCTGAAGGAGCGGCACCAAACGGACCGGGTCCGCACCCGACCCCGTTGATCATGCCGGACAAGAGGCTCTTCGACATGCCAAGCTCCGCGCCGTCGGTGCCACTGTCGAGGGATGACGGTGTGGCGGACAAGCGGGAGGGAACTAGCCACGGGCAGTCCTCATCGCGCCGTCATCACCGAGAGCACTCGACTGACCGTTCACCGAAGCAGAGGAACAGCCCCCACCCGCCGCAGATGACGCCTGGCACTCCAGGGGCTCCGGGTGCAACTCAAGAGGGAGCAGCAGCACCGGGTGACAACAGCAGTGGCAATGCCGGTCAGCAGAGCAGCAAAGCAAAGAGCTTCTTCGGGTCGCTGTTTCACAAGAAGAAGGACAAGTCTGAGCTCGCCACCCCCGTCGGTAACACGTCGGTGGACAGCAGCGTGAACGAATGGATGTCACCGCGCTCGATCCCCTCTACATCAGGTAGCGCCTCCCCGTACACGCCGAGCCAACCGGGATTCAACAACAACAGTCACAGCAGCACTCCACCTCCCTCTCATGATGGCACGCCGTCGGTTGGCGGCTCCGCAGCCGGCACCCCCGCCTTACCCCTCAAATCCGGCTTCTTCAGCAAATTCATGAAGAAAAAAGTGAGCAAAACGGTAGCCGCACAGCAGCAGCAACTGGAGACAGATCGAGAGGCGCTGAAGGAGTTGGACTCGCAGTTGGAGGAAGGACGTCGCGTCCTCGACGCCTCGCGGGAGCTGCAGAGAGAGCACCGCCGTCGTCGGCACTCCGGCGACTCGCGCGGCAGCCCACGCTCGCGCAGCGGCAGCCGCCATCACTCCTCGCCGCGGCCGCACGACCACCACGAACGCCGCAAGGGCCATTCGCCGTCGCGCCGCCGTGGTGATTCGCGCGGTGATCACCATCGCTCCCCGTCCTCTCGCTCTTCCTCATCCGGTCTCTCGCGTTCGAGATCGTCGGTCACCTTGAGCCGCAGTGCGACTCCCCCCCGTCGAAGTGTGCGTGACAGGAAGAAGCGTAGTGACAAGGCGGTGAACGACATTTAAGGGCAGCTCACCAGCTTTGTGGCTCATATAAACAACAGTGGTGTAGCTGCACGTCGTCGTTTAGCGAACGACGTTGTTCACGGATAAGGCTTTGCATAACTTCAGCTAAGATTTCATATTGAACTTTGTAATGCTGTGCGCCGCGTAAAAAAACCCTGCTTTTTGTTTTCCCTTCTTTTCTTTTTAAATTTCTTTCCGGCGTTGCCTTTCGCGTTGCGTTGGTTTCTCAATTCGCATACATCTGTGGTGCATCGCAGTCTCTTTAAAACGGCAGCAGCACTAATAAATTTATACTTTTCTCCTTGCTTATTGCTGCATGTTCTACGGAACGGAACTGGACAAACTCCGATTGCTACGTCGGCAGGTGTGTGAAACTTGCTATTTTTATTTCTTTTCTTCGTCGTGCGTCCCAAAATTGCCCGCCGTCCCCCTTCACCCTTTTCGCTTTGCTGGACACCACACCGGTTAGGTGTGCGTGAAAGACGAAGGCGCGGTAGGAGAAAGCCACGAACTCGTGTTGATATGCGTGTGAGACAGTCGCACCGTCTCGCACCTCTTTTTGTTTTCTCTTCTTCTTTCGCACGTGCAGAAATCCTTCAACGCAAATAATAATAATGAAACATCTGATTTGATAAACAGAAATGCTCATTTTTTTTTTAGAAAGCAACTTTTCCATAATGCTGAAGAGAAAGTATGGTAACTCAACATGCAAGACATGCATGAAAGTAAAACCGACTGGAAACAAATGGCGACGCTGCTGCCTCTTCACTTCTCTCTCTCTCTTTCATGGGATGCAGTAAGGAAAGAAAAGCCAGCCAGAAGGATTGAATCACTCTCTTCCCCTCATTTTTATTTTATTTTATCGTAAACAGCATTCTCCTTGTTGTGATCCCCTTTTTTATTTCTTCACGAGCTTCAACCTCCTCCATGTCTCTTTTACGTTTTCTTTCCTTCCTGTGTTTCTCTTCCTCTCTCTCTACAGTAGGATTTAACTTACGCAGACGCGTGAAGCTGCAGTGAAGAGAGCGCCACCTACATTGCAGCGGCAGCCAGCGCTTTTTCCACTTTTTGCCCAGATCGTAAATAAAGGCAGCCCGGGCCGTCGATGAAACCGAATCCAGAGCTTTTTGATTCTGCTAGATTCACCACTTTCCCGCTGCGCCTGTTTGTGCAGCGGCATATTTTTATGTGCTGCGTTTCCATACCTGCGCAACAGCTCCCCACATGTCGTCGTCTCCTGCACCAGAGCACGCCTTGGCATCATCGCCCTCCGAGGTGCCGCTCACCAGCTCGAAGTCTATCGTGACAGCTGTGGGTCGACTTCTGATGGATTACGCACTTCAACTTCGCGACGACGTCGGCCCGCCTCACCGCGATGCTCCGCATGCTGTGATAAAAACTGAAGACAACGATGAAGGGCGGTCTTCCGCGGACGATAAGGGAATGGGTGCGTTTGTCGACGGCAGCGTGGCCGCAACTGAAGCAGAAGTGGCTACGCAACTGACGCAGGCGGACGTCGCAGAGTGCCGTGGGCGGCTGCAGCGTCTACAGCGCATCCATCGCACCCTTCTTTACTCCGTCGGAGCGCCCACGTTAAGCAACAGCAATGATGGCCGTGACGGCTCTTTCGTTGCTTCGCAGGGAGTCAGGGAGGAGGAAGATGAACGCATGGACGACTACAGCGAGACCATCCAGCGCAATTCTGTACTTACAAAAGTGCTCCGTCGACTGGAGCGAATCAACCAACGATTTCAAGGCACATCGAGCGTTGTCGCCTCGCAATTTCAGCCCACGATGGCAAGCTTAGCAGACACAGATGCAGACATAGCGGTCAACAGAAATATGGCCGACATGGCGTCACAGGAGACCTCACGCACTCCTCGCACCGTCGAGCCGTTGATGACGCCCGTCTCCCTCGCTGAAGGTGCGCTGTCGGCCTTCAGTCGCAACGTTGGCGTTGTATTTCGGCGTCGTCCTGCCGGTGGCGTGGCTGCCGGTGCTCCCGCAGGCGCGCCACTGGAGGCATCGCGTAGCTCTACCAACGGCAAACGAGCCCGCGAGGGGGACGAGGCGACGAAGGAACCTCTCAATCACTGGGCCACGCTGGCGGCGCAGCAGCGCAAGTCTCGCTTCGCCCTCTACACCCTTCGCTCCGCGCTGCTGCCGCGGGTCGACCTCGTCTGCGCCCCATTGTATGTTTCACCGGCCGTGCGCGAGCTCGCGCAGCTCAACGCGGCCGCGGAGTGCTTTATGCTGGAGCGGGCCTGGTGCGTGCACACGAAGGCGCATCTGCTGCGCGAGGCACCATCGCTGGCCCAGGATGTCGAGGTGCATCAGCAAAATTTGCGCGAGGCACTGAAGAACTACCCCCTGGCCCGTCAAGAAGAGTACATCCGCAACGTCAGCTACCTGCGCTTTGTTTGCGCGGATTACGGAGTCCTCCGCCTGTGCGTGCAGCATGCCCTTTTCGTGGATCTCACCTACGATTTGAAGCGGAAACAGTGGACTCTGTTAGCTCTGCATTGGAATCTCTACACCACCGCTGCCGGGGCATCTCTCATCTCCTCCGCACTCACCGACACGACGACGGCGACGAGTCCAGCGGCAGCCGCGGCACTACAGGGCGACTCCATTTCCTTTGATTCCGATTCCTGCCGCACGTCCGAGGTACACCAGCAACTCCAACCTGAAAACAAAGAGGCTCTCTTTGCTTTTCTTCAAAAGGCGTTTACGCAGGGCGGTCTAAGCGGTGGCGTGCAGGCGTCAAATCGCTTAGCGTGTGCCGTGGTGTTGGACGCTCTCGCCACCCAGCTGCAGCATCTTCAGCAGTTTTTTTTCACAGGCGGCAGCATGGCGCGCTTGATTGACGTAGAGGTGCGTCCTGGCACCTTCATCAGTTTTCATCTCACCTTACCGGAGTTACTTGGTGCAAAGCACAACACGGCTACACCCGCCGGGATGGATGCGGTCCACGTGAAAGTTGCTGTGTGTGGCGGCACCGTTATGATGGAGCGGGTGCGCGGGACAGACCTCGCTTCTCGGGCGGTGACGCTGCTGCTAGGTGCGTCGTCTTTACTTCCGTCGCAGAGTTCTGTTGTGAAGGGCCCTGCGCGGGTTGTGGTGGATATGGAGGCGTTACTGTGGCAGTGCCTTTCTGCTGAGAACTGAAAGCTTCTTTTCCTACTTCGAGAAAAGGACATTTTTTTTCTAGAAATCCGAGAGCGTCCTGCAAGGGATAACTTACGCGTTGCACCGGCTATACGAGCTGAATCTACGGTAACAACTGTCTTCTTCCCACATCACCATATGCAAGCACGAACGCAACCACTTTAACAGGTGTACCCTCCTTTTTTAGCGGCTCCTCTACGCTCATCAACTTCGGCCTACTGCAGCGCAGAAAATAGGAAGGAAGCCGTGCACAGAGAAGGACAGGTGCGCTCTTCGTATGCTTTCAGTCGACCGATGCATCCTTTCTATTTGCCCCCTTTTCGTTGTTTCCTCCCGTGCAGGTCTCCTTTTTGTTTTCGCTTGCATCTTTCTCTCCTCGCGTTGCGTACGGGTAGGCAAACGAACAGCGCATCAACCATCTTTTTCGCTACAAAACGGAGTGCTGACAACCAATACTGCTAATGTAGAGACAGCGACACAAGGACAGATGCGTTCGTCCACGTCTGGATCCACCAGCGCACCAATGGGACACCCCGTACCGCCAAACGCACCGGTGCAGTTCAGCCTGCTGTATCGGCTACACCACACCGCGTGCTCCATCACGGCTCGCAACTCCACCTCGCCGCTTCGCCTGTCCGGGTCGTCGTCTTCGTCTCCTTACGCCCCATTCACAGCGGGTGCTGATGCCAATGCAGCAGGCTACGTGACACCGCCACAGAGCAGAACACATGCCATTGCTACCACCACGGGCCCCTACCCACACCCACCCGTCTCCTCCTCCCCTACGTCGTCTCCCCCGGCAACGTGGTCGCCCAGCCCAAGACATCGCATGGCGGGCGACGCAGGTCAGGGCGTCTCCTCGACGCCCTTGCTCTCCACGATGGACAAGCGAGAGCTGTCCAAGGTGGTGGTCCGGGACGCCGTGTACGCGCGGGTGCTGGACCTGGTACCGGGTCGACAGCATGTTCAGGTGGCAGTGTGGACGCTGTCGCCGCACATCATTCAGATCGATGGCGCGGTGGCGGTCGCGGCTCCTCTGCACGATTCGGAAGGGTTTTTGTCTTCCTTCTCCACTCTGAACGAGTCCGACTTTCGCCGGGTGGTGCAGGAGCGGTTGCATGAACTGGCGGTGGATGCAAGCCTCTTCGCGTCGCTTCTACAACCGTACCTCGGCGATGTGGGCTGCCGGGGCGACATTGTAACGGCCACGGTGGACGGGGTGCAATGCTGATTACCCACAGGAGAGGTAGATGCCGTTCCGCGAATATGATCCTGATGATCTGGTTTTGGTCAGACGGTTGGGTTTCTTTGTGGTGCCCGTAGCTGCGGCCTGAACACCAGTTCCATTGCTTGAATTGGCGACCGATGCGCTGTCTTCTCTGTGTGACGTTTTCTGATGGACTTTTTTCGCGAACCGCCTCCGTTTCGCTTTCTTCTTCCTGCTGCGTTGCAGCGGTTTTCGCGTGCGCCTCGCTGTGAGGAAGCTGCAGCGATGGCTGACAGTCTTTCTCAAGCGACGTACGCAGCAGCCGCAAGCTGTGAAACAAACAGCGTAGATAACATTTTATTTTCTTTTAAATTGATCTTCGTCCTGTGGTGCACAGAAGTTTCTCTGAGCAGGGCAACGCAACCTCCTCCTCCTCTGTTTTCCCTTTTTTCTGGGCTTTACCTGTTGCCTTTCTTTTTCGGTTTCTAATTTCGAACGAAGTCCGTTATTTCTTCTTCTTTCTCCTCTGTGGTAACTCAACGCAGTCCGTCGCACGTCGATCCTACGCTTCACCCAGAAATTGTTCTTGGGACGACTACGCGCATCTCCGATGCATGAAGCTCGCTGGTTTCTCCTATGCGGTTCCTCTACTTTGGGATCTGCACGCGTTTTCATCTCTTCTTCTGGCCCTCACCCCTCCACTTTCTTACGGCCACGTTGCAGCAGCTATCAGAAGAGAAAAGAAAAGGGCTGCTCTTCACGCATCACAACTGTCGGCATTGACGGTAGCATACAATTGTTTTAACGAACAGAATAGCAAAAAAAAAAGAAGCTGATCACGATGTCAGCAGCGCTGCCCCCGTCGTTCACGCGCGTTGCGAGACAGACACTTCAGCACGACCTGGCCACCATCACAAAGTGGGATCCCGCTACTAACAAGCTGCAGTGTGCGATCCGCGACGCAGGGTATTTGGTCATCGACCTGCCCCGGTTTTTCATGTACTCGCACAGCAACTACGGTGCGATGCAGCGCTACATCCGCCAGTCGCGCATCAACAAAGGCAAGATCAACCCCGAAGATTTTAAAGACGTGGATACGAACGTGCTGCGAGAAAGCCTGATCAAGTACGCGCAAACGAAAGGCCCTCTGCAGAAGATCGACTTTCGCTGGTTCTACTGGATGTACGCCATCATGATTGTTTATGTCGGGTGGCAAGGGATGCACCTGCAGTCGCTCCTGGATGCACGCGTCGACCGCATGGGCGCCTCACTGGATCAGCGACGCGACATGTACGATGACGACTACCTAGAGGAGGTGCGTCCTCGTTGAGAGCTCCAAAAAAAAGGCAAAAGAATCCTCGGTGCAGCAGTGATTCTGGAGGAGGAGCGACGCAGCAATCATCCGTCAAAAGCGTCACTGAAAACAGAAGATTATGGCTGTTGATGTAGACTGTCATGGACTAGTGTTTGCATAGTTCGATCGATGCTTTTATTTTTCCTTGGCCTTTTGCTCTTGCGGCTTCCTTCTTCTGTGCTGGTCCGCGCTAGTGTTTGGCATGACGTGATGGTGAGGGAGTCTCGTTGGGTGGATGTTATGCAGGAAACATCTCACATTTACAAATCACATGAAAATAAAATTAAAAGATCAGATGTATCTTAATTCAGGTTCCGCCCCCGCAGTCATCCGACAAGTTTTTCGGACATGGCAGAGACAAACCCCAAAGACGAGTCTCTCATTTCACCAACTCCGCCATGGTGTCTTCTTATGTACGTGAAGGCACTAACAACTCTTCAGAAAAAGAACTGAAAAAGAAGCTTTGTTTGTTCTTCCGACTCTCCTCGTGGGAGAGTGCTTGGAAAGTCTCGCATAAAAATTATTATTTACTGCTTTCTGGGCTTCGTGCAATTGTCCTCCGTACACTTGAATATCTGCTACTCTGCTCTCCGCTCACTTCATTCTTGAGAGGGAAGAATAATATAATAACAGGATAGCACAGCGCACGAGTGCTGGTTAAACGGGCGATATCGCTGCTTTACTGCGCAGTCACCAACGACAACGACGGCAGCCACAATCAGCACATCGGTACTGCGTTCAATTCATTATCCTCACATCATCCTAACTCCTTTCTCCTACTTGGGGTACTGCGCTAGACGCCGAAACAACTGCTGAAAAGGGATAAGAACGCAGTAGTCATGTCAGGAACCGACGGCAAGGAGGATAAGTACGAACAACTGCTCGCCAAAATCGACTGGCATGCACCGCACCCACCGAAGGGGTACCAATTCGGCGCTGGCCGCGGCGCAAAAGGCTTCGTCACGACTGCGGAGCTGACGACGGCGGGCACGACAGGCGCAAAGATGACTCGGGAAGAGAACGATTTCTTTTCTGCGATGGAGCGGATGGAGGAGCGGAAGAAAGTCCCCAAAAAGACGAAGGGAGAGGATGATGACGAGGATAAAGACGGCGAGAAGAAGAAGGGGCTTCACACCACATCCACGGCTGGTTCTGCAGCGGGTGCTGCGGTGCGGGTGAAGTTGTCGCTGGATGATCTGGCCGCATTGGAGATGCCGTTTGCAAGTTCTTCCGCGCAGACGGCTGTGTCCTCGCGTGGGTCAGCAGCGGCTCCTGACCCGACCACCACCGGTGCGGAATCTGATGTGGCTGCTCCTGCGCCGACGATGGCAGCTCCCTCAGCTTCCTCGTTGGTGGTGCGCAGTGCCCGCACAGAGGAAGGCGACGCCGCAGAGGAGCACATCTTTGCCGATGAGCGCGTGCTGACGCCGTACGACGTTCTGAAGGGCAAGGCATCCGCCGTGCAGGCGGGGCTGCATAACGTGCTGACAATGGGCTCGACAGAGGAGCAGACTACCTGGATTACGCACGCCCGCGCGTACCGCGAGATGGGCATGACCCGCCGCGCCTATCAGACCCTCGTGGAGGGCTGTGCCGTCACGGGAACGAAGGGCAAGCGAATTTGGGCGGAGCGGCTGCGTTATTTGTCCCGCGACAACGTAGCAGGCCGTCGCCGTCTGCTCGACGAAGCGACCAGCGCCTGCCCAAGTGAGGAAGAGTTGTGGACGCAGCTGCTGGACGTTGTACCACCGCTGGAGCGTGTGCCCTGCCTTCAGCGTGCGGTTCTCGCCTGCCCTTCCAGTGAGCATTTGTGGCTGCGGTTGGTGCAGTTCGTGCCGTCGGTGCAGGACCAGCGCGTGCTGCTGCAGAAGGCTCTTCAGCACACCCCGCACCTGCCTCTTCTGTGGGCCCGGTTGGCGCGGCTGGAAAGCTACAAAACCGGAAAGGAGATGTTCCAAGCTGCAGCGGCGCGCTTCCCCTCACTGGCGCTCATTATTGAGGCGGCCAAGTACGTGGAGTGGTACGCGCTGTCGCGCTGGGCAACGACGCCACACCCGGAAACACAGGCATTCGAAGAAGAGCAACTGCCCCAATCAGTCGCGGTGGAAAATGGAGGTGGTGACGCACCGAGCCTTTCGGAGCGTGAAGAAGAAGCGGCGCAGGTCTATCGTGTGTTGCGCTCTGCAGACAGCGAAGTGGGCAACTTAGTGCGCACGGCTCAACAGAATTACTTGAACCTCGGTGAGGCGGGCTCTCGACACGCGTGGCTCTCGATGGCACTCTCGTTGCTCCGTTCAGAGAGCAAAGGGTCAGCGTATCCTGAAGCTGAGACGAAGGAGGAGGGCAACGACGTGGCAGGAAGGCCTACCGCCACCACCACCAAAACTGGCTCGTACGTCTGCACTGCCGCACAGATGTTTCTCAGTGTGGTAGATCCAAATCACAAAGGTTTGAGCGCCAACGCCGTCCCCACAACGTGGCTGAGCGACTTGACTGCTCTGTTCCCGGCCGAGGCGGTGGCCCAGCACGAGGTGCAGTGCGCACTGTGGTATACGTGGGTGTTGCTCCAGCGGCAATACTTGGATGATGTCGTCAAGAAGGGCAGCGCAAGCGGCAATGCGAGCGCTGCGCTTTGTTCCACTCTTCTGTTTCCATCAGCGACTGCCGTGTCGAAGACAAACGCAAAAGAATCGTTTGCTGTGCTGGAAGCGGCCTTTCTTTCCGCTCCCCCCACGGCGGTGCTGACGGAGCTTCCGTTGCTGCTGCGCCGTGTCTCCTGCGACTTCACGGCGGAGGAGGAAAACACCTTCAACGCAGCACGCTACGGGCCTGCCAATGCAATCCCAAAGACGGAAGAAGAGGAGGTGGAGGAGCTGCGGAGGCCTGCAACGTCGGCGGTTGCGGGGCCGGTGCCTTCTGCGTCTCTTTCCCCTTCAGTGCGGGCGCAGCACCTCCCCCCTTCGCTGATCGTTACGGTCGCCGCCACGCTGGGCCTTTCGGCACGCGCTACCGCAATTGTTGCTGCATCGACAACTTCATCACCGGCTGCCGCCCTCCCGCAAAGCCTCAGCCCTTTCTTGGAAACTGTGCTTGTCGAGGTACCCTTGACACTCTCCGAGGCGCTGTACCGCCGTGGCTGCTATGCCACTGCCTTGGCGGTGGTGGATCTCATGCTGCGGTCTGGCTCCTCCAGGCCCGCCTCGGATGGAGTGCTGGAGGATGCAGCAGTTTTGTCAACGCCCCACACGGGGTCGACAACACCCGCAGATGAACCACCGTATCTTTTATTAAGCGACCTGCGTCTGCACATTGCGCGGGCGAAGCTCTTAGCAGCTGTGGACGACAGCGCCGCAGCCGATCGTTGTTTGCTGGAGGCGATCAACACGGCCGCTTCCCACCGCAACCGCCACAGCAGCAACTATCATCTCTTGCAGGAGGAGACGTGGGTGAAGCTCGCGGTGCTGCGTCGCAGCCAGGGGCAACCAATCCAAAGCATCTTGCAAGACGCCCTGCAGCAGTGTCCGAAGTCGTGGAAGCTGTGGCTCATGCTCCTGGAAGAGAAGCGGCGCGACATCGACGCTCATCAGCGGCGGCTGCGGGCTTCGCTGTCAGCGACAAAACACTCAGGCGGTGCAACCGCACCTCGTCTGACCACCGCCGATATGCTTCGCATGGACGATACCTTCACAAGCGAGGTGCGTGAAATCAGTGTCCTGTGCAAGAAGGCAGTGAGCGCCGATCACTGTCGCACCGTGGCGGCCGTATGGATCTTCGCAGCGCAGCGCGTCGAGGCGGAGTTCTTGCAGAACGTCCCCGCGGCCCGCGCTTTGCTGAGCGATGCGGCATCAGCCTGTGCGGCTAGCGTGTACAGCACTCGTTCGCAGCTCCTCGCGCGGGCCCTGTCTCCGCAAGAGCTGGAGAAGCAGGCATCTGCCTTGGCGCAGATCGGCGTAGCGCAGGCGAAGCTGGAGGCGCAGTACGGTACGCCAGGGCAGGCGCTGGAGACGGTGCAGGAGGTGCTGCAAAAGCTACCCAAGACGCGGGACGGTACGATTGCGATGACGCAGGACGACGCGGTGGGGGAGTTGCTCAGTCTTTTTATTTCCCTTGAGCCGCCGGCGTCGCGCGGCCGGGCGGCGGCGCAGGTGATGCGGCAGTGGAAGTCGCGCGAGCCGCTGGCGCTGTGCGCTGTGGCGCAGCTGTACTTCACTGCCGGTCAGTACGCCCGTGCGCTGGACCAGGCCTTGAAGGCGGTGCAGGCGAGCAAAGGCCGCTGCGGGGATGCGGTGGGGCTGCTGTGGCGCATGGCGGACCAGCCAGCGATGCAGCCCTTTGTGCGACGGCAGCTGTACGGCAGCGAAGGGGACGACGACGCAGAAGAGGATGGCGGCACGAAAGAGAAGACCGCCCTGACGGAGGATGCGCGTCGTGGGGACGTGGGAGCAGAGGCGGTGCAGCAGTGGGTGTTGTCGGTCATGGTGTCCAGCGCTGCAGCCGGGGGGGTCTCTGAGGAGAAACGTGCGTGGTCTCCATCGGCAACCTCTGCCGCGGTCGCATCGGGGGCGCTGCTCGTGGTGCCGAAGAGCGGCCCTTTGTGGCTGGCGGTCGCGAAGATAGAGGATCCGACAAACGTGACCATTCGTGGTTATCGCCGCCCCGTGGTCGAGATGCTGCGTGAGGTGGCAAATCGGATCGACTTAAAGGGACACGAGTCTGGCGTAGCGGCACCGCTGCGTACTCAGCGTGAGGGCTAGGCAGGAAGAGAGTGCTGTTGCTTTCGAAAGAGATGCGGTCACACGGGCGCAAGCTACACGAAGCCCCGAAGGAATTGCGTAAGCGTAGCGCTAACTTTACTCTCCCCCTTTTTTTCGCAGCAAAATAGTGCATCGTTTAAACCGCGCTCGAACACGCGTCAATGGCAAAAGAAGAAGAAAAACCATGCCAGTACGTTCTCTCAAACCTTGCCTATTTTTATACATGTGGATGAAATACCTTCCGCGTATATATACACAGAGGGACCTGCGCGCCTTCATATTCACGCAAGCAACACATTCACTCTTCTCTCCTTTTGTTTACCACTACTTCCTTGCCACTTTTCCTTGTTTTCGCTGTGTCCTGGGAGAGGTCACCTCTTCTTTTCCTTCACTTCACAGTTTATTATTACTGTTATTATTGTCATTAGATTTTGTCTTCTGCTGCTGTCATTCATTCATGGAAAAGCACGGAGATTTTGGCGAATAATCTTTCCTCCTCACTCTGTTACATGCATTGGAAACGTGTGATCCTACCCGTTTAAGAGACCAAAAGGGCTCTTGCGTTTGCGTTGCGTGTCCTTTGCTGCGAGTTGTGTTAGAGCCGTTTCGCCGCCTGCGCAGACTCGATTCGTGCGTCTCACGTCGACATTTTCTTCTCTTTTCTTTCGAGATCAGAAATAGGCAGAGACTCCTCGCACCGTCTTTACTACACATATTTTTTATATTTGTTTTCTTTTCCGTCTTTGTATCGGCAATCATGTCAGGTGAAGTGAACTTCTCGGGCTCCGACGTCGACTCGGCCGATGAGTGGGCCAACCCGCCGCAGCGTACAAACACAGCACCCATCGCCGCCGCTGCCGAGCAGCGCGGTGCGGCTGCCGCTGGCACGCGGAGTTTGGGGGAGATGGACGCCGTGGAGCGCGACCTCGCAGGCGACGCCGTCCCTGTTGTGTTTGAGCTGCCCAACGGGGACCAGTACGCCGCAAAGTTCTTCATGGGCCAGAGCGTGGAGCACCTGAAGGTGCTGCTAGAGAAGGAGAAGAAACTGCCGTACGACACGACAACGCTCTACCTTGGTGACCGCATGCTGCTTGATCCTCTCTCCTTGAGCGACCTGCCATTTGAGGCGAATGTGGAGAACCACGTGAAGGTGGTGATGACGGCATAGAACGTGTGCAAAAAACATCAGATGAGAGGAGGAAACGCGTAGGTCAGCCGACTGCTGTCATGTCCCTCTCTTCTTCTTTTCTGCTGAACGGAGAAAAGCGAGCTGCGGATGTCCTACCCCCTCTCAACAACACAAAGAAACATTTTTGCTACCGTTTTCTCCTTAGCAACCTAGATGGCAGCCAAATCCACACTTTGCCCACTTTTTTTCTTCGAAGTTCTTCCTTCATCTTGTTAGCGATGCTGCACGGCGTGTATGGTTCTATCATCGTGTAAATGCGGTTTGACAGGGTGCCCCTCCAGAGGTGTTCGTGTTTGGCGGTGTCGTTTGGCGCTGACCGCCTTATGAAGCGCACATCTTGTTGGCGATGCCCTGGCCAGTGTCCCCTCAGCTCTTTACCACGCTCGATGGGGTGTGGTGGTTGCTCGGTAGATTGTTTCTCTTCTTATTTTTTCTCTCTCTCAACTTCGTAAGATGGTGTTTTACTTCACTCTTCCCTTTTATGGTATCTTCGGTTTCTTGTTTTCAGTCACATCGTTGTCTTTTGTGTTCTTTTCAGTGCTCTTATCGGTGCTTCCGTTGGCTTTTGCTCCACTTCGAAGTGGGTCGTGCTTCCTTCAGCGACAAGCGAAGTTACCACGCAAAGACGTAAAGCGGAGCCCAGGAAGTAGAGGAAAAAGGATTAGGCGTGGGATGCGTGAAGGGCAGCATGCAAGATAGCGAGTGCTACCGCATGAAAGGATGTTGCGTCTTTCAGGTCTTTCTCTGCTGTGGCACGTTGGCGTGCATCGCCTCAATCGTATCTTCTCAGAAAAGATGAAACAATTTACTCGCTTACGCGTACACCAAAAAAAGTGCTTCAGCCTCGTTTTCTTTTTTGTTTTACCTGCTCAGCCGATTCTGGCCGGCTATTCATTCCTTTCAGAATCTTTGTGCCGCCGTGCACACCACACGCCTGCTGGCATCATGGTTTCCGGACGAGATCCACCAAAAAAGAAAAGCAGCGCTCGCGACCCAATTTGAATGGAGAAGATCTCGCGACGTCACGATGGCCTTGCGTGGCGAACAATGGCACCCTTCTTTTACCATCTTTTGTACCTCCTTCTCCCATCGTTTCTTATTACCTCTTGGAACCAAAAAAAAACCCTGTCGATAGTCTAATCCGACTTGCTTTCACACATACTAATAAACTGTGTTGGGGCAGAAGATGTGGAGGGTTAAAAGCAGCGGCCTCATTGCCGGGTTCACCGTGACCTGCGCTTTGTATTACAAGCTCTTCGCTCTCACACTTATCGACGACGGCGAGGCGCAGAACAGGAAGTACGAGCTGATTGAAGGCAAGCTTTCCTGTGCCGCAAATGAGGCGATGGCCGCCGCGCCGGCTGAGTTGAACGCAGCATTGCGAAAAGACAACGCCCCGGCGTAGGCGGTCGGTTGTTGTGTTTCGTTTTTGTTTTCTCTGAAGTTGATCACAGATGAACGCGACGTGAACGATACGACTGCGATGTGCATTTCCTGATAGCATCTCTCATACGAACGAGCTGAAAACACCTCCTCCCCCTTTTCCCCCGTTCACACAAGCCTGATGTGGATGGAGCGTGCATGCAGCGCGTTTATTGATGACACAATCTTGCTCTTCATTGAAGGAGAGCGATTTGTTCAAAGAATGAAAGGCGAGTGCAAGAATCCAACGTACTGTGAGGGGGGGGGGGTACTGTTTTCCCCCAAAGAACCCCAAAGCGACTCCTCCTCCTCTTTGTGTGCTCGAGACACCTTCAATCGTATAAGAAGGCCGTGTCTCGATCCGAGAGCTGAAGCACATTCCCTTTTTCTTTTCTGACCCTCTTCTTTTTTTTTTCCTCATCTTTTCATTGGACACAAGACACCCAGAGGTGAAGGAATACAGTTAATACAGGGCTGCCAACGTGCCTAGGGTAGAGTATCGTTAAGTTATAGAGTAGAGGAGAACCATTCTTCCACACACACACACATACACACAAATGCACGCAGAGATACACAGATTGGTACGCCATCTTTACTCGAACCCGCGCCGCTACCCGCCATGCTGCCGCATCGCATTCTTCCACAAAAGCCGCGTCACATCGCCCCGTCTATTCACGTCCTCGCCACGCGTCTGGCTCAGAACACCGCCGATCGCATTACTATCGGCAACACACCACTACACATTTTGCACCTGTGCGACGCGCAGTATCTCGCACCTCTCTTCCCCGCATGTCACTCCTTGCGGGCCATCACGGTGCACCTCAAATACGTCGCCTCCGCCACTGCGCTGGAAGCCTTTCTTCAGGGTGCGGCGAAGTGCTCTTCGGTGAGGGATGTGTCGTTGATCGGCGGCGCCACGCCGATGGAGGCGGCTGCCATCGCCGCCGGACTCGCTGCTTTTGCCTTCGCGGAGAATACAACATCACCGCCGTGTGGGAAACAGCCGCAGCAGCACTTCACGAGACTTCCGCCGCGGGCGTCGTGCGGAATGCAAGGGGGATGGGCGTATCGACGCGCTCCTCATCTCCCTTCACACCCTTCACCAACCGCGTCAGAGCTCCAGCAGCCTCCCATGACCGCCAAAGCGCGCCTGCCTAATCGGGAAAAGCTTTTTGGGTCCCCGGCGGCCTTTTCCTGCCCGATTTCTCCCTCCTGCTACAAGGATGGTCACCTTGCTCGTCCTGCCACGGAGAAGGCTGATGCAGTGAACCAGTCATCTGGCGCAGCTGTGCATCGTAGTCGGGCGTCGCTTTCAACTCCTTCATCTCCTTGCGCGAGGTCACCGGCATTTCTCCTCGCGTTGCAACAAGCACCAGAAAACGTTCACGTAGCGCTGGAGCTGCACCGTGTAAGCGAAGAGACCAGCGCGCTACTGTTGGCGGGCCTGCGTCGCGGGTCGCGTATTCTCTCCGTCGCCGTTCACTTGCGTGTCAGCACCGCAGACGCGCGACTTATCGGGCTGCGGTTTGCGCAAACGGCAAGGCAGGTTGCATTGCAACACCGTCAACTGCAGATTCAGCAGCCGATCCAAACTCCCGGCAGCGCGCGTCTCCTTCACCCTCCATCCGAGAGTACAACAGCCTCCCACAGGAGCACCGCGACGACGAGCGCTACAGGTCGCAGATTACGTGTGCGGTCCGGTCCACCTTCTCCAGCCGTTTCGTTATTGTCTCCGACGCATCGCGAGTTTCGACCTCGTCTGCCCTCACAGTACGAGCGCCACGGCGCCAACATCGCGGGGAGACATGCCGCCTACTCGCCTTATTCGCCGCACCTGAAACCCTCTCCTTTTGGATTACCGGCACATCACAGCGCTTGGGCACCAGCAGCAGCAGCATCGTCAGCCGCCGCCGGAGTTGGGCAGCGGCCATTTTTTCCCTTCGCGCATCCCCACACACCCGCAGCCACCCCCATTGCTTCGGACGCCCCTCCCCGCGTTCAGGTGGCTGCTGGTTCCGCACGACGTCTCGCCATGAACGCCGGACAGGTGCGAGGAAGGACGCGCGAGGATGCCTATCGCCGCCGCGGCCGCCACTTCTTTTCGTCCGAACGGAGAAATGCGGTGCCCCCTGCCGCGGCAACGCCGCCGTGCGCGTTCGACGCCCCGCTGCCGCCGCGACTGCGGTGTGGACCCCTGTGCGGCCGTGTTGACTTGGCACAACAGGTGCGGACACCTATCCCCCCGCGCCCGATCGCATCGAACATCCCAGATCATATGCGTTCCAAGCCACGGCAACCCACTGTCTCCCAGTACTCTGCACGTCATTCCTCCTCCTCTTCCTTTTCGCCTATTGTGGTGGATCCAGACGGCTTCCGACGCGGCCGTTCCTCATCCTTTTCTTCGTGGTCGTCGCGGTCGACGTCGCCGCAGCCGCGTCCTCCCGCACCGCCGCCGCCCCACTCCTCCTCCTCCGCTACTGCGGCTCGTGCTGCTCTCGCTTCCTCGACGCGGCGTGACCGCTCCTGCCAGCGCGTAGGACCTCCAGAAGGCTGGTGTGCCTGGCCTGTACGTGCGCCGCATCTTCATGAACCGGTGGCTCGCGATCCATCGCGTCTCCGACGCTCTCCGCACGCCCCAGCATCAGCGAGGCTGTGCTCTCCGCGGTATTGTCTGCGTCGCGGCCGCGATGGTTTTTTCGGGCTGCCACATCGACACGATCCATCCAACACGAACGTGGCGCGGCCGCACGTGCCGTCCAGCGTGTCGCGCCATACAACTTGTTCGAGTCGCGAGCAGCGTTCCCCCTGTTCGTGCTTCGTGTGCGCCACATCTCAGAGCAGGAGAGAGGACGCTCGTCCGCGGTCCGCTGCTGGTATTACTGCTGCCGTTGCTGCACAGGCACGGTTGCCGGCGTCACCACGTACACCCACCATGCCACGCAACCGCGTGAGAGAGGCGATGCTGCGAGCTGCTGTCTCTGCGGCAGGGTCGCGGCAGTCGCGGCCGGTGCTGCCTTCGCCGTTTTCACCTCCCTCGGTGCCGTCGTCTGCGGCGTCTTCTCCGTTGACGTCGTTGTCACTGCGGCACCGTCCATTGCAGAAAGACTCTCCGGCATTTATTCCGAAATCGAACACGGAGAGCGAGACCAGCAATGACGCCTACTCCGCCAACGCCTCCACGCCGGGCATCACCGCGCGGACCCCGGAGGAGCAGAAGAGAAGTAAGCGGCCTTCCAGCGGCGCCGGTCTTGAGCCTGTCGCAGCAGCAGAATATCGGAGGCGACGATCTTCGAGTGGTAGTTGCCGTCTTGAAGGCATTGATTCTGCCTGTTGTTCTGCAGGCGCTGCCACGGCGACGGCCGCTGCGGGACATCAAAACTCGTGTCGTTGCGCTTCGCGCACGCAGCTGCCCGCGTCCCCCTCGGCTGCCCTTCCTTCCTTTCTCAAGGAGACGATCACCTCGTCTGACACGACGACAGAAAGCGCCGAAGAGCAGAGCGACGGCGTTGCAGGCAGCGACGGGTACGTGGTGTACCCCAAATCACTCAAGTTTCTGCGTGCGCGTGTGGCGCAGATCAACCGACATGTTGTGTGGCATCAGGTGAAGGCTGCGAAGGAGACAGAGGAGCACTCGAAGCGTCTCGCCGCGCTCGAGGTGGCGTTTGCTGGGCGGGTGACGGAGCAGCTTTCCGACATTTTGATGGTGCTCACCGATATGGAGCACGGCTCTCGCAGTGGTCGCCGTTAGTCCTTCTTTAACCCGGCTCGCAGAGATTCATTAAATGGCGACATTTGATTGCAGCTCGAGTCAGGACTCTTTTTGGCGCCGTCGTCCGCTTTTCGTTTTTGTTTTGTTTCCCTTTGTGCCTTCTCTCACTTACTGCTACATCGCTGCTCTGCGTCTAATTTCCACAGTCAACCAATTTCTATTCATGCAGGAGCTTTTGTGTTTTGGTCCTGCGTATATATACATATGCGTGTGGGGCTCTCTTTTTCTAGGCCACTAGTAATATTAGTAGCAAAGCAGAGGGCTGCAAGTCCTGCTGTGCCTTGTCGTCGCGTAGGACGGTGGTGTGTCATGGCTACGTAGTCCTCGGCTCTTATTTTTTCTTTGTCAGACTCACGACCTGTGCGGCTCTGCGCCGCCGCGCTTTCGTGTTTGCGAACTTCCCTTCTTTCTTGCCGTTTTAACCTCTTCAGCCGGCCGTCTTTTTTTTTTCAAATTGCACATCAACTCCCGTGCTTGTTGTTGGTGCTGTCACCACACTCAAGACGGCACTATCGTCGCGTCGTCCACGCTCCCCTACCGGTTTTCTTTCTTCGGTGTTCGTTTGCGAAGGCGAAACGAGGAGTTTTGTGAGCGACCACGCTCTGACTTTACAAGTGTCAAACACACGCACCCACACAAACAGGAACTGGAAGCGGCTGCACCGTCACACAACGCGTCTTTTATTACTTGCTCATTCTCACACAATATACTGCTGCTCCGTTGGGACACACACACACACACAAACACGCAAAAACGATTTAGCATCTTTCTCTGATGAAAGGAAGAGCCGTCAAGACGATCGCTTCGATTGCAGATGTCCGAGCAGCCGTCGCGCGCTTCTGCGACGCGCACCTCTCCCGCAAGCTCGACACCAAACCCGTCGCCGACGTCCATCAAAAGGTTTCCACCTGCGTGCACGCGGTGGACGCGGCCATGACGCCGTACATCTTCGGCTCCACCGCCGTCTTGGGCGTGCACGAGCACGGTAGCGACGTGGACTTTGTATGCCTCAGCCCGGCAGACGTCTCAGACGGCACCGGCGCGGATGCCGTGTCGGAGGTCGCGAAAGGCTTACAGGCGGACTTCCTCAACCGCCTCAGTGAGGAGGTGAAGAGGGAGCACTTTTTGTGGGACATCGATCTGGTGCGCCGCACCCGTGTCCCCGTACTGCGGGTAAAGGGCGGGATGGGCACCGACGGCGTGAGCTTCGATGTGACGGCGAACCGCCGCAACGGCGTGCGCAACAGTGCGCTGCTCCGCTGCTACTTGACGCAGCACCCCGACACACGTTGGCTGAGCATGCTGGTGAAGCAGTGGAGCAAAAAGACGGGCCTCAACGCTTCGGTGGAGGGTGGGTGTATCACCTCCTACGGGTGGAACATGATGGTGGCGTACTATCTTGTGCAGCGCAACATGGCGAAGCTTGTACCCGTAGAGTCCTGCGACGTGGCCCAGATAGCCCCTATGCCGCCCTACCTGCCGTTGGATGCACCGCAGCAAAATGGGCAGGTGCTGGCGGAGATGATGCAGGATTTCTTGCACTTTTACCTCCACGAGTTCAAGCCGGAGACAGAGGTGATAAGCTTGAACCGACCGGCGGGGGAGACGACGAAGGAGATGCTGTCGTGGACGAAGAACGCAGAGGATATGGCGCGCATACGAGGCGAGAAGGTGCACTACCGGTGGTGCATTGAAGACCCGTACGAGTACAACCTGAACGTCGGACGTAACGTGACGCCGTTCAAGGCGATGCTTCTGCGCAAGCATTTAGAGCGGGCTCAGGAGACGGGGCTGCTGCTTCTGACACCTGTTCCGGCGACCGCAAAGAACGCAGCCTGATGTCGTCGTCGTCGTCTTGGATGGGAAGAGGGTGCGATGCGGTGCACACACGCCGTGACGGGCGTGCGTGTTTTTAGGGGTTAAAAAAGAAAAAGAGGAAGAGAAGCCAACGGATGTTTTTCTGAGAGCTTTCACAGATTCCCTTTTTTTTTCTTTCATTAGTTTCTTTTTGCATCCTTCACATTGAAAACACTGGTTTAAAGAACACACCAGAAAAATTTACACTGACCAAGACAATTGGCAGGCACCGCAACCTGCCCGGTGCAATAGCAGAGGAAGAACAGCCGTCAATTTCATCCGAGACGATGGTTCGCTTGATTTGATCGTGTGGACGGCGACGAAGGTTCGAAAAAGTTGAATCGGAGGACTACGCTTTTAAATGCGTTGAACCGTGTGATTGGGGCTCAGGGCGGAAACACATATCAAGAAGCTCTGACAATCCTATGCCTGCTTACCTCAACGACATCTACCTCTCTTCCGGTTTGCTTTTTCTTTATTAACTGACGGTCATCTCTTTGTATGGGGTTTTCTTGCTTCACAGCCATTTGAAGGAGTTAAAGGATTGTTGACCCCCCCCCCTCCCCTCGGCAAGTCAGCTGCGCGTCCTTCACTGCAAGTTTTCTAAAGATATTTACTCTGCTTCATTTCGCCTTTACCGGGCTGAAAGAGAGTGCAGCGGAAATACGGTTTTCTTCTTTCGTTCAACTCACAGAGCGATTGAGAAGCGGCGAGGGAAGAATGCGTTTTCCTGTCGGCCCTGTGGTGCGCCGTGCTCGCGTGCGATCACTCGCTGCGTCTCTGCAAGTTCGAAGCGGCAGCGGCAACAGCACCAATGGGTTCGGCACCAGTGTCGCGCGGCTGGGCCATGGCACAGCAGCACTGCTGTTTGCTGGCACGAGCAGCGCTGCAGCCCGCCTTCCCACCGCACACAAGATGCAGCGCCGGTGGCAATCGTCCGGCTCCGGCTCCGGCGGCGTCGACCCCAGAATGACGGAGAACGAATTTGTTTCGGAAGACACCACCGGCCTTCAGTCGGAGCTCGTGCAGGAGCTGGAAGGCGAGGGCAACTTATCGATGGACGCCGCCATGTCCCAGCCGCTCGCGAAGGCGGACCTGCAAACACCGACGGCGCGCATTCGTCTTGAGAAGATTGAGCGTCCACCGGGCCGCTTCGACATACTGACCAACTCGCTTGTGTACCGTTGGCTGACGACGGCTGCGCAGGCACGGAAGGTGTCGGGGCCGATGCGAGAGTGGGCGTCCGAGCTGAAGTACAGAACCGGCGTGCACGTGGAGGTGGAGCCGACCTTCCCGGATCGACTCGTCGTGCCAGAGACGGAGGGCGGCTACGCGAACGCGGACGAGGTGGAGCTGACGGTGTATTTGTTTGGCAGCGAGCGCGGTATCTTCAATTGTCGGCAGTTGATGGAAGCGGCGCTCGATCAAGATCCCGCCTACGTACGCCTGGGCGTCTTCCGTCGTAAGCCCGGCAAGACTGCAAGCGTGAATAGCAGCGGCAGCGCGAGCAGCAGCAGCGGTGGTGGTGGTGTGACCATCAACCGGAATGAGGATATCGAGTGGCTGATGCTGCGCCGCATCAACCGCGACCTTCGCCCGCCGGACATCCCGCCTATCTCGCTCAAGCTACCGGGCAAGTGGACGCTGCTGTTTGAGCACTACAGGGAGGCCGCCGTGCGGACTCTTTGGGAGGAGACCGGCATCACGGTGGACCCGAACACTGTCTATCCAACGGCGTGTCTCAACCAGAGCAACCCTACCTTCTACTGGCGTGTCCCGGTGCACTACTTCGTGGCGGAAGTGCCGTACGAGGTGGAGGTGCTGGGTCCGCAGGTGGGGCTCAACACGTACATGCACCACTGGGATGCACAGCTGCTCCGGCAGTCGCCGGACCCCATTGACCGCGCCTGGGCGCAGTTGGCCAACCCCGAGACGGGCTGTGCGTGGATGAAGGTGCCGATGATCAACGAGCTGCAGCGACCGCTGCGCGGCGAGGACTACATGGCGACCCGCTACACGCCTCCGCCGTACTCTGGGCTGAATAGCGTCTTGGGCTTCGCGGTGCCTGCGTCGGAGGTCGCCGCTGCTGCTGGCGGTGCCGCAGGTGGTGCCGATGCTGAAGGGGCGGCATCCACAACTGCGGCGACGGAGGAAGTACAGGAAGAAAAACCAACAGCCGACGCCACCCCCACGGAGACGCCACAGTCCGAGCCCACTCCTTCTTCGTAAAAAGGGAGAAACGCAGCGCAATCTGTGGAGTTGAGGCGGTTCGGCATTGCGAGGAAAGAGTTTCGCAGGGGTTCCGCAGCTTCAGCTCCGCCGGGCATCGGCGGTGCGGCATTCCTTCTTGAGTTGTGTTGTGATCTTCATGAAGAGCACAAAAAAGCGTTGGCGCCAGCCGTAAGTGGCCAAAGCACCAACGCTGTACCGGTTGTTACAGATAGCTGGGGTGCCAGCGCACACCCACGGGTGCATCATTTCTTCTTTGCTTGTTGGTTGGGTTGTTTGTGCGTTGAAGGCGTCGTGCCTCCCACTGCGGGTTTGGTGATCCACACTGGATGCGCTGCTTCGCTCAGCAGACGTACCTCAAATCTGCCGGTGCAGTTAAGGACTCTTCTGCTGCGGCCACTGTTGGTTAGGAGAGGTGGCGTGTGTGCATGTGCGAGTCTGGGGGCATTTGTCGTAAGACGCTGTCGCGTTGGAAAGCTGTTGTTTAATCGCACAATTCGCAAAAGGAGGGAAACGGAAAAAGAAAAACAAGGCGTAACCGTCACTGCGACCTCGATGAGCACGGAGGCCATTGCATCACTGTCTTACACCGAGACGCAAGTCTCGTACCTTTTCCGGAGGGCTTCTTCCTTCACACGTCGCCTGTTTCGTGATGATTGCTTTGATGCCGCCGTCCTCTGAATTCAGCTTTTAAATCGTTAAAAACAATAGAACGGGAAAGTCAGCAAAACACTTTTTTCCCCCGCGTACGTGCAGTGCTGTTGCGCAAAACGACGAAGAAAGCCCCATCGTTTGACCTGCACCCAACTCGCCAGCTTCCCTTCATTGTTATTCGTTTCTTTCTTTCCCCTCTGCTCTTGAGAGCGTACCTCATTTTCTGATTTCATTGAATCATTTTAGAGAAAAGGGAAATTAAAGATAGTTAATGCCCCCACGTGGCACCGGACGCGGTCGAGGTCGCAGCGGCGCCGTCACGTCCCATCCCAAAGGCGCACACACGAAGAACAAGCCGATCAAGCCGCGGACATTTGAAGAGTACTACAGCGAAATCTACGGCGAGCGGTGGCCCACACTCCGTGCGGCAATGACGGTCGTCCCCCGCAAAGTTGCGCTGTGGAACCGCTTCTCACAGGTGCCCTTCGAGGAGGCAACGCGCGGCCTCGTGCGTGTTGATGCGCGGTCACTCACTCAGGCATTCCAACCAGCATCCGTGGCTGGGAAGGAGCATTCTCAAGAGACCACGATCAGCAGCGAGAGCAAAGAGGACGGACCGGAGGACAGCATCATCGACAAGCCTCCGATCGACGCCTTTGGCATAAAGGCCTATTACTTGATGGATTACGCCTCCGCCTACGTGGTGGAGCAGCTGCAGGTGGGCTCCTTTGACAAGGTGCTCGACATGTGTGCTGCCCCCGGAGGCAAGTCCATCGCCATTGCGCAGTTCCTCTCACCGGATGGCTCGCTGTCGTGCAACGAGACCCGCGCGGACCGGTGTGCACGTCTGCGCCGCAACCTCCAGGAGCACATCCCTGTCAATTACGTGCCCTGGCAGGCGACGCAGCGGGATGCGCAAACGTGGTACGACCCCGCAGCCTACACGCGTGTCTTGGTCGATGCGCCGTGCTCGTCGGAGCGCCATCTTTTACAGCAATCTCGCGGCGCTCCGCTGTCGCTTGGCGAGTGGTGCGAAGAGACGACGATGGAGCTGGCGGCGCTGCAGCGTGTGCTTCTCCTACGCGCCGTGGAGACGTGCGCTGTGGGTGGCCGCGTGGTGTACAGCACGTGCTCCATCTCGCCTCTTGAGAACGGCGGCGTGATTTCGGAGGTGCTGCGCCGCACTCGTTGTCAGGTAAGAGTTGTCAAGACGTCGTCGTGTACTTCGTCTGCTGCCGCTGCCGGCGCTACCTCGGCTGCGGAAGGACCTTCGCCGCCGCCTGTGCTTGGTGAAGCGACGGCGTACGGCCGCTTGCTGCTGCCGGATACAACGGATGGGTGGGGACCGATGTTTTACTGCGTGCTGGAGAAGATCGGCGAGCACAAGCGGATGGGCTCCTCGTCTTCAGAGGACGAGAGTGACGGTGATGAGACTAGCACTGGCGGCGAGCGTGCGTAAGCAAAGACACGCGGATGCCGGATGACTTCCGGTGGCTCCTTCCCCGCCTTCCCCCCCCCCCTCTGTGTGCGCGTTTCATGTTGCGTTACACACATGCGCGCACGCAACGGATAATGCTGTAATGCAGCTTCACTAATACTAAAGAATCCAAAGCACGTCGCACCGACAACTACAGCAATAACAAGGAAAGAAAGACAAAGGTGCGATAGCGCCTTTTTCTCCGTAATCAGCGAAACAGAGCGTCAAACCCGACAGCTTCTGAGTCTTGAACCCATGAAAAGCAATACCTCACAAGGCTTCCAACAGCTCCGAGTCCCACGACACCCATCCACATACACACACACACACACATAGACACACATGCAAAGTCAGCTTTATTGGGTTTTAAGCCCTCTTTACGTCTTCACGTCTCTACTCATTCGTCTTTCATCCTTCAAACAGCACGTTCGTACGAGACACGGAACCATACAAACAGCAACAACAACAAAAAACCATCAGCCACAATGGAATGAAGCACGGTAGCCTCGCCATATTGGGACGAGGCATAGCATCCGCTGCATCGTTGGGAGCCTTTCAGAGACCAACGCCTTCCGCTGCCACACGTGGGGCCTTTAATGCCACTATCGTGCAAAGGCGAACCTTTTTCTCTCTCTTATGGGGTCAGTTTTCTGAGTCTTTATCGCCGGGTTCTGACAAGGCACCTGCCTCGCAATCCGTCGCGTCATGGAGTGCAGGAACGGCAACGCCGCTAACGACCTCGGGCAAGTCGCATCATGATGTTGTTGGGCGTCGACGAGGCGGCGTTGTGAGGAAGGAGCATCAGACGAAGAGCAGCACAAGTGGCGACCGCACAAGGGCCTCGGATGCATCATCGCAAGCACCGAGTTACGAGTTTCCAGTGGGCCGTGCCCTGCGTTACGTACAGCAGGGGCAACGGTTTTACTTGCAGGCGGAGGGCCAAGCGGAGCTGCATGAATGGCTCGCGACGCACGACACACAACGTGGTGTCAATCGGAAAGGCACATTCAACGTTGCGGCAGACACCATTGACGCCTCTTCCTCGCCATTGCCTGAGGTCAGAGGTCACGAGGAGCGTGTGCGAAACGAGGTATCCAAGTTCACCAAATATCATGCACACCACGTTTTGATTGCTTTCAAGCAACTGCGCCGGCATCTTTTTCAGCTGCAACAGTCATCAGCGGAAATCCATCGTGGTGATGCTATACCAAGACATGCTGAGGGCAAAAACGGAAAGAGGAGACTGCTTCAAAACACTTCGGCCGCCGTTTCGTCACCGAACCTCCCCTCACACGACGTCGATACGTTAACGGGACTTCTTTTCGCCGCGACGGTGCTGCTGCATCTTGGCGGTCTCTTCACCGTCTCCGATACGCACGTGGAGCCACTGATTGAGCTGTGCTTTTCTGCCACCGTCTTTCTTGCACAGGACTCTACGACAACGGCGCGCTTGCAGGGCGCCTCCAAACACTGTCGTGCTGTTCCAGCACGACACTGCACCAGAGAAGACCATGCATTTCCCAGCTCAGTGCAACGCAGATCTTCACCCACACGTGTTCCAAGGCCAAAGAAAGAGGACGAAACTCTCGCGGGTGAGACAAAACCGGCGGCTGCGACGACAGCCGTTGAAAAGAGGTACGCCGCGCCGCTTCTCCAACACCGTCACCTTCACTCGTTACATTGGTCCATTGTGCACTTCGCAGCCGCAGTGCAGCGCTGGGGACTGCTGGAGCACACCAGCCCTTTGCAGAGCATCCAAAGGACGCAGCGCCCATACGAACGTCTTCTTCAGACGCATGCCGCGCTGCTCTGCGAACTCACTCGCGCGCGCATCGATCACGTGCTGTGGCACGAGCTAATTCTCCTGAAATCGGGCCAGCGAGCGCCGGCGTCGGTGGCGGCGTGGTTCTTTGGTGCGGATGAACAGCTCTACCGGCGTTTCTTCGATCGTGCAGGCGCAGAGGCAGCGACGCGTGTTCCCCCGCGATTGCAGCAGCGACGCCTGCAGCTGCTGCCCATGTTGTGGCTCTCGCTGCTCTCCTCCCAGCTGGCACGATGTGCAGAATCTGCCCATAGTTGTAAGACACACGGTTGCGCTGCGCGCACGCGGGATGGCGATCTCATTCGACAGCATGAGGTGGTGGTGTTTGGAGGCGAGATGCACGACGTGAACTGGGGTTCGGCGCGCCACGCCTTCACCTCTCTCCTCCCGCTCTTCGCGACGGATGCCGGCTTCGAGGTGACCGCGTGGGCGCTGCTGCACCATCTTTTCATGCCTGGTCTGGGAAGCATACCTGCGAAACAAGACGTGACGAGGGCATCTGAGAATGCGAGTCTGACGGAGACGTGCGCCTTGGTGGCGCGCGTTGAGCAAAGCGACGCCGCGTTGAAGCTGGGAAACGTCCTTCCTTTCGAAGTGCCTGCGGTGTCTTCCAACGTGTCTCTAACGTCTCAAGCGCGAGTACCGGCGGGCAGTCCTTCACCGACGTTTGACTCGCGGCGACGCCTGTCCTTTCATCTCGCGTGCTTCCTGCGGCGCTTCCTCAATGGTCTTGCGACCGACGAACAGGAAACCGATATGGCCCGCCGATCCGTAGAAAACGAGGTGGTTACCCATTCGATGTCATCACCCCCGCCGTACCTGTCACGTACATCAAAGAAGTCGACCCGCAATGAAACCTTCTTACAGTACCTTTCCGCCCCCCAAACGGCGATACGTCGCCCGGTGCAGCTCTATCGGGCTCTGCTGAACATTCCCCTCTGCTCCTTGGACCTGCCGCCCGCGCACACGTGCAACCCACCAACGGAAGCGGCGTTCCCACTGCTTGTGACGACAGACGGGGTGCGACTGGTGAACACGTTGCTGTTGCGCGTGCTTGTGCAGTGGCGCACCGACGCAGCGCAGCAACGCCGTCTGCGCGCGCCCTCCTTTCACAGCGCTACCCCGCGTGCAGCAAGCGGTGCGGCGAAGGAACGAGAACCAGCGACGCCTGACGCTGACGAAGACCGCAGTGACGAGAGAGGGCGACTGCGTGCAGCGGCGACGCGTGCGGAGTGGGAGCGAGAGGTATTTTTTGTGTTGCAGGCGGTGCATCACTTGAGTCAACTTTTGAGTCACGCCACGGCAGCGGACTTCATCAAGGGAACGGGAGACAGTCTGCTTTTAGGCAGCGGCGACGGTGCAAACGCTGCCCTTCAAGTTGCGTTGCTGGTGCCTACCGTACAGGCGGCTGCACGAGCTCTGTCAGAGCAGCTGGGCATGTCTCTTCTTCCTCGCCGACTTGCGTTGATGGCTGACAACGGCTACTCTCTCCGACCTACGGAGCAGAAGCTGTTGAAGTATCTCGACGAAGAGCTGCGTGGTGTTCTCGTGAGGCGGCATTCCGGCGCTGGCGAGAATACGACTGATGATGAGGTTCCTGAGCCGTCAACTGGGGCTCTGCCGTGGAGCTACAAGGCAGCACTCTCTGCTCTTTTGAATGAGAGGGGAGCAAAAGAAGTACATGAATAGAGATGGCCAATGAAGTTGTGGCATTTTTTTTTGTTTCTTGTGAGCGTCTGGTAGTCACCACACTCAACACTTACGAGTACTTTCTGCTTCGACATACCCACGTTGTACGAGCGTGGGGTTGCAAGGAGAGGAAGGGAAAAGAGAATTGTATCGCTTTCTCGTACTTCACCAGCACCTCGGAGGAACGTGCAGATGGCGCACCGCTGTAAAAGAAGAAAAACAAAAAACAACTGTGGACAGTGTCTTCTCTTATTTTTTTTTTGCTGTGCATGATACTGTTAATGCTAGTAACAGGTGCTTGCACGTTTTAGCCGTTCTGAAAAACCTCCTCCCCCCTGCAACACCTTCAGGCGAAAACCGGAGCAGGTATGATGATGCGTAAAAAGCGTGCTGTCACCTTTTCCGTTCCTCTTGGAAATTGTAACGAGTTCCATTGCTGTTGAAACGCACGGTGCTCTCCTTCTGCGTTGAACTCACACCTTTTCTTACCCCTCTTTTTTCTCTTGTGTTTGCGTTTCTCCCGTCTTCTGCGTCGTGAGGTGAACACGGATTCATACTGGAGGGCAGAGTGACTCGCTACATCAGCGCACCTTTCGTACGACAGGTGCATGCACCGCTTTCTGTAAAGGGAGTATATACACATATGTATGTGTATTCCTTTTTTGTTGTTTTACTTGTGCTTCGATCGGAGTGAGTGTAATTGTAAGTATAAGGGCGGACACATCGGTTCGTCTGGTCTTAGCAGTTGGGTATCGTTGCGGTGCTGTCTGAAGAAATCTCCCCCGAACAAGCGCATGCACACACGTACATACACAAACACACACACCCAGAACCACTGAAAGTTTAAATTCTTTTCTGTTCTCTTCTTTCTTCGTCGGCTTTTTTTTCTTGATTATCCCTCGGAGGCAGAGAGACGATACGCCCTAGAAGTCATCGTATACGGTCTCGATCTTTTCTTGAGTACTCTGCTGTTTGCTGCGTCGGCAACTCGTAGGTCTCCCCTTCTTTCCTTTTTTTATGTAGACGTTTTAGATCGGCTCTCTTGAGTTTTCGTTTGTTTTCTTCACTCGTCTCCCAAGGTGTTTTTGTACTGTAGCGCCTTTTGAATACAACGAATAGCGGGTGCTGCACTTGCAACTACCGTGAGACCGTTTTCTGATCACTCCTAAGCATTTCGGGTTCTCTCCGAACTGTTCGCTTTCAGCAAGTCAACGGCAATGCTTTCCACCTCGCCCGTTCGTGCCGTGACGGACACGCCTGGGCGATCGCCGGTGCACGCAGCAGACGGCTGCTACGCCTTCTCCCCTTCCCCATTCACCGCCGCCTCCTCCTATTTATCCATGATGGACCGAACGGATGAGTTTGACTGCGACGCGCCAACCAAAGGCTCGTCGCCTCCGCATGGGGAAGGTGGAGTGTCTCCGCCCCATAACCGTGACGAGCGTGGAGTACCGTATCGTTATGACCAGCCCATCCGAGGCACAAACCGCAGCCCCCCTCGCGACACAAGCGCCCGCAGTCAGGCGGATGCTCTCCGCAGCATCGCCCAAGAAGCAACTCCCCTCTCAAAGACGAGTGAAACAAAACGGTGGATGGATGGGGTGCCGATCACACCCATACCGGCTACGCAGGTGACGGTGCACCGCGCAGGACAGGATACCGAGTGGCCGCGGATCGGAAATTTAAGCAGTGCGGCGTCGCTACTGTCAGCCGCCTCCTCGTCGTCCCTGACTGCACCTTCGGTCTCGGCCGCGACGCGAAGCAAGGCTGTTCTGCTGGACAACACATCTTCATCCGCCCCCCTGCACGGCCCAGGAGGTGACGTCGCCGCGCTGCGCTTCAATCTACAGGCGCTGCTTCAGCAAGCCGCATCCGGAGCGACACCTGGCGAGAGCAACGACAAGAAGCAGAGAATCAGCCTCTGCAGCAGCAACAAAAGCACCGTGAACGCCGCTACCGACACCGCGTTCGCGCTCCCTCTGCCGCTGCATTCCCCGCACGTCTCCAATCCGAGTTCTCCCGATCACTTTCAGCGAGCGCGCAGCCACAACGGCAGCAGCGCCGGTCTCCCGCCGCCGTCGCCGACGCCGCGCCCCAGCCAGAGTGGAGGCGGCAGCGGCGCCGACCCTTCTATGCACTCCGCCGCCGTCTGGCCGCGCTTCCCACCTTCGCTCTCCTTGTCCCGCGATGCGGTGAGCGTCGACGACAATGTAAGGTATCAGACCCCACATAAGCCCCCTCCACGACAAGCATCCGTCTCGAACGCATCCAGCGGCGCAGTGAATAGCGCTTCAAGAGAGTTCCGTGGCAAGGCCGTTGTGCGACCTGCGCCGTCAAAGCAGCGGTCCAATCCACCTCGCTCACCAAGGATGTCGGATGATCGTCTCGTGCGGGCGATGGCCATCGGCCAGCCGCAGGGATTCAATGCGTCGTTATCGAATTCTAAACTTCCAAGTGGGGAGCATAATCGCAGTCGACTTCGTGAAGAGGTGCGACAGGCGCGTACCCAACAGGATTTCGAAACACAATCCGAGCAGCTTGCGCGGCGGCTCGACGCGAAGCTTGAGCTGGTGTTTGAGCTTATGCGACGCATAATGGTTCTGGATGCACAACTGGTGGTCACCCAGGCGGTGCAGGACGATATTGACGTAGCGGGTGACTTCTCCCAAGCTCCGTTGCACGAAACTGGCGGCGAAAGAGAACAGGAGGTGACGGAAATGGACGAGTACCGCGACGCGCTCGTGCGGCAGCTGGAGGTCGGCGAGGACGAGACCGTGTCCTGCACGCTGAGCTACGTGGAGCTGACGAATCGTCACGCACTGCAGTGGATGAATGAGAAGCAGTTTTCTGCTGCCTTGAATTTGCTGAAACGTGCGGATGGGCTTCTGCGCAGAAACGCCGGTCGCGTGTTCCGCTACTTGCCAGACCCCGTGGAGTTGAGAGCTGCCCTCGTCAGCAGCACCAAAAACGCAGCGATACCGCGCTGGACTGAAAGTGGTGGCTCGCGATCGGGGTCGATCTCGGAAGAGGCGATGAATGGTGCGTTGAACAGCGGACGTCTGGGCTCGAGCAATGGACTGGCCAGCGGCAGCAATCACAAAGACCAAGCTCGCAGCATCAACGTTCCTTACTTCTCCCCCTCTCAGGAGCCGGCGCGACTGAAGGCAGCCGCGGCGGTGGAGCACAACCTCGGCATTTACCACTTTAAAATGAGCGAGTACGCCAGCGCAGCGTCGCGCTTTGCCCGTGCGGCGCTGCTCGAGGAGGAGCTGCACGCGCCGGGGATCGGGATTACGTACTTCAACATGGCGCAGACGCAGCACGAACTGCGCGACTTGCCCAAGGCGCTGCAGTACGTGGAGTTGGCGGAGGAGGCGGTGGAGCGGCAGGTTTTTGCCGCCAAGGACGCCGCCACGCAGAGGCGACGGCAATTGGCACAGGATGGGGCCTTCACGGTGGCTGACCTGGCGAAGGACACACCTGCTGCGATGGAGACGGAGGCGGAGGTGTTTTTGGCGGGCCTGAGTGTCTCGTCAGTGGACGTGTCGCGACGGAAAGGGACGGCGGCACAATCCGTGAAAGGGCATCGTTTCACTGACATGCGCAGGAGCACCTCGACGGGCCCTGCACGCACCACGGCAACTTCTGAGCCGCAGCGCGACGCAGCGCGTGAGCGTGAGCTGCTGCAGTTGTGGGTGCGGTGGCGGGAAGGCGTCTGCTTTATGTCGTGCGTGAAACAGTCGCATGCGGAGTGGCTGGACGAAATGGGCCAGTACAGGGCTTCTTCCCAGCAGTACGAGCAGGCGCATTCTTGGCTGGTGTCGGTGCCCAACCGTGCGCCGGAGGAGCAGCGGCGAGCACAAAAACTGAAGGAGCACGCGACTAAGACAAAGCGAAAGTGGAGACGTGAAGAGGTGGAGTTGGAGCTGTACCGGCGTCCCGTCAACAGAGGTCATGTCGGGAGCGACGCGAGGGCGACGATGTCATCCCACACGTGCCCGACACCCACCCACCACACTTCCAGTAAACCCCAACAGGCACCTCAGCAGCAGCGGCGGGATTCTGGTCGGCCTCATGCGTCTCCAGCGGGAGCGCACAACTGGCGTGGGACACCAACGCAGCTGCATAGCACCGTCGTGACCTCTGTCTTGCCGCCCGCTGTTGAGGTGCTCGGCGCACGCGGGGAACGCCCCCCTCCATGCTCGTCTCCTCATTCTCCGCCACGCCGCTTTTCTGCCGCGTCGGCTGCCGTTCCGACAAACGCCGCAGGGCCACGCTGCACTCGCCCGAACAGCGCCAACGCGGCCTTGTACTCCGCGTACATGCCTCCCCCTTCTCCGCCTTCCTCCTCACGCCGCAGTAGTGCTGGAGGAGAGCCCGTCCGGGGTGGGAAAGGGGCCACCGGTGCTGCGCCGTACTCGGCTCACCATCCCCCGCTGCGGCCGCCCACGCAGCACGGTCGACCGGAGTGGAATTCCTCGACTCACGTCCCGGCGCCACCGCCGGAGCGTCGTCCGACCTCCCGCCTCACCAGCGGCGCCAATCGTCGGTGGAGCGCTGGCACAGAGTCTGCTGCCCGCCGCAGCCCCGACTGCGTCGCCACCGTCATTTCTGTGCGTGCGATGGACAACGAATTCGACACCGTCGTTGCTGCCGCGTCGGCGACGGACACCCGACGTGCCGTGCAGCCACTGCCAGAGGAGATGCCCCACCAAGTACAGTGGCCAGCCCAGCAGCAGCAGCGGCGGGAGAGACCACCGCAGAGGCGGGTGAGTGGAGGGCCGGCAGACAGTGCGGCCTCTACAGCTGCTGCGGTGTCTTCACACCAGGAAAGCGTGATGCGCAGCTTACTGTTTGACGCGGATGCCGAGGAAGTGACGACTCCCCCCGTTCGCTCGCTCACACTGCAGCTGTCGCAAGATGGAGCACCGCTGGAGATTGAAATGGATGAAAACGAGGCGGGAGGCGATGATGCGGCAAGCAGCGCAGAGGGAGCTGAGGACGACGACGAAGAACAGAGTTCGTTTGCGGGCGTGGGTGAGAAAAACGACGGGGATGAAGAGGCAGCGGATAACGACAATGATGATGGGGACGAGGTGAGCACCACCTCCTCCTCCTCTGAGGCGGCTGCTGCGCTGGCGGAAGCGTCTCACCCGACGCCTCGTCCATGTGGCGATCTGACGTGGTGTGTAACCGTCTTGCAGGCCTTTTTGCGATCTTGCGTCACCGCGAAACACCTGGAAGAGGCAGGTTTCATCACGGAAGCTGCCCGTGCTGCAGCTGCGGCGGTGGATGATTATTCCGCGCATTCCAACCCGACGGAAGCGATGGCGGCGACGCGGCGGCCGGATGCGTCGGTGGGCCAAAACGGTGCGAGTGATCACAGCGGCAACGCTGAAGATGCCTCACAGGAAGTACGAAGGACGGAGCCTGAAGCTGAGGCTGACGGGGAGGAAGAGGAAGAGGAGGGCAAAGGAGGCAATGCGAGAGCGACCTGTAATAGTGCGGAGGTGGCTGCAAGCCAAGGAGCGCCTGTAGACGATGCTGATGCCGATGACATACGCAGTGCTCACGAGGAACGACCCGATTGTGCACCGCCGGAGAGAGGACAGGAGAGCCACATTTTGTCTCAAGCTCTGCCACCGCGGCCTGACTTCAGAGCTGACATGGCCAGCAACGTTCATCATCGTGAAGAGGGCGAGCTCGCAGACCCGCGTGCGGCGGAAGAGTCAGCAGACGCCTCCTCAAGGCGTAATACAGGCCCTGTGCTGAAGCAACACGTCAGCTCCGTGACAAATTTGGCCGACTGCTCTCCTCTTGTGCCGAAAGACTCGGGCAACGCGAGTAGTCTGGATCGGCGGAGCTTCCTTTCGGCGGAGGCGCTGGCGGAGTCGGGAAACGACGAGGACGAGGACGATGACGACGGCAGAACAAACACCGCGCTGTCCGGTTCCTCCTCCTCCTCCGACCAGCGCGGATCCGCTACGTCCTCAGCTTCTTCGGTAAATTCTCCCATCGCTGAACACGAGGTGTTTGCCGCGGCCGCTGCGGCCTTGCCCGTAGTGGAGGCTCCTGCTGAAGAAGAACCGACAAAACCGCCGTCCGCAGGGGTTCCAGAACACGTCGAAGACACCAGCAAGGATCTAGAGGACGCAGCGGACCGCCACCGACTCCGTGAGGTCATGTCGGAGAAGAAGGAGGAGGTGAGTCAGCACGACAACAACACAGAACGCGAAGAAGCAACGCCCCGGTGCGAGGACGCAACTTCTGCGAATGCCGCACGCGAGGAGGAGGAGCAAGAGACCTCCCAGCATTCGAGCCAGACCGCCGCCCAACGCGACGAGGACATTCTCCACGGAGAGGCAACTGCGATGGGCAACGGTGCGAGTGGGCGTGAGCCGAGAGGACGAGGTGATGCCCCCCAAACGGATGCAGGGCTGAACGACGAGCATGAAAAAAACTTCCACAGCAACCCTCACAACAACGCTGCCAACGGTGACAAGGCCAGTGCAGTCGACGACGGCGTAGCGTCACCATCCGACAACTCCGAAGAAGATGCCCACCAGGAGCTACAGACCCTTCCATCAGAGGTAAAGACAGATGCTGAGGCCGTGCCTGGAAAGGCTGATCTTGCGGAACGAGAAGAGGAGACGGAAACTCATGGGCAGCCAGAGCGTCTTTCCTCCCTAAATAACGTGGACGCAGCACCTCCGACCACGGACCCTCACCAAAGGCAGCCGCGGTCGTTCAATCGTGCTCTTTCCGACGACATCCCGGCGGCGGTGCACCTCCCTACCAGCTCTTCCTTCTCCCCCTGCTCCTCGGCGGAAGTCGTGGAGAACAAAAGCGGCCGGTCGAAGCTTCCAAACCCACACCTCTCCGCTGATCGAGAGATCCCCGACGAGGATGGAGGCGACCACCTCACCGATAACAATCACCTTTCTTCTGCCTCTCGTGGCCATCACGGCCACGACGCCACATCTCTTGTCGAGGTGCCGCCAACGCCCACCGTCGAGGGCTTTGAGGACCCCCTCCGCACCGAGGACTCAGCTGCGGCGCAGCGGAGCGTGGAGCCACGGAAGAAACGGCACTCCTTCTGCAATGAGGAGATGGTGTTTCGGGTGGCCTCCGCGCGTAACGGAGACAGCGGATCCCACGCCTCTCGCGACTTCGCGCACCTCGACGGAAAGGGGCAGCATGACGCACAAAACGGAAACACCACAGGTGATGAGGACGCACAGACGGAAGAAGTACTAAAAACTCCCCAAAACGTGCGTCGGCCGGCCGCAACAACGACTCCGCTCCGCGTTCATATCTTCGTATTTGCGCCTCCTCGCGTTGCCACGTCGGCTACGTCGGATATGACACCACTCACCGTATCTGCGCGCAGCGAGAACAACGAACCCAGTATCTCGCGCGATGCAACTGCTGCGGCACCGGCGGCCGGCTCCGCAGAAGTTGCCACCTTGGCCGCATCGCCGGCCGTGCTCCCGAATGTCACCTTCAGTCCCGCTGTCGAGGAGGCAGACGGAAGCCGATCACTCGTGCACCTGTCGCCCACCCTCACCACGGGCTCCCTCGACGCGCAGCTCTCCTTCACCGAGTCCTACTACTGCGAGGTGTCGCCCGAGGTGGAATGCATGGGTCGTCGCAACGGATCGAGCATCTCCACCACCACCCAGATCTCTCAGTTGCGGGCGAGCCTGTGGCGCAGCTTGCACGAGCGTGGAGAGGTGAAGGTGGGAGACGGCCTGTTCCACAGTTTACGCTCCCCGCTGAGGCAGATTACTGGCCCGTTGGCGTCTGCCCATGTCATGGTCGCTGCGGCCGGCCCGCGGGCAGGCGTCTCCGTCGCCTCGACGACGGCGTCCGCAGCAGCAGTTGCTGTGGCAACCGATCCGCCGGTTGCCATTGCTTCCGCCGTCGAGGTGACCGCAGACGCGCCATTAGACAGCAACGACGACAAGACAGAGGAGTTGCTGTCCTTCCAGCAGCTGCTAATATCGAATCACGGCATCGATATCGGCGACGCGGACGCCCCGCCGCTTCGCGCGCCTGCGCGACCATTCATCAAGACGTCGCCTGCAGCGCCGGTGAAGGAGGCGGACGTGCTACCTGCGTGTGCAACGGCGAAGGCGGCAGGGGAGAACGCCGCTCATGCCGCCGCACCCACTGTGGTGACGGCGGAGGTCGCCGTGATGCAGAAGACGGATGCGGCTGAAGGGCGGAAGGCGGAGTCCACGCAGTCCTCCCGCTCCACGTCGTCTTCTCCCACGTCGGGCGTAGTGGGTGAAGAAGGCCCAGAGAAGGAGGAAGCGGTGCAGTTCCCTGAAAAGAACGACGTACCCAGTCTTCCGTCGTCGAAACGGCATTCATCCGACCACAATGGAGCCAACAGCGCACTCGTTGAAAGGGAAGACAGAGTATATAAACTGGATTGCGCGGAGGACGCTGTGGCGCCTCATATGCGCTGCGCTGCCATCTTGGAAAGCGATGCGAACACCGAAAGGAACGCTTTTGCGCGGCAGGATGAGGATGAAAGCCAGCACGCACAAGAAGCCGCGCCAACACCCACAGCAGACAGCGCGGCCCTGCCTCTGCCGACGCTGTCACCACTCTCACCGGGAGAAGAAGAAAAGAATGCACCGAACAAGACGGCCAGATCGCCGTCGCCCACTCGGGCCCTTTCTCTTGGCGACGGTAACGCATCAGCTGTGGACGAGATGGGGACCTCAGAGGCGGAGCGGCTCTACTTGCGTGAACAAATCCTGCGAGAGGAGTCTGCAACGTTGATACAACAGGCGTGGCGGAGATGCACGGCAGTGCGACATCCTCGGCGCTCCTACACCGTGTGGTAGAATGCAGACGAGGCATAGAAATTTTCTTTTTTTCTCCAATTGAAGCGTGAATCTGTTTTGCCGTTTGAAAAAATGCAGCCTGCTTCTCTTTGACGCGTGTCACGTGACTGCTTTCACACCCCTTTTTTTCTTTTGAATATCTTGAACGCTCGTAAGTGGAGTCGTGGTCTCGGTGATTGAGGAGAGTATCTCCTTTCCTTGCGTTGTGTTTGTTTCTACGCGGCGCTTTTTTCTTGGTTGGAACGCCGTCGATGCGCTGCTCAGGGTACGACGGACAACGACTCGCCGAGTGTGCGCAGCAGAAAAAGGCTGTAGTTCTGGCTTTTGCTGTTGCTCCCTCTCTCACGCTGAACACTTCCGTCACATATATACATGTACACACACACATAGTCCACCTCCCCTCTTTTCTGATCTTTAGATTACAACCTTGATGCATCTTTCTTTCCCAAGTGAGTTCACTTTCCCTGCCGTTGCGCTCCATCGTTCATTCCCCTTAAGAATAAGGTGAACAGCTGCACAAGATAAGAAAGGTTGGGGACTTCCTCACCCACGCAAAATGCTTTTCCTCTCTTCTTTTTATTACTATTTCCCACTCACCACCTACAAACCTCCCTTTTCTTTCCTCCTTGTGGTGACGCTTCCCGTGTCGTGGGCTTTGCCTCAAGGGTAGCAACACCGTTTAAAAAACTTCGTTGAGTGGTAGAATTGCCAGTTTTGGGCGCTTCATTGATGAAACACTGCCTTCCACTCCTCTGCGTGCAGTTTTCCTTTCTCCCCCCTCCTCCATTCTCACCGCTGTTGTTTTATCGGCGTATGTGCTGTGGGAAACGTTTTTCCTTCTTGTTGTTGCTACGGGAGTTTCCCATTCATTTGCACGCGAATTGCCTGGTGCCGCTGACGACTTGTTCATCCCTAACTGTTATACACACACACACACCCACTCGGAGCTGCCCACGCAGTTCGTTCTAACCGATATTGTTTTCTGACGGGGAAAAAGCGACAACACAAAATCCACCGCTTTTTGCACCTTCTAACATCGAACACTGCGTGTCTATCCTGGTGCTGTGGTTTTGAGTGTGTACGGACAACGGGCAGGCAACACGTTCCCTTTCTTCTCATATGCTATCCACCGATCATGGCTTCAGCACTTCGGTAAAGCGCAGTGGCCACGCTGCCTGTTGGTGTGCGGCCTTGGGCGGCATCGTGCAGTTCGGCGGCTGGCCTCCCAGCGAGCAGCTCAGCGACGTCGTCCGTCATGAGGGTTCGAACTGTCCGCTCTTTTACATGCCGGTGACCACCGTCGCACGACATCTGCACCGCGCCGATCAGCGGCGTCGCGTGGACAGCCTGGAGGCGGCACTGGCGCACCACCGTCAGTACCGCCTGCGGGAGCTTCTAAACTTGGCCTCCGATAGCACACCGGGAACACCACAGACGATTTCCGTGGAAGATGGATTGCCCGTGGTGGGCGAGGGAGTGGCTGCCACGGCGCCGTTGTCACCCCCGCCAAGTGCGCTTTCGATGACGACGGAGGAGGCGAGTGAGCGCGGTTTTGTCTACGACGAAGGCTACGTCAGCGACGTCGCCGAGAGCGAGGGCGACGCTTCTGAGAGCGTCTCGAGTGCTTTCTCTTCCACTGACAGCGCGCCCCACAGAATGCGTGACGCAGCGCACGATGCCGCCCCCGCACAGCCGACGCAGTCACCGCACCTCTCCGCACTCGAGGCCCCCGCACCTCCACCGAATGTGACCACCCCAACGATCACCGTGGAGCTGCTGCGGCAAGTGACCGAAGAAACGGAGGACCGACGAACCGATCGAGCCGCCGCCGCGTCCACCATCACCGCATCGCACGGTGGGACCACCCTCAGCCGCGGCACCCAGACTGGCCCCGCCATCTCCTCCACACTTCACAGTCTCGTCAAGAGCGGTCTCCCAGCGGTCAATCGCGAGGCCCCGCCGCGGCAGCGCGACACGCAGGAGGTATTAGGCAAGTACACGGTGCGGCCCTTACGCTGGCACCAAATTTGCCCCCCCGTCGCGCCCCGCACCCGTCACGGACACCACCTCGTCTCCTGCGGTGACCGCCTCTACGTGATTGGCGGCAGCTACTGGGCTCACGGCAACGCGCTGGCGTCGACAGACATGGTGTACGATACGCGGAAGAAGACGTGGCAGCAGGTGCCGTCTTTGTTTTCGCCGCGCTTTTGCGCCGCGCTGGCGAGGAGCAACGCGGTTCCCACCGCGAAGGGGGCGCTGGCTTCGACGGCCCCGACGGACGCATCGGGAGAGCCGCCGGTGTGCGAGGAGCAAGTTCTCTACTACTTTGGCGGCCTCAACTACTCCCGCGAGCTCACCAACACGCTTTACCGCTTGTGGCTTCCACAGGGGGCGCTCGAGGAGCTGCCGCAATACGGCGCGGCTCCACGGGAGCAGTTCAAGGGCATTCTGGTGTGCGACATACAGCGCGAGTGCAGCCCGGCGGAGCGCAAGCGGGGTGAGCGGGCGGTCGGGCACCTTTTCTACATGGATGGGATGCAGAACGGACGACCGATGGCGCCGTACCTGCGTGTGTACAACGTCGCCACGGGTATTTGGGTGCGCGTGTGTCCCTCGCCGGACCTCGTACGGAGCCAGGTCTCCTTGCTGCAGTACGAAGCCGTGGCGGACGGCAACACATACGCGGTGGAGACTGCCGCAGTCCGCCCGACGCGACTAAAAAGGTTTGAGGTGGTTGGTGGTATGCCGTCTCGCCGTGGCAAGCAGCGCCGCTCTGGCATGTGCTACTCCTTCGACGCGGCGCAGCAGCGGTTCGACTACTCACACGCGCTGCCCGTCCCGGGACTCACCGCGCACTGCACCATCCCGCTGCCCGCCCTGTCGGAGGAGGATGTGCACACCAATTCTGGCAACGCTACGGCAGCTGCCGAGGTGCATCTTCACCTCCTCGCGGACGGCGTCACCAGCGTTGCGGCGTACCGGGCGGCCCTGGCGTTGCTGCGTGAGAAGTACGGTGTGTGGTCGGTCTGCTGCGGCGGCAACGAAGACGGAAGCGATGCAGAGCAGAACAGCCTGGGTGTGCCGGTGGGCTGGCTCTACCTCTTTGCCCCTCGCACCATCCCGCTAAGTGAAGTCGCGCGAGTGCAGATCGACGGTCTACGCATTCCGATGACCGCACTCAGCGCGCAAAAAGATGAGCTGCTGGATGAGCTTTTCTGAAGCGCTTCCGGGTGTGTGTCTCTCTCCTCCTCCTCTTTCTCTCGCCTTCCTTTTTCGCACCTTGGCTTTCGGTTTTGAGGGCGTTTGACAGTTTGTGTGCGCGGTGCGCTTCACGGAGACAGCGCCGCGTTGTTGCTTGTACATTATTATTAGTACTATTATTACTTTTACTGTTTTCAGCGTACCTTTTGTTTTACATGGTGTCTCTGCATTTTCCACCACCGCGTGCCTCTCGCTCACTCAGCGGAGGATGCCACACTCAATGACCAAAATGGAAGAGACGAGAGAATCAAAGAGAAAAAGATCTCTGAAGGTGCCTTCTTTGTCCCTTGCAAACAGCGCAGGACAATCGACACAAGGCGTTGGGGTCATGCTTGGCAATGTCTCCACTGGTTCAAACATTTTTTTTTTTACACTAGAGAAAGGGAAAAGGAAGAATCAGCGACACAAAAAGGACTGCTTTCAACATCTCAGTCTGTGGCTGAGCCTGCACGGGAGGAAGTCGTACTTGTGAAGTTTCTTTCTCGCTTTTCATCATCTCAACGGTCCCACTTCACTGTCTCCCAGGCCTCCCCTTCCTCTGCCTCCCCTTTCTCTTTCTCTCTTCGCCTCTTACGTGAATGCCACTCCGAATCAATAGTTTTATCTGCGCTGCCTTTTTTTTTTTCTATTGGGAGCGTGACGCAAAGCAAGTGCAGTTACATTGCCTCCAATTAGACCGCTTCACAGCTGAGACTGCATCCATCGAACGTGCATTTTTCTTTTTTTTCTCTTCTCTTCTTTTCCTTTTCTCCTTTTTTTAGGATGATGCGCTCCGTCCTCTTCACGGTGAGCTTTGACGCTCTTGAGACGCTGATTCAGATCACCAACGGCGTCGGCTATCAATACCGCACCGCGTTTTCGACCTTCCTGAAGCAACGCGGCATCGATCTGGATGCCGCCTGTCCGAACGCGAGCTGCGACAATGTTAACGACGTGGCACTGAAGGCCATTCGAGACGAAATGAAAGTGGATCGCGCGACGTGGACGACGACCGATAATCCAAAGGAGCAGCCGATTGGTGGTGACTCGGACGAAACGTTGGTGAAGTTCTGGGGGAACGTCTTTGCCCGGACTTTCAAAAACCCCCTGCTCTACGAAGGGGCCTCCCCAGACGTGGCGGAGCAAATTACGTCTCTCTGGACCGCCGAGGCAGAGGCGATGCAAAAGTTTATGCACTACGTCATATTCGACCTTTTCAAGTCAACCAAGACTCAAAGCTGGCTGCCGGAGGGGCTGCGCACCTTACAGAGCTTACGGGCGTGGAATCTAACGCGTGTGCAGCTGGCACAGCAGAGCACGGCAAACGCGTCGGCGGCGTCCTCCTCTGCGCCGATGCTGATGCTCGCGGCACCACCTTTCGTCGTTTCAAACATGGACCCGCGTCTGCGAACCGTTTTCTCCCAGCTCGGTGCGTTCGCGCCTGGCGAGCACGGTGAGCCGCCGCTGCTGTCTCGAGTCATTGTGGCCCGCGACATCGGCCTCGCCAAGCCGTCCCCACTGGGGCTACTGACGGGTGTGCGTGATATTGCCGCGGCCCGTCGCGCGGAGGGCTGCCCGGGGGAGGTGGAAATGCGCTACCATGTTCACATTGGGGATGCGGAGGCTGATCGCATTGCGTGCGAGAAGGCGGGTTGCACGTACCTGCAGTGCGACCCAACGATCGGCGCCACGTGGGAGCAGCTGCGGTCGAAGCTGGAAGAAATTGAGTCGTCGCTTCGCAACTGACGTTGTGCGGCGAAGGAAGTTGCTCCTTCGCTGTACACGCACTATCGTACCCCTCTTTCTAACATGTCGTTTTTTTTTTCTTCAATATATATAATTTTCCTGTGCAGCGAATATCCTCTTTGGACGGTAACGGATGAACCCCCGACGCGCCCTCTATCCTTTTCTTTCCCCTTCTCATCTCTCGGTCAGTGGACGACCTGGCAAATGGAGGGGGAGGGGGACGCAGCACAGTAGGAGAGAACATCAAAAAAGAAAAGAAGAAGATGATGATTGATTTCACCCGTCTGTAAAAGGGCGTGTTAGTTTTCCCTACTTTGTAACGCCAACGACAACATCCAAAAATCATGAAAGTGTCACGAATGTCATCCGATATACCGAACAAAATGAAATCTCCCGACTGGCCGTTTGCGACGGCTCCTTGATGCATTGCCACTAATGATATTAAACATATATGACTGTTATGTAACGTCTGTTTTCCCCCCCTTCGCATGTATGATAGTTTCTCTTCGCATAAACGCACTTTCTGTTTTCATTCACCGAATGAAAACAGGAAGAGGGAGAGAAAGAGCGTGGCTGCGCCTTCTCCTAAGGAAAAGGACAAGCCACATGAATGCTTGAAAAGCACAATAGCCTCCGCAGGGACGGAGGCGGAGGGAGAGAGCGCTCTCACCGTACACGAGCGCGCAGCGTCACCCTGCAGTGCTCTGCTGCTCTTTTGGTTGGACGAGGGATGCGACTGTTATTGCCCCTCTTTGATTGTAAGGGGGGGGGGAGGAGCAAGAACGCATTCTTTGTCCCTTTTCTTTTCTCCCTCACTTTTATGATGGAACACAACGGAGTTCAGTAAAAGAATCGAGGGAAGTCAACGTGTTTTCCTTACTCAAGACGCTGGCGTTCGTTGTATTGTGCTGCGTCTTTTTTTATCGACTACTTCTAAACCAGCGTTCGATATTGTTTCTGAGTTTTCAAGCATCAAAGCACTCACGCGTGCCTAACAATAATAAAAGAGATATTTGAATTCAAGGAAAACACAAAATCCGTTAAAGCTACGCTGCTACATGCTAATAATTATCGCCAGGGCTCATAAGATACTCCCCACCCAATTCGACACAACGGTTCTTGTAGTTATGGATGTTCAACTCGCTCCGCACTCCTTCGTTGGACGCTGCTAGTATGTGTGGAGGTTGTGCAGCCATAGGCCGTCTACTGTATTTCTTTCATCTTTACCTCCTCTTCGTTTTCTCTTCTCTTAACCAGTTTCATTTTGTTGTACTCATTTCCAGAAATACACAACAGGCCGATCAAAACGACAAGAAAGGCGAGGAGACTCTCTCCATCAAGCACCTCCGTCACGGCACACTGCAATGATCCCGAGATACGACGGACTTGTCCCTGCCATTCGCGGCCCGGCGTCGTCGTCAACTCCGACCACGAATACCAAGAATACAATCCCCACCACGGTTGCGCGCTACGTGATGCACCCCGCGTCGACCTCAACAGCTGCTGCTCCTGGTAACACCGGTCGCGAAAACACCAGCGGTGAGCATGAGCGCCGGTTGTACACATTTTTGCCATCCGCCGACGTTTCTGCGCCGCCACGGCAGCTGCGTGTAGCCTCTTACTTCTTCGGCGACACCGATCCGTCGTCCTCCGCCGCGGCGAGTGGACTTGCAGCTGAGGAGGAAAGCAGCAGCAGCAGTGACGAGGATGGGGATGACGATGGCGCCGACGCAGAGGGAGAGCAGCAGCGGCAGCAAGTCCGAAGCGCCCCTCCGAATGCATCTGCCCCGGCTTCCAACACACACGCGTCGCACGGCAAGGAGCGCCGACGCCGCCGTCGCGGACGTGAGCCGATGCGACTGGAGTATCAAGGCATCATGGACGTGAAGCCCGTCACCGCAACGTCGGACCGGGTTGTCAAAATGGCCTCAACGCCCTCCGCTGTGTACAGGCATTTGACATGTGTGCTCATGGAGATGCCCACTGCATGGCGAGACACGCGCAGCGACGGCGCAGACGGCGCTGAAAATGGCGATGAAGCTCCGCGTGCGACGACCTCCTCGCGTTTGGTGCTCTCCACCGTTCTCGCGCGACCAATTTTACAGCTGTGGGGAGAGCGGAAGGAGGCGAGTGCGGCGGCCGACGGCATGCGCGATGGCACTGGTGCCGCGACGGGGATCTCTAAGAGCTGGTACTCAGAGCAGTCCACCCGCATCAGCAAAAAAGACTGGAAGACGATGGACGCGGCGGAGGCGGAGGCGCACAAACCGACAAATTGGTCAGACGACGACGGTGGCGCTGAGGAAGACGGCAGCGGCAGCGGTGGTGCGGAGACGGCGTTAGCGGCGCGGGATCGAAAGCGGGCGAAGGCGGAGGCGACCGGGCGAGCTGTGCGAGATTTTTTGGCTGGCACGAAGGAAGCACTGCGGCAGCAAAGTGGCGTGGGGGACACGGACCTTCTTCGACCAATGGCAACCACGGCGATGCCACCACCAGCATCGTCGCCGGCAGTGGCAGCCGCCAGTGGTGCCTCTATCATCACGGCGAAGGAATGGGCAAAGGATGAAAATACCAACCAATCTGTCGGTACGGTGAGACGAATCGTCAAAGCCGCGGCGACCCCATCGGACGCTTCAGCACCGCTGACTGCGACGACGGCAGTGAATCCGAAGACACCGGCTCCCGTCGCAACTGTCTCGATTCCTAGCAGCAACATCACTGATAGCAACACAGCCACAAGCAACGAACTGGAATCAAGCGACGCTTCGCTGGCGTTGCCGGTGCTCGCAGCGGCCGTACTTCGTGAAGTGCGGCTAACAGAAGCTCGTGAGACGGCCCCACTCATGGAACTGCAGAAGCGTATCCTCAAACAACTGCCCGACTTTACTGTGATGAGTCAAAAGATTAAAGCGCCGGAAACGAAGCAGGAGGCGGTGGAGTGGTTTCAGACGTGCCGGCAGGAGCTGCGCGTGTGGCTGCAGGGTCAGGGTCACGTGATCGCGTCTGACGGCACCGTGACGTTTGGAGGATAAGAGAGGGAGAGGAGGAAGGGAGGTGCGTGTGTGTGTGTGTGTGTGCTTGTGTGTGGAGCGGCAACGATCTGTCTCGATTACTCTCCCTCTCTCAGGCAGTTACTCATCGAAACATTTTTCTTACACTCTTAGTTGATAAGGCAAACGAGCACAACATATACATATCCATTTTCATGCTATTTCCTCTCTGCGCTTTTACTGGCGAGAAGCTGCTCTTCTTTTCACGACTTGTGCGTGTTTCAGTGCAATTATTTGTTTTCTCAGATCGCGAGGATCGCCGTCAGTGCTGCCTCCCTCGTCGTTTCGTCGTAAAGGCAGCAATTCGCAGTACGACACTCTCCCGTCTTTCTTGTCTCTCCATTTTCCTTTCCGAAGCGCTGCAGTTACTCGTTCGAGAAGCTTTCCCCGCCTCTCTTTTCGTTGGCAAACCCATCATTCTCGCTCTCTCTCGCTCTTTCTAGCGAAACACGTGGAGAATGAACGGATCCGTGCAGACAAACGGAGGTCCGCGCAGTGCTGCGGCTCACCCGCCGGCCACCGCTGCTCCCGCCTCCCCCTTCACGGTGCAGGCGCCCGTGTCGGGTGCTGCGGCGCATCGTGACGGCTCCCCGCTGCATGGACCAGAGGTCCCCGCGTTCTCCTCTTCTTCCGCGTCTCCGCGTCGCACCGGGGAGACAGCCTATGCTCCGTCTTCCACGTCGGCCCCCGGTGTCTCAACCGTCATCCACGTCCCGTTGGCCTTCTCCTCCGAGGCCACCGCTGGCGCAGCCCATGACGGCCCCATCGCTGCCACAGCTACCCAGTCGCCCTCGGCGTCCGCCCCTTTGGTTGGTGGGCTGTCGAAGCACTCCTCCTCCTTTCTCGCCACACCTTCCTTGACCATCGCCGCTTGGCGGGGGGCGGATCACCACAGCAGCGAGAGTAACGGTGGCTCAGGCTTCGGCCACGACCGCCACGCGTCGAAGGTGTTCGACCCGACCGAGGTGCCCGCGCTGCGGCACACCATGAAGGTCACCGTAACGCGTGACGGCAAGGCGGTGGAGGAGGCGCTGGACCCGTATGAGGTGGCCCGCCTCTACGGCCAGCAGCAGGCCGCCCTGCGCAGTCTGCAGAGCCGCTACGACTTCCTGGCGGTGCCGGACTGGGTGCGCGTGCACCCGCTGCTCGGCACCTACCTCGCGGAGCTTGTCGGCAGCTTCGCGTGGGTGCTCACACTCGCCCTGGTGAGTGTGCGCAATACAAGCATCTTCACCGTCGCCGACGACACGAACATGACGCCCATTCCAATTGGCTTCATGTTTACCACTATGATTTTCACGTTCGGCTACGTCTCGAACGCGCACCTCAACCCTGCCGTGTCGGTGGCCGTCTTCCTTATTCGCCAGATGGAGCTCTCGCAGTGCTTTGTCTATATCTTGTGTCAGCTGGGTGGCGCTTTCTTAGCGGGGGTGGTGGCGATGGTGATTCAGGGCAACTCCGGCATCTTCGTGCCGTCCGTCTCCGGCAGCTATATCACGTCGGGCATCTTCTCGGAGCTCATCTTCACCTTCGCGATTTGCTTAGTGGTGCTCAACATCGCCTACTCCCGGCAGTCCGGCAACTTCTTCTACGGTTTTGCCGTGGGCATGACCATCACCGCCGGCTCCGCCAGCGTTGGTCGCATCTCCGGTGGTGCCTTCAACCCGGCCGCCGCGACGGGTCTGCAGGTGGCGATTTGCATCGTGTCGAACTGCGACGAGCTCAAGTCCGTGTGGATTTACTGGGTGGCGCCTCTCATCGGTGCCGTCGCCGCATCGCTGCTCTTCTCACAAATGGTGCAGCCCACCGATACGCAGGTGCTGGAAGATAACAAGGTCTTTCAAGATGTGAAGCTGCTTCACAAGCAGCGCCAGACAACACAGCAGCAGACGGCGGCGACGGCAGCAGCGATGGGTCGTGGCGATGACGCAGACGACACGCACTCGGACACTTCGACGTCGTCTTCAGGACAGCCCGCCACGCCCACCTCGTCGACAAACTCCTCGGACTCCAACAGCTATCACGAAATGCACGTCGTTTCCCACACCCGGTCGCCACGAAGCAGACCTGCACTGACGCGCGAAGAGGCGGCGGAGGCGGCCGCGGAGGAGCACGAGGAGCACAATGTGACTGTCCCTACGCATACGCCCGCTCCGCCGACGAATGCGACTGCGGCTGCCTCGGCTGTCGACCCCTGGAAAGCTCCGGTAGTGACGAACAACTCGGATTTGGATAACTGGCGAAGGCGTCCGCCACCACGCCGAGACGATCACGACGGGGAGGCGATGCAGGCGGGGAGTGGCAGTACCAACTGGTTTTAATGAGTGCTCTCTCGCACGCACTCCATCCCACTGAAAACGGAGAAGAGGCGACACTTGCTTTCCTGGAGATCAACGGCTATCGAAGCGGCTGCGAGATGCCCGGCTCTTTTGGATAACGTATCGTTTGGGATCCGCATAGGATCTTGATAGTTTCTTTTATTATTCTTGCTTCGGTTGCGTAGCGCTGTTTTTCTGCTTTCTCTTGGTCTTCCTTTGCTTCCTCCGTTGTGCTCTGAATGCTGTTGTTGCTAGAGTCTCCTCACTTGGTGACGTGCTTTGTGAGCGTTGTTGTGCCATTGTATGTTGCTCAATACCGTTGCTTCATTTCCATTTTCTTCATATATTGTTATCTTCTATATCCAATGAATACACATATAATTCTTTGCTCAAGGAAACCCAAAAATAATGGTAGTAGAAAATGGTGTGTTAGCGAGTGTGTGCTGTAGCTGCTTCCTCCGCACGGTCAGCGTGAAGAACCGTAATTTGTAGAAGAAATAAAAAGCATTAATACACGAGTCGCCTTCGCTGCCACTTCTTTCTTTTTCCTTTTTCTTTGCGATGCCTTCTCCGTGTGAGAACGATTTTACGTTTCTCATTCAGGCTCAGCTCCTCTGACTCGTCATCAAAAAAGTGTTCGTTTGCACCATGACGCCGTGCATGGGGGTGCAGCAGTGTTCGGCGTGCTGCTCTGAAGCCGCGTTTCGTCAACTTCCTCTGTTTTCTCTTTTTGACAACAACATCAACAATTAACAATCAACAACAACAACACCCAAACACAACTATCGTATTTCACAAAGGGGCCACCATAGAAGAAGCGTCTTCATTTTTATCGTGTGTGCGTGCCGCTCACTACTCACTTTACGTTTGCTTCCTCATTTTTTTTCTTTGCTTTTTATATCCCCGGCTCACAGCAGAGAGATAATACTATAGAGTCCTTTCGCTGCCGCTTTGTTTGTGGATTCGTGACAGTTCCTCCCTCCTCCCCCCTTGCCGTTGCTTACAGCAGCTGTACGGCAAACACACGCTCGATCTCTTCTGCTCATTTGTACTTCTGCTGCTCTACTTGCTGAGTATTTGCCAAATAGGAGCTTTGTTAGACTCGTTCAACGTTTAGGAGAAGAACGAAGTCGAAAAGAGAAACGAACACGCACTGCTTAAAAAAAGAGAAGAATAGCGCGATGAGCGCGCAACAGCGAGACGCCGCCACGGACGCGGAGGAGCGTCCCTTCCTCGCACGTCAAATTCCCTTCCTACGCCTCAGTCGCTATCAGGCTAACTTTGTCTGCGAAGGCGTTGGCACGTTTGTGTTTCTCCTCACCATCTCTCTCGCCGAGATGAACTGCGGCATCCTCGCAATTGATGGGAAGGGCCACACACGCAACCTGGCCCCGATCGCCGAGGGCTTCATGCTCTGCGTGTTGGTTTTCATGTTTGGCTACATTTCAGGTGGCCACTTCAACCCGGCCGTCACGTTTGCCGTCGTCCTGATCCATGGATTGCGGCTGGAGGAGGCGATGTCGTACTGGGTAGCGCAGGTCGTTGGTGGCTTTATTGGGGCGGGGCTCGGCATCTTAATCAACGGCACCACGCGTCATTTACCGGCGCCGCAGGTGGTGCAGAACACGGCGGAGTACATCGTCAGCGCCTTCATCGCAGAGGCCGTTTTTACCCTCTTTCTGGTGACCGTGGTGCTGCACGTCGCCTACTCGCAGCAGCGCAACAACCACTACTACGGACTAGCGATCGGGATGTGTTTGCTGGCTTCGCAGTACGCCGTCGGTGGTGTCTCGGGCGGCGCCTTCAACCCGGCAGTGGCGACAGGGCTGCAATTAACGAAGTTCATCGCGGCGGGCTATGCGACGCAGCTCATGTACCTTTGGCTGTACTGGGCCGCTCCTGCGTTGGGGGCCGTGGGTGCGGCGTTCCTCTTTCAACTTACCCACCCCGTCCCGAAGGATGACGCCGAGGAAGCGCAGCAGCAACGAGTGGTGAAGGACCTCTACTCGAACATGAACTAACCGTGGGGCGGACAGTTGTGGTGAAAAAGAGAAGGTATACACGGGGCAGAGGTGAAGCGTGCGGAAGCACGCAACGTCAACAACGCACGCATTCGCTTTTTCTTTATCTCTTTTTTCATTTTTCATGTTTACGCTCGCCTCTCTGGTCTATGGCACTTAACTCTAGCCGCAATTGAAATGTGATGGAGGCGGTAGATTTTGTGGACATTTTTCTTTGACGTCTTCGAGGTTTTATTGCTTTGCTGATTGGTGAAGTATTCTATTACCGAATTGCGTCTCAGAAAAAGCATTTCGCATTGATTCAAATGGTGTTTACTCCTGCTAGTTCTTTGAGTGACTTTTGACATCATGAAGAGCAAGCGTTTACACGCTGAGTATCATTGCTGGCGTTCGCCAGTGGCAGCTGCGATCAGCCTTTTAGAACGCAACACTAATGCAGTGACTCTCTCGTAGTAAACTACCACAGATGCTACCGCCTTTCTTTGGCCACCCACATTGTGATGCGCTGTGTGAGAAAACGGAGGAGCGCCTAGCTCGAACGCTGAACGTGTCTCTGCAACTTCTCTTGTGTTTTTCTATTTTGCCTTTCCTCCCGCCTTTCCTCTCTATTTGATGAAGTACACTTCGCGACAGCAGCTTTGGACGCTCATCTTGCCTGCACTCGGGTCTGCATGACGTGCTGCCGGCTAATTTGAGGAAGTGCATTTCGGTACAAGGTGAAGCGAGCGCTCAAGAAACCTACGAGAGGCCGCGCGCGCTGCCTTCTGTCCAGCCTACTACTCAGCTTCATCGCTTTTTTAAAAAACAACTGTTTTTGTTACACAGCTACAACTTACACTTATGAAAGCACCTTTCTTTTACTGGCTTTGGTTACAGTTCACCTAGTCATACATTTCCTCCGCGGAGCACGAACGTCCTCTTTTTGTTTTCTTTATCGCACGCAACTTCCACTCTTTTAAATATGAATTGCTATGAAAGGAACTCCGCTTCGATTCCGTCGTCTTCGAACCGCTCCCGAGACCGGGACGAGTTGAGGTCGTCCAAAGTGCCGGTAACACAAATCGGTGCTGACTCTCCTTTCATCCACAGCGTTGACGCGCATCCCTCGTCGAGGCTGCCCTCGCTGCGGCACACCACTGCACCGTCATCGTACGGCCTTGTAGGGTACTTCCAAGGGCTTGCCGCAGGCGACGATCTGGGGGACCTCATCCGTGGTCTGCGTCGCTCCATCTGGAGCTGTTATCAGGAGTGCCTTTGCAAGACCAAAACCTCTTCTTCTTCTTCCGTGGTGAACCCCACAGGTGCGGAGACGGACGGTGCTGCTGCTGCTGCTGTTGAGGCCAACATACCGGCACCGGCGGCGCCGCATCGCTTGCCAGCTGGCACCCTGTCCGCCTCTCAGCGGCGCGAGTATTGGTCCGCCACTCGAACTGCGTTTCTCTTTTCCGCGGAGAGCCCCTCCGCAGCGGAGGAGGCCACCAAGCTCCACTGCTCCCCCGTCACACGATCGCTGCTGTACCCGTACTGTTATTCTGTGGGAGAAGCGGGCGCCCCAGATGCGGCTGCTCTGCCGCTTGGCAGAGTGCTGCGAAGCGGGGACATGAAAATGATTTGGAGTGACGCACGCATGGCGGAGCTCGCGAGGGAGGAGGTTCGGCGCAACCCTCGCGATGGCTGGCAACAGGCGCTGCGCCTTCTTCATCAAGTCTCCCCGACGCCCCTCACCTGCGCGGTGGAGTTGGAGCTGTACCGGCAGACCGACGGGCAGCACTGGGTGGAGGCCTTGCGCTCTTTGTGGTGCATCCCACCAGCGCAGTGGACCGAGATGGACGTTGGCGCTGCACTGCGCTCGCTGTACCACGCCGGACGGCGCGCACGACGTGCAAAACCTCCTGCAACGCAGAGCTCGATATCCTCTTCTCTTCCCTCCCCTGCGTCCACGTCGTCGTTTGAGAGCGATCTTTTCGGCTCCGACGGCGGTGCTGCAGATACCGCTTGCGACGGCACAAGCGACGAGTCCACCGAGGTGTTTCTCGCTCGTCTCATCGCTCAAGCACTCCGGATTCACCGCGCCGTCGAGGAGACCGGCGCCCTGCAGTGGAGCACGCCCTCTGCGTTTAACGACACCCTCGGGCTATTCGCGCTAGATCCCACCGCGTGGCGGGAGGCGTGTCTGTTGCTGGATAAGCTGATTGCCGCGCGAGGGTGCACGATGGAGGAGGCGGCGCCTTCCCCAGCCGCAGCATCCATTCCGCCTAATGTGAGCAACACAGCGGACCCACAACGCGCATCTCAGGGCATTCTGTCCACGCAGGCCAGCGCAGCGCTCTATCAACACATGCGACCCAACCCCGTCACGATCCATCAGACCTGCCGCGTTTTTCAACAGCACTGGGACGTTGGGCTGCAGTATGTGCAACGGCTGCAACGTGTAGCGGGCGATGCACTCCACCTGTGTACCGACATCGTCGCGACGGAGGATGTGCTGCGGCTGTGCATTGCAGGGCAGCGATGGCAGGAAGCGTTGAGGCTGGTCGTGAGCTATGAGGCTGCGGTACGGGATCAGCATACGGCTAACGATTCGAGCAGCCTCTCCACTTGCTCTTCGTCGTCATCGTCGCCTTCAACGTTTTCGCGGCCTCGTGGTGTCTCAGCAGAATTGATGAGTGCTCGACAGCACTTCCGGCCGGATGTGTTTGTGCAGCTCGTGCGTCTGCTCGGCTCCGTTCCCGAGTGCCGACCGGTTGCTTATGCACTGGTGCGGCGCCACGATACAAGGGTGTCGTCTCCGCGCGCTTCTCTATCACCAATGCAAACCGACGTGCCACCCCTCGCATCGACACTGCCTCGGGTGGACTTGAGCAGATCGAAGCTGTACAACGACGATACGCTCTCTCGGGCGTACAACTGCTTGCTGCAAGGGAGCGCCACTCTCCACGCGGCGGACGCTCTTGTAAAAGAACTGAACCAACTCTACGGCGCGGATGTGAGTACACCGAGTTCTTCTGCTTTGCCGTTGTCGGTGGTAAGCGACTTCGATGCCAAAATCGCTGGACTAGAGACGGAGTCAGTGGCGCACATTGCGTACTTGTGCTGTACCGCCGGCAACTGGCAACGGGCGTTGCACCACACCAACGCGCTGTTGCACTCTCCACGCTACAGGGCGACCTTCATCCCTACGGCGCGGCTGCACGACGCCGTTCAATACGCGTTGGAGCAGGCGCCACCGCCTGGCCCGTCGTGGGAGCTGTCGATGAAACTCTTTACGGATATGATGGATCGCAATGTACCCATCTCGGAGGTGTCGTTTCAATCGGTGGTGAAGCGCTGCTTTGCTGGCGGGGCGCCGGAGCAAGCGCAGAGGGTTTTCCAAATGGTGATGAGGCGAGGCGTGCGGTCGTGACGCGTCTTTTTCTTTTTGCTTTGCCTCTGTATGTGTGCGTGTGTGTCTGGGGGACCGGAGAGGGAAAAGCTAGAAAAAACGGTGCTGAGGCGCTTCACTTCTTCACAGACGTGTTGGAACAGAAACGCAGCTATCCGCCGAAACCGTGTTGTTTGCTCTCTGTGTGTGTGTTTGACTACCGCGTCAGCAGTGGAAACGTTGTCATGCAAAAACAACGTAAAAAGTGCCTGTGTTTTTTTGTTCTGGACGGTATCGCAGAAACGCTGTTCTGGTTTTCAAGAAACAACAACAAAAACAACAACTGATACCAGACTCAGTATCTTCTTGCACTGTTGCCAATGAACACAAAGTGGTTTCCCAGCAGCACAGCTTATGTACGTTGCTGTTCAAATATCTTTTGTTTGAGTGTTTCCCATTTATACCGCTCTACCTGCTCCTCTCTGCCTTTGTTGTTTTGACGCAACCAAACAAACAAAAACGCCTGAAAAGTGTGCTCATTATTATTTGATTTGAGAAATTGAATGTGATCTACAGAAAATGGCAACAAACCTATTCGGCACATTCGGCGCGAATGCTGGAGCATCTCTAACTGGACCTGCCGCTGGTGGCTTTGGTGGTGCCACGGCACCCGCGCCTGCCACTGGTGGCTTCGGTGCCGCCACGGCACCCGCGCCTGCTGCCGGTGGCTTCGGTGCCGCCACGGCCCCTGCGCCTGCCGCTGGTGGCTTTGGTGGTGCCACGGCACCCGCGCCTGCCACTGGTGGCTTTGGTGCCGCCACGGCACCCGCGCCTGCTGCCGGTGGCTTCGGTGGTGCCACGGCACCCGCGCCTGCCGCTGGTGGCTTTGGTGGTGCCACGGCACCCGCGCCTGCCACTGGTGGCTTCGGTGCCGCCACGGCCCCTGCGCCTGCCGCTGGTGGCTTTGGTGGTGCCACGGCACCCGCGCCTGCCACTGGTGGCTTCGGTGCCGCCACGGCACCCGCGCCTGCTGCCGGTGGCTTCGGTGCCGCCACGGCCCCTGCGCCTGCCGCTGGTGGCTTTGGTGGTGCCACGGCACCCGCGCCTGCTGCCGGTGGCTTCGGTGCCGCCACGGTCCCTGCGTCTGCCGCTGGTGGCTTTGGTGGTGCCACGGCACCCGCGCCTGCTGCCGGTGGCTTCGGTGCCGCCACGGCACCCGCCCCCGCTGACGGAGTCAAGGCGCTTTCTGCTACAACGGCGGCGCAGTCCTCGTCATCTGCTGCGTCTCCCTCTCAGGAATTTGCGGGTAAGAATCTCAGTGCGGTACTGCGCAAACTGGACACGTGCGTTGGCACCGATCAGCGCCACTTTGCGGCGTTGGCCCAGCACGTGGTGGCCCGAGATCGGCAGATTATGGCGCGTGGTCGTGAGCTGATGGAGGTGCAGTCGGTCGTCAAGGACGCCCTGACGGCGGCGAAGAGTGCGGAAGCGACGCTGAATGAGTGCAAGCAGCGCCAGGCCGCCCTCTCCGACTACTTGCAGGCACTAGAGGACAAGGTTCAGCCGTATTACAAACAGTGGGAAGACCAGCAGCAGCAGCAACACGAAGATCGTGGGGTGGACCAGCAACGCGTCATTGCCTACGACAACGTTATGGCGCTCCTCGAGGAGGTACAAGGCGTGGAGGAGAAAGTGAATCGTGCGGTTCGGCAGCACAATCGCGCACGAACGGAGCTGCTGGATCTTAGCGAGGTGGAAGGGATGATGCGGATGATTGATGGGCAGCTGCTGGCGCTGCAATGTTGCGCCACACAAGCGACCGCGTTAGAGCTGGAGCTAGATCGACTTCTTGGAAAAGAAGCGTAATGGAGCGAAAGGAACAAGGACAAGGCTTTTGAGTTCGATCTCTCTGTTTTGTTTCCTCTTCGTTTCGCAGCTGCATTTGTGTGCACCGCCCGGTAGACCATAAAACGAGAAAGTCCATAAGAAGAGAAGAGAAGAAAATGACTGCGAATTGTTGCAGAAGCCAGAAAAACGCCCCTTTCCTCAACAGTAGGAGGCGGTGGTCACGTTTGCGAATTCCGTAGCCACACATTCCCCCTCCCCCTCATGGATCAGGTTTTGTCCTCGTGCGTGCTCATTTACGTGCACCAGGTTAGGACTAAAGAACGTCAAAATGGAGGGTTTCTTTCTTCTCTCGTTCATTGAAGAGTTGAGACGCATTTGTCACTGCTCAAGAGGAACAACACGCTGCGGAAAGAAAAGTTTTTTAGTTCTCGTTTCCCAGTTCATCTTCGTCACCCCTCTCCTCTTTTTTTCATTTCTTCGGGTTTGCGTCTTGTACCGCTGCGGTTCTCACCGTTGCCACAGCTTCAACTTCTTTTTCAGATCTTCCTTTCTTCTCTCTTAGCAGTCCAGTGTTATTATTATTTTTGTTTTTCTTGGCTGTGCGTGTTCCCTTTCTTCTTTTCGTTTTTCTTTACCTATATTGCTTTAGCGGTTTACCGAGGCAGGAAAGTAGAAAGTAGAAAACCGGCACTTGCCCATCACCATGGTAAAGTTTCTCACCTTCGGCGCCGCCGCCGCCATCGGCGCCGCCTTCCATTCCTACACCTCCGCCCAGCGCACGGCCGCGCAGTGCGCCGCGAACAAGGAGGTCTTCACCACCAAGTTCCAGCCGTTTGTGCTGGGCGAGGTGCTGAACCTGGCCGAGGACGTCGCGATCTTCCGCTTCCTGCTGAACGACCCGAAGGACACCTTCAACCTGGTTCCGTGCAGTACGCTGCAGGCGCACTTCAAGGAAGGCAGCAACATGGTCGATAAGCCGATGCGCTTTTATACGCCCATCACGCCGAACGGCACGAAGGGCTACTTCGATCTGCTCATCAAGAAGCAGCGCCCCGGCCGCTTTACCGAGCACATGTTCGGCATGGACGTCGGTGATAGCCTGTTGTTCCGCGTGGTGCAGTACAAGCTGTCCTACAAGAAGAACCGCTGGTCTGACGTGGGCATGATCTGCGGCGGCACCGGTATCTGCCCGATCCTGCAGTTTATGAATGCATCCCTCGACACGCCGGGTGACACAACCCGGCTGAACATGCTGTTCGCCAACCGCTCCGAGAACAAGATCCTGCTGAAAGGCATGCTGGACGAGAAGACGAGGGAGCACCGCGACCGCCTGCAGGTCTTCTACTCTGTCGACAAGTTCGACGATCCGAACATGATTGCAAACCCGACCTACACGAAGGGCGCGCCGCTGAAGATCGACGTGGCCTCCCAGCCAGACACGAGCCCGGACGGCAAGAAGTACTTCCACGGCTTCGAGGGCCACATCGACATTCCGATGCTGCAGGCCACGATGCCGAAGCCGTCGGACTCGACGCTCATGCTCGTGTGCGGCCCGGACGGGATGATGGTGAAGGTGGTCGGTTCCGCGCCGATGGTGCTGCGTGCGATGTCGGGCGGCCTGGCCTACCAGCCCTCCGGTGCAGTGCTGAACAACGCCGCGGACGTCGCCGGCTACCTGGGTGATTTGGGCTACACGAAGGAGATGGTCTACCGATTCTAAGCAGGTCGACTGCGGCATAGATGAGGGCTAAACACAACAACAAGGCAGTCACTATTATTATTATTATTATTATTATTATTATTATTATTATTATTGTTATTTTTTAAGTTGTGGATAGCTAACAAAGACGAAACCGCCCCTCCCCTCCAAAAAACGCCGTCTTCATTTGCAGCGCTTCGCTTCTACTTAACTTACCGATTTTACACTTTTCAGATTTTTGTGGGTGTGCTCGCTCTCCTTCTCTAGTGTCGCCAATTTATATGCATTTTCCTTATTATTAATAAAAAACGGCGATTCCCCTCAGATTTGTATTTTCGTGAAGGTATCGCATTAACTGTTTTGCCCCCCTCTTTCACTCTCCCTTTGAATCCTAACATATTACCAAAGGCAAATGCGTGTGCTGTGCTGCCCACACACACATACACACACACAGTTTCTCGATTCTTCTCTTCTCTTCTCTTTTTTTGTGGTGGATTCAAACCTGTTTATGTATGGCATTATAAACCTTTTGTTTTTCTTCTTCACAGTAAGGCACTGGCGCATCGTTTGCTTTTTAAATGTTTTAAAACTTCTTTTGATAGTTTTCTGTGGTATTTCTTTTTGTGGAATTCTCTTTTTCCCGGCACATTCGCATCTTCACGATCCTTACATGCAGGAACACATCAGCTGTGGGTGACAGCCACAACTTGGTTGTTGTAGTCGGTGTTCAAGTGCACCCGTTAAAGAAGAGAGAAAGCTACGGTGTTCAGTGCTTCCTTCCTACGGCCTCCAACCCATCAAAAAAAAAACCTTAGTCTTGTTTTGGTGTACCGCGTTGCATTTTCATTTCAATAGTTAGTAACGATCTATGTAGGTCCCACTAAAGGAGGGGGGGGGGGGCGATCAGGAGGAGCAGCGCAGAAAGAGAAGTACACCAATCGCATGTCTTCTTCCCTACATCTGCCTGTATGGATAAAACAGAAAGAAAGAGTAACATGTAGGAAGATGAAGCTCCGGCAGATCTTGATGATTTCCTTTCTCGAAGGGGAAAACGGATTTTTTTTTTTTAGTAGCGATAGAGAGCGTGGGAACGAAAAAAAACTCCTGCAATGTCAGTAGACATGTGCTGAGACTCGTGCAGTGCGCAGGTACAGCGTCGTGCAGAGTTTACCGAAAGAAACGTAGGGGATATCACTCTATTGCATCAGCCCTCTGTGCAATTGACACACACACACACACGGAAGAATAACGATAGGGAGATGGATGGCCAGAAACCATTACTTGTGAGAGTTCTCTTTAAGTGCGCAGTGGGCAAAAGAAACCACCGAAAAAGAAGAATACAGCGGGGAAACATGTGTGAAAAACGAAGCAGGAAGAAAAGTAAACGTTGAGGGTCTAAAACGTGTTGCACAGAATCACTTTTTCAAATATTTTTTTACCCTCTGTTGTTGGTGCTGTAATCACTGACTGGAGAAAAGCGAATGAAGAGAGAAATTGCACGTTTTGTTAAGTGTTATTTTTAGGACATTACTTCTATTACTATTTATTATTATTACAAGCTTTTTATTTAGTACTGTTTCGCTTTGCTTCTCTCCCCTTGAAATGGGATCAGAAAAAAAAAACCTTTTCAGCGCTGAGTCGCGGATGGGGGAAGAGAGGCAATGAAAAGCCTTCTGAACTTTCTCAGCTACGATGTATGCGTTTGGCAGCAAGCACAGTTGCACATGAGGTCAACAATACTCGTAAAAAGGAACAACACATACAGGGAAATCAACTGGCGCATAGCGCTACTTTTTGTGAATTACGTAGATCCGCTTATTGGGTGCTGTATTGGGACGACGAGGTAGCTCAGCAGTGTACGACGACATCGCAAACGCATTAACCAATTCAGCTTGTAGCAAGAAAAGAAGTGATGTTTTATTCATAATCGATTCTGGTGTGAAGGACGGTTACACCTGCTGCAATGCAACAGTATTAGTAACTACAAAAATTTCAGGAACACAAGCAATGCGTTCACGTAAACGTTTCCCGTAAAATTCGTACCTGTAGAAAGGAGTAATCCTTTTTTTTTATTGGTTTATGCTAAGCGCGCTCTTCGCGCATCACCGATGCCCCCGCTCTTCGTCTTTACTGCTCCTTTCCCTTCCCCTTCTTCTCGGCGCCTTTTTCACTTTCGGCTGCAATTACTGAAGGTCAAACATCGGATTTAGTACGTAAAAAAAAAGGAACGACGAGCCATGCCGCTACGCCAGCGCCAGGGTGGGGTGCACGACACACCAGTGGCGTCCCCCGAGCCCTCATCTGCTGCTAAAAGCTCTTCCAATCCGCCCTCCTTGGCGGACACCACGGCGGCCACACACCACGAGTCGGTGCTGCGCCGTGCCGCCCCCGTCTTCCTTCTCAACGCGTCTCTTGCCGGGGTGTGTGGCGCCTTGTCCGGCGTTGTGGGTAAACTTGCGGTGGAGTCGGCACGGGTGCCCTCACTTGTGCGCGCTGGTGCCGCCTTTCTTCAGCTCGATGCGCAGACAACGGAGACAGTGCAGGCCGTCGTGCCGTGGCTGCTGCGACTGCTGTTTTTTCTGCTGAATGCGGTGCTGACGGGCTCCATGTGGCGCTTCTACCTGAAGGCGCTGTCGCAGGGTCCCACGCCGGTGTGTCAGATTCTGAATACGGGCACCAACTTTGTGGTGAGTGCGTTTGCTGGCTTAGTCTTTTTTGCCGAGGAGGTGACACCGATGTGGGGTGTGGGAGCGTTGTTGATAGTGCTGGGTCTTGCTTTGGTGGTGTCCGACGCGCAGGTGACGGTGTAGACGACGCGCAAACTGGCATTGGCAGCGGATGGAAAGAAAGAAAATAAAAGAGTTGCATCTTTGCGATGGCCTTCTATGAGGTACCTGGACGCATACAAACCTCTGCGACATCTATGTCACAAGAGAAAAGATGAATCGAATCACGGGCAACGAACTGTTCAAAATGTTTGTGTGCATGTGTGTGAGACAGAGAAAAAAGGTTGAGGCATGTAAGTTCAAACTGCGCTGCACAATACCGTCCCAGCCCTCACCAAAAGAAAGTATGTAGTGGAGCATGTCTCTGTTTATTGTTTCCTCTTCTTCAGAATGCCGGCTCTCTTTTTCCTATTCCTGCCTCCATTTGTCCCCGTCTCCACTTCCATTTATCCGTACTAACGCCAAAATCGTCATCGGCGATAATAACAACAAAATCGAAACAAAGATCTGCCTCGTGCACATCGTATTCTGCATCAAATATCTGTCAAAGCATTTACTACCATTAATTCTTTCTGTTTTCGCTGTGCGTTGGTTTCGTATTTCCTTTTGCTACTTTTATTATTTTCCTTTCCCGATCGATCTGCCCGTCAAGCGTCAATTCCGTGCTCAACATAAAAGAAAAAGAAAAACATCATGGCGAAGCGTAGCACATCGTCACCTAACGGCGCTAACTCTCTCCAGCCTCGTACAAAGTCATACGAGTGGGGCGGGCCGGTGGGGAGTCTTTTTATGGTGGCTTTCTTGCCAGCCCTCGTCGTGGCTCTCAACTGCCTGTGCGCCGGCGAGGAGTGCAGCGTGATGCGTGCGTGGCGTCTTCCCCTGCTCATGCAGGAGGTGGTGCAGGCCGCCCTTCCGCAGGTCCCGACAGCCATCGGCCTCGAACTCGCCTGGCTGGCCGCCCACGCCATTTTCTCTATCTTGCCCATTGGCAAGCTGGTTCACGGTGGGGAGCTGCGCAACGGCCAGCGTCTCGCCTACCGCATGAACGCGATGCACGCCTTCGTGCTCTCGCACGCGCTGATCTTCCTTCTGCACTACACCTCCACCATTAACCTTGCGGTGCTGGCCGATCTGTATCATCCCCTCATGATCGGCGCGATTGTGATTTCCTTCGCCATGTCGGTGGTGCTCTACGTGGCCTCGTACCGCAGCCGCGACGTTCTGACCGCACTCGGCGGCAACAGCGGCAACACGCTGTACGATTTCTGGGTCGGCCGCGAGCTGAACCCGCGCACCGGCCCGCTGGACTGGAAGCTGATGTGTGAACTGCGCCCTGGCTTGATTGGGTGGAGTATTTTGAACTGGGCCTTCGTGGTGAAGTCGATGGAGATCGGCACCGTGACGCCGAGCATCGTTCTGATTGCCCTTTTCGAGTCGTTTTATGTGCTGGACGGTCTGGTGCTGGAGGCGGGCAACCTGACCATGATGGACATCGTCACGGACGGCTTTGGATTTATGCTGTGCTTTGGCGACCTCGCCTGGGTGCCCTTCACCTACACCCTGCAGACAAAGTACCTGGTTCACCACCCGGCTCGCCTCACTCCTGTGCACCTCGGCCTGTGCTCCCTGCTCGCCCTGGCGGGGTACTCGATATTCCGTGGTGCCAACACGGAGAAGGACCGCTTCCGCACCAACCCGCAGGACCCGCGTGTGCGCCATCTGAAGGTGATGAAGACCTCCAAAGGCAAGTCCCTCATCGTGTCGGGGTACTGGGGGATGTGCCGACACCCGAACTACGTCGGCGACTGGCTCATGGCGGTGGGCTGGGCCTCCTTCAGCGGTACGGCGGCGGTGCTGCCGTACTTCCATCCGATTTACTTCGGCATATTGCTCATGCACCGGCAGCTGCGGGATGAGCAGCAGATGACGGAGAAGTACGGCGAGGAGGATTGGAAGGCGTTTTGCAAGGCCGTGCCGTACCGTCTGTTTCCATACATTTACTAAATGCCAAAGACGGTTCAAAGAAGAAAACAACAAATCTCTATTTTTGTTTCTTTACTGACTTTCCAACTGGAGCAAAAGATGCCCTCCAAATTGTCGCTTCGCTCGGTTGTTGTATTGGAAATACAGACGGACTTTCCCGGCCACGCATTGTTAGACACGCCCCCCCCCCCCCCCCCCCACGGTCTTATCAAACAGCATCAAACCTGATATAGAAAAAGCCTTTTTTCTTCTTTCACTGGCTCCTATAAATACACGGCTTTAAGCCATGACTCACTCGCTGGCAAGCGGACGTGACGGTGGCGAGGCGTGTGACAGTGATTAGAGGAATGAGCCACAAAGTACGGAGAAAGCGTCGTGGGGCCTGTCTGATGATTTACTTGATCTGACGCGACTTCAAAAAGAAAAAGAGAGCTGTAAAATCAGAAATCTTTTTTTGCATTGAATGATGGAGGGAGATGGAGAAGGAAGGCTTTTTAATAGCCGTCGGGGGCTGGAAAGAAGGGGAACAACGACTCAATCATTTAATTCTTTTTCGTGGACACCTTTCCTGTTTCCTCGCCCCGTTTTATTCTACGCAGCAGCAGCCGTATGATGCATCGATCGACCGTGCATCCAGAAGCCTCTGCTTTTCGCTGGACCTACAAAACTGAGGCGGCAGTTCCACTGCGTTCCACATAGAGTGCGTTGCTAGGCACCTTTTCTTTTCCCTTGCGCCAAAGCACGACAAGTCACATAGATTCACACCGATCCTTTTTTTTAACGTTCATAAATACTCACAGCCAAGCAACAGAAAATAAAACATACAATTGATTCATTTTAGAAAAGGTGGGAGAGATGTCGTGGGTGCAAGTGGAGTGCAGCAACGGCAGCCGCTACGCCGCTCCGTCGCATGGCAGACCGCTTCCCAACTTCAGCGGAGCGGCGCAACTCTTCCAGCCCCCGTTGAACCTACGAGAGCTGCAAACTGTCGATTTGATGGAGATAAACGGCGGCCTTGATTCTGAAAGGAATCACGACGATGGAGTCCGAGTGACGGTTGTGGCGGGTCAGCGGGACTTGGGCGGCCACTTTGGGATTACAACGGTGATCGTGGGTGGTGAGCAAGAAGAGTCGGAGGATGAAACCCGTGGTACCGCCCAATCTTCCGAACAGGCGAGTAGCGCTTCAGGAGGGCTGCAGCGACTTCTGGAGAGAGTATTCGCTCTTCTGACCACCACGAATGATCGCGGTGTTGCGATACTGCTGGATGCGCTCTGCACACGCAGCCCGCTCCCCCTCACGGCAGAGGCCGCATCAAGGGCATCTGTTGTGGTAGAGGATGACGGAGGGTCGCATGTGTCGACGGTGCTGCGGCAAGCACGCGCACAGCTCCCCGACGGTGACGCGATCCCGAAAGGAAATGCAAAAGCATCAAATCAACGCTTCCTGCGACGCCTCACACAGGTCGGGTGTGCACCGTCGTTGAAGCAAGAAAGCGCATCCCCGTTGCAGCTTCTCCCTCCCAACTCGTTGACGGTGGCCGCCAAAATTCAAAGTGAAGGTCCGCAAAGGGCGGAGACAAGGAAGGCTGCACCGTCTCAACCCCTCTCCTTCGCCGCCGCTGTGCGTCGTCGATCGCTGCTCTTCTTTGTAGAGAACAACGTTGTGCCGCTCAGCGTCCTGACTTCGCACGTGTGCGCTGTGGAAGTTCCTGAAGGACATAAAACAGCCGCCGCTGCGGTTGGCGCCTCTGACATTGCAAGCGGGAGTCCGACCACCACCACCGCATCATCATCAGCAGCAAATTCATCCACCCCAATGCTTGCCGATACGCTTCTCCACTCGCTTGCTCGGCGTGTGGGCAACGCTTCGCGGAAGCACACATCCGCGCTGACGGAGTTGCAGCTGAGCTGCACGTCTCCCTTGCGCCGTCGACCCAGCAAAGCGTTGGAACGAAACCCCACGTGGGCTGCTGCCGCACAATCCGCAGAGGAAAGCGGCCACCTGCTTCTTCTCATCTTTCTACGCCTACTTGTCCATCAACCGTTGACGCCGACAGATGCGGCGCAGATGGAGCGCATCTTGTTGAAAGGCACGTGGGACACGGAAGCACTATCTGACCCGAGCTCTTCCCTAGCGCCCATGTTGGCTGCCTACTCCCCCTCCGGTCTTCTCATCGCGTCTGCTTCTTTTCGGCGTGCTCTTGGTCACGAAGAGTATATGCTGCTCTCCGCTGCTGCCATCGATCGCCTGACCCGCTTCACGCCACCACCACCTTGTCATGATACTGCTTGTGGAAATGGACGCCGTCGCTGCGCAGACCTCCTTCGCTGGACTTCGTGGCCGATGCGCGTAGGTGAAGCGATACGAACGACACAGCAGCCGTCGCCGACGGCTTCTATTGTGGATGTTCTGCTGCTCACCGTCGGCGATGCCTTAGCCATCTGCGTGTGTTTTCCTCGCGTTTCCTTCAACGGCGAGGAGGAGGTGTCCCCTGCCGTAGCCACCGCCCTCTCTTTCGAAGGAGTGCAGCAGCTTCTTGAGCGTACTGTGACTATCGCAGACGAGCGCGACTCCGCCGGACGACAGGGCAATACGCCGCTGCTGCCGCTGCTCCGCTCATCATTGATGGACTCTCTTGTGCACGCATGCGCGCACAGCACGGCGCCCTACACACCTGCCTTCCATGACGCCCTTTTTGTAGCCACCGCTGTGGAGGAAGCGTTGGGCAGTCTTCACTTCAACGATGGCACTCATTCGTCTGCACTCCTGTGCGCAGCCAACACGGGGGTGAAGGAAACGGTGATGGGCGAACTCCATCGTCTCCTGCACGGCGAAGCACAGTCGTTAAAAAAAGATGCTTCGCACCTGTCACCTGAAGCTCAAGCGCAACTACCACCACTACCACAACAACAACCACAGCAGCAGACGCCGCTTCCCAGTCCCTCCGAAGCGGCGCTGAGTCGTGCTGCGGAACCACCGGCCGCGGCCATCCGTACTAAGTCGCGCAGCGGTCTGCACAAGTTATTCGCCTGCCTCCCGCTGCGAAGACGCAGCAGCCGCAACAGGGCGGGATCTCTGTTGGACAGCAGCGCCTACACGACGGAGTCGCTGCGGCGGACGGGCGTGCACATTCAGCGCCTTGAGGGTCCGAACACCACGGCATCGTCAACGCACAAGTCTGTAGAAAAGAATCAGCACTCCGATGCGTCACGCGCCGCCGCCGCCATGCTCGAGCTGCCGCTTGAGTGCATGCTGTGCTGCGTAGCTGCGTTGGTCACACGCAACGAGTTGGGTGCGCTGCGCCGAATGCACGAGTTGGGTCTGCACTCCTTCTTTTATCTTCAGCAAAACGTTGTACCTTGCATCAACGGCAAAAGCGCTAAGCCGCCCCTTCCAACGCGGCGAAGTACACCAATGGCATCAAGCAGCAACGGCGTGGGGCATGATTTAGTGCAAGGAGGCACCACCCCTTCTTCGCTTTCTTCTGTCAGTCCTCGCTTTGGTATTTCGTTTACGCGGCTCTGTCTGCAGCAGCCGCAGTGTCCGTCCGCCATCCTGCCGGATGAGTGGCGAGGCGTCGAAGGCATGCGGGACGGCGAAGGAGGTGAGCTAGCCTTCATGGAGGACCCAACGCTTACCTTGCGGCTTTCTATCAAGACACCATCCACCGGAGAGCACGACCGACGCACGCAGCAGTCTGCCGCAGTCACCGTGCTGCCCTGCTGGTCGATCCTTCACCTAACGCCTGTGGAGCTCCCCGAGGCGTCAAGCGACAGCGCAGGAAACAGACAAGACGAAGACACGGATTCTCTAGATGGTTCGCTCTCCAGTGTGGCGGACAACGATGGTGTGCTGGGCTCCTGCCCAGCGAGTGTGCACGAGGATGCCCAACTGCTGACGTCCTTTTGTTACGTGCTCACACGAAAGCTCCATCGGCGTGCTATCTGGTCGAGGAATCCACCAGCGGTGAGGGCGATAATGGGCAGTACGAGTGCGCGGGGTCGCGGCGAAGGCTTCTCACCAACTCGGCCAACATTTTCCTCCCCTTCTCCCGCCCTCGTTTCTGCGCTCTCGGAGACCGAAATGGGGAGCCCAACGGCCGACAAAGCGTGGGTGGATGTGGCAGCGGTGATGAACATTTGCGGCGACATCACAGGCGAAAGGGCAGAAGCCCTTTTGCACGCGTTGCAGAAACACGGCTTGCCCAAAAAAGCGAAGGCAACCGCTGATGGCAAAGTCGATGGCCTGCGAGCGCCGACAGGGGATGGCGATCCGATTGAATACGAGTACGTCGCTGGTGCCGGTGCGAAGATGAAGGAGCTGTTCCGCGAAGCATTGGTGTGTCAGGAGGCGGCCTTGCTGTTGCTCGAAGCCGCATCTTGCGATTAATAGAATAGACGTGAAACTATACCTTTGAAAAAAAAAAAACAAGCTCAATAGTATTCCCAAATATATCTCTGTAGTGGCTTTTGAGGTTTTGTAGGCGAGGCATTACTCCGCGTTACGCAAAGAGGCGAATTCATGTCCGTTACACAAACCGTCTGCTCACTATTTCTTCAAAGGTTGGTTTTTTTTTTGCGATCTCTTGCACATCTTCTGTTCTTGTGCGACGTTGTGAACCTTCTTCTCACAACCGACACACCTCTTTCTTTTCTTTGATGTTTCGTTTTCTTTTTTGATCCACATGCGTGACGACTCCAAATAATAATAATTAATGTTGTTGAAGCCAAACACCGTTAACCACTCCTGTGATGAGGACGAAAAGGGGAAAAAGAGACGCTGCTGAGTTGTAATCCCACCAAGTAAACCCAGAGAATCTGCTTCGTTGTTGCGTGCATTGAACAGTGTAAACAGACAAACAAACAAACAAAACTGTGCCATCGCTTTAAAAAAACGAAAGAAATGATGTTCACAGGATGGCAGCCCTGCCCAGCACCGCGGAGGAGCTGTACGAACTCGTCTGCACGCTTCAACGCGAACAGCAGTGCACTCAACTAGAATTGCGAGCCATTCAGCGGCGCAGTGAGGGTTTGAAGGAAGCAATTCAAGAACACCACGACACCGTGTTGGCGGAGCGTCGTAAGCGGCAGGATGTCTCACAGCAGTTAGCGGCTCTCCGGTTAACCGCACGCCGTCTGAAAGCTCAGGAAGAAGGAGCTGTGTGCGCAGCTCAGAGTGCCGTGAGCGCACTGCATGCGGAGCAAGAAGAGCTCTTGCAGACATGCCGTCGCAGGGCTCTCGATGGAATTGCCAACTCCTCCGGTGCACAACACGTCAACGACATTCAAGAGAGCAACGGTGGTAGTGCAGCAGATTTTTCTTCAAGGAAAGAGCATCGCATCGAAGAGACTGGTGACGGCCCGGCAGGCTCAAGCTCTTTCATGGCCCCCACGTACGCGTTTACAAGTGCTGTGTGCAGCGGAAAATGCACGTCGATGTATTCAGGCGCGGCTATTCACGCTCTCATGTCGTCGTTGCGTGCGAAGCTTACGGATTGCTTACACGCCGCTGCGACCTCGCACGCTTCCTGCGTCAGCTCCACGACGCAAAATAGCGGAGGTGCTGCTGTGGAGTTGCCTGAGGAGCAGCCCCGGCAGTCGTCGCAGGAAGCGTTGAAAGAAGGATCAATTCCACTGCCAACATCCGCCGCTGACGATCCATGCGCGAGAAACGGCAGCGATGACGCTCTTTGCTCTGCCTCGGCAGCGGGGCCCAATTGCACCCCATCCTTACCGTCCACTTCTGCGCCGCCTACCCTGACAATCAAGAAGCACATCGAGTTCGCACCGACGGGGTCGTTCCATCGTGTCACGCCAGTTCCGGCCGCAAACGCCAACCGGCTTACGCCATGCTTTAATCGTGGGGAGTCTTCCTGCCCCAGTGCAACCAGAAGGACGTCGGACAGTCGCGGCGGTTTCGGGCCGATACCCATTGCATCGGGTGTGAATGCCGGTGCGAGAAAGTTTACTGTCCGTGTGGCTTCTCGCTCCTCCACCCTTCTGGCGGAAGCGGCCGCACTGGGTGCGAAGCGTCGGCGCACCATTCAGCTCACCACCGCCACCCCGTCGAAGACAGCCACCAATGCAGCTGACTCAGGCCGGAGTAACTCACTTTTAAACCCTCCGAGACAATCTGCAGCCGATCCCCGCACAGACGACGTGTGCAATCCACCACCACCACCACACCCCAATGCTGCCCTTTTCCCGCCGGATGCAGCCGCGACGAGCTCTACAGAGCAACAGGGAAGCGATACAACACGTATCGCCGCCTCAGCAGGCCTTTCGGTTTGTGGTTCGCGAGTCTGCATTAGTGGAAACTCGAGGCCTCGACGAACGGTGTGGACGTGGACGCGTGATGCTGCACAGGAAAGACCGTGTTGTGATTCGTGACCTCTGCTTAGTTTCTTCTGCTTGACTTTATACTGTGGTTCCCTTTGTGTTTTCGCTACCACTTTCGACACAGTACTACCGTTTCTTTTTCTTTTTTTGTTTGTCTTTCATTGGTGATACCCTTCTGCCCTTTGTCTTCCCGCTGCTGTCTCATCCGAATTTTGAAATCACCGAATTAAGAAAAAAACCTGTTTAACTAGTACTGCATATTCTTATTCGGGTAGGCTGAAAAGAGCGTGCGGCTCCCGTTTACGACCCACTCAGCTACGGACATCAGATTACAGCTTTGGCTGAGCAATGCACGCATTTCCGATGTGAACAGCGCTCTTATGTGAAGGAAACTGCTCAACGGGCGTTCTGCGTGGTTTCCAACTTTCTTGTTTCCCTTCCCGCCTCTTCTCTCGGATTCTTTCTTTCACTTTTTCGTAAATGCTTTTGTTTCCTAAACCGACTCGTCGATGGCAACACGCTACTCGCGACATGCACGCCTTGTCGGTTACGAACGTATATAAAGAAAGGAAAACAACACGTCGGTACGAAGGTTTTTTTTAAAGGAAATTATGTAAGAGAAAAAGAGAAGGCGGGTTTCTGCGGCTTTTGTTTCCTGTGGAATATACAGCCTCTCCCTAAACAGCACAAGTGTTTTCTGTGGATTGCAATATCTTTTTTTTTGCCGGTGTGTGTGTGTGGGTGTGTGGGATTAACTCTTTCAAGCACTACTGCGATCTTCACTTTACTTTGTGTCTTGCCGTTGCGTTACTTCACTATCTTCTGCGGGTGCTTTTTCCTTTTTTCCTTTTTTTCTTCTCTGGCGAGTTTCGACATTACTGTACAACTTAACTGTGTATGAAAATTTTTGTTCCAAGTGAACCGTCAACAGGCGTGCTCTTCTCCACGGGCAGCGTAGATATCTTATATATATATATAAATCAACAGTGTTTTCATTAGCAAAGGAACCTCCCATTTCAGCGGGCTTCGAACCATCTTTCACCGCGAGCTGGTGAGCTTTGGTGAGTGCTGCACGCTCCCAGGTATATTTCTGAATTTGGAAAGAGGTGCAACGAACTCGTCAACGGAGAGGAAGCCATTGCGGTTCGCATCCCGCTTTTGGTGGCAGAGTTTCACGACAAACCCAAACAAGAGAAACGAACACCGAAAGAGAGGTTTTAATTCCATCCTAACTGGCATGGAGGACGGGAAAAGGAACTTGTATATATATCCCCAAAGGAGTCTTTGCTAAACGTAAAAGTGAGAGTGCACTTGATTCGTTAATAGAACAGGTAAACTGGACCTTTGCCGTCCACGTCACTTGAATTACATAGAGCTCTGCTCATTGTAGCTCTAGTTCTTTTTTTTTGCTGTTTTTTTCCCCGTTCTCCTTCGGTTCAACCAACTGGAGAGCAAGTATACGTGTATGCCATACGGTCGTACGGCAAATAAAAGAAAGAGAGAAGTGCATTTTGATTTATGCCCTTTTCATTTCTGTCATGATTGAGGAATTCTTTTCTTTTCGCTATTTCTGCTAGCTGGAGTCATTACACTCTTTATTTTTTTTTTTTTTTCAACTCCAGATTCTTTGCCGGCTTTTGGTCTCCCTTTTTTCCCTTTTTTCCTTTTCCCTTTTACTGTTGCTGGTGTTGTGGAAGTGGTCACGTTACTTGATCAAAGCGAGTTTTTTTTTTATGTTTTGCTTTTAATCCACGCGTTCTACGTGTTTCAATTTGCTGTTAACGAACTTAGCGTTTGAAGACGACGAAATTGTTTCTTGCTGGAGACTCACCGTTCACGTCACAACAGTATTTGGTTTAGAGAAGGCGTATTAGCATCCACGTTTCTCCCTCTTCTTTTTTCTTTTATGTTATAGATTGCACCACTTTCTTCTGCCTCCCTCTTTTTCTGTTCTTTGCAAGTGCAGCGTCGACAGCGTTTTTGTGCGGTGCTTCGAATTACGCTTCGACTTGAAAGCATTTTTGTTTTATTTGCTGTTTTTCTTTCTCCCTCGTCCTTCAGTTTTCTACTCTTTCTTTGCTTCCATCGCCCTTATTATTAATTCTTTACTCCTCCAAAAGGAATTCGTACTCCGTACTTCATTCAATTTGGCCTCTTTGTCGTTTTACTCTTCCTCGTCGACGGCGCCCATCTGCGTTTGAGCCTTCTTAAGGCTGCCGATATTTCCTTCTTTTCTTTTTATCTATTTGTTGTTGTCGCCGTGGCGCCGTGACGTGTAGCCTTCGAAGGCTTTTCCGCTTCCCGTTCTCAGAGGGACCCCGGGCGTCGTGGGCGTTCCTGTCGTGAGCTCCTTTCATGGAAGAAAGGAACTCAGAAGAAAAAAAGGAAAACATTTTGATGATGCACGTGACAACGTCCGAGACTGGCAGCCCATTAATGCCGTACATTCGATCCACCACTTCTTTTGCGACGATAACGGTGCCACATAGTGTATTCCCCCGTCCTATGCCGTACTTCGACGCACCGTCGCTCTCCACCTCGAGGGAGTTGATCAGCGGGATGACCAGTGCGGTGAACAGCGCCTTGCCCAGTGCGATGAACAGCGCTGTCAGCAATCAACGGCGCATTTCGAACCTGACTGGCGGTGACTCGAGCTCTACGGGGGCGCCTCCGTCCAGCATGACCTCCCGCCCCTGGGCGACCGCCTACCTGGGCCGCGAAGAGGAGCTCGACCACGCCGCGGTGGTCAACAACAATTACGACTCGCAGGCCACCTTGAAGGAGAATACCGGACAGACCCCCAGCCCCGAGGCTGTAGCCGTGCCGTCGACCACCGTCACCATCGCCTCCGTCTCGAATGCCGTCACGGCGGTCTCGCTCGCGGCGCACGAGAACTTGGTGCAGTGGCGTCGCCCGGTGCGGCCGGTGGTGTTTCGTGAGTGGTACATCTCCCGCTACTGCAATGAGCAGCAGGTGCGGTGGATAGAGAAGATGCAGCACATCTTTCGCCCCGTCGAGCCCCTTCTCGTGCGCTACTTTCAGCTGTGGAGCCTCACCGGCGAGGCGGAGTTCTTCACGCTTTTCATCCCGACAGTGGTCTGGCTCGGCACCCCGCTCGACGGCGTCCAAATCGCCTCGCTGCTCTGCATGGGGCAGTACGTGACGGGCACGTTGAAGGACTCGGTGTGCTGCCCGCGCCCGCCGTGCCCACCGCTGGAGCTGCGGGGCAAGCGCGAGACGCACGACAGAGAGTACGGCTTCCCCAGCACCCACTCAAGCCACAGTGGCGTCTTCTCATACTTCCTCTACTGCGAGCTGCTGCGGCTGTTTCCGGACCACGCCTTCCTCTGTTGGCTCGCCGCCGTGTACTACTTCGCCAACGTGAGCTTTTCGCGCGTCTACCTGGGTATGCATTGGATTGGCGACCTCATCGGCGGCTGGGTGGTCGCCTTCCTCAGCATCCTCTTTCACGTGGCGTTCTTAGATCGGTGGGAGTCCTACGTGCTGTGCTGGAGCCACCCACCGTGGTGGGCCTTCCTGCTCTTGTACATCACCTTCCACCTCCTCGCTATGGCCCACGCCACCCCGCACGACCCGTGTCCGTGCTACGTGGACAGTATGCGCTTCACCGGTGTCATGACGGGGGCCTGCCTGGGCTTCTGGTGGTTCTACACCATCTACGGTACCCTGTCCGCGCGGCAGAAGCCGGAACACCTGTGGGACGTCCTCTTCTCCTGGGGCTTCCTCACACAGTGGGTGATCTGCATGGTGCTTGTGTTTGCGTGCAAGGAGCTTTCTTCGATCATCGCAGAGAAGCTGCTAAAGGTCATGTTTAAGGCGCTGGCGGGCGCGTACGCGTCGAAGGCGCCACGAATGCTTCGTAATGCCTACCTGGCGGTGGCGAGGGCGGTCGGCTTGGTAACGCAGGGAAATGAAAAGGGCACGCGACGCTACATTCCGTTTACTGCCAACAACTCCTTCTCGTTTATGCGCGACGGCAGCTTCGGCGACCTGTCGGGTAACGACAGTACCACCGGCAACACCAATACCAATAGCAGCGGCGCAGCCGCGGTGGCGGTCGTGTCAAACCCGGTGCGAGGAGAGACGGCGCCGGTGGAGGAGCCGGATGGCTACCTAATCAGTCAGCAGGTGTGGTCGCTGCGTACGCACCGGCATTGGTGGCTGTGGGAAGTCCACAAGCGCAGCGTCTCGTACGCCGTCACAGGCTTTATGATTTCGTTCGTGTGCCAGATAATCTTGCGGGAGTTATTTGCGGTAGGGAAGTCGACAGGGGCGGCTACGGCGGCGCCAAAAACGTAGACGAGCTTTGGAAAAAGAAGACATTGCAGCTGAACACCATTTTTTTAAAATATCTTTTGTTCTGGGAGGTGGCGGCGTTGAAGGGACAACAAACGCATCGAAGGAGAGAGCGAGCGATGGCGGCGTCGGTTACCCTGTTGACCGCTGCAATGGGTGTGTGAATCGAATCTACCTGCAAGCGAGAAGTTACGAAGAGGAGCCACGTTCGTACTTATTAAGAAAAAAGTTGCGGTTGGCAATGAACCGAAGCGGTCTTTTTCGCTTGTTATAAGAAAACGACACGTACTCAACAGGCTGTCTTCGTATTTTCTCTTTCTCTTTTTTTTTTGCTGAATATGGCTCCCGTTTTCTCTTTTCTCTCCCTCACTACCAAACTACTGCTCTTTTCTCTCGTCGATTCGCAAAGCGCCTGTTCGTCACTTTGCTGTGGTTAGCCATTATGATTATGATTATTATTCTTATTACCATTACTTTTGAATGCAGCTGTTGCTCACACTCACTGAATCAGACGCCCATGCCTTCCTCAAGCGTGCGAGCTGGCGACTCCTTTTTTTGTTTTTTTAACTGCCCCTCCTCTGCAGCTTATTCGTTGCTTCCCCTTCCTCATGCTTCCCGACTGGCGGTGTCTCGTCTTGCTTTGTTTTCCACTTAAGTGCTTTGCTGTCCACGGTACACCACACGTGCCCCAGATTGTGTTGTACTACGCAGTTTGCCTTTTCACCTGTGCTTTCGTTTTTGCTGTGTTTTTTCTTTGCCTGTTCATGTTGGTTTCACAGAACGCCGCATCTATGTGATTCCGCGGTGCGTTGCTGGTTGTTCTGCGGCGCCATTGCATGGAGCGGCGCCGCTTAGCTTTTAAAAAACAATTGGTGCTTCGTGTGTGTGTGTGTGTGTGTGTGTTGTTATCCACGATTTCCTTTCTTTCTTTTTTTCTCTTTTCGTCCTCTTCGTCTAATTAGCAGGTCCACATACGTTTAAGTCAATTTTGTTTGCTTTGCTCTGCATCCACACGCCCACACCGCACTTCGGGTAAGCCGCGTGCTAACGCCAAATCCTGAAATCGCTCGTTTTTTGTGTTGCTGGTACGCGTGTGGCGGAAACTGACTTTAACGATTGCAGGATGGAAAGCACGTGTATATGCCATTTGGTTGGCGATTCTTTTTTGTTTTGTTTGGTTCGTCTTTTAGCTCCCCCTTTGTTCTGGCTTACAAGTTCGGTTAAAGGTCCTTGTGCGTAATGGCCGCGTGCTTGCGGGTGTCCGAGCAACACCCTTGCCGATCTCTCCCCTCGCTTATTCTTACCGATCGTGACGTTCGATGCCACGGCGCACGCAAGCAAAAACCAGAAGAAGGAATGATCATTGGCGGACCAAGAAAGTACTCACTGTATCGCTCAGCTCCGTAGCGCGTAATAATAATAAAAAATATATAATCTGCTTAATACAACAGGTAGTAAAGAGCAAGTCCCCCTTTTCTGTTTTCATGGCTTTGTTGCGATAAATCCTTCTGCTGTGTTTCACTGAGCCGTACCTGCGATGTTGCAACGAGGGATGCGGGTAACGTCATGGCTGACATGGATGTGGCAGCATCGAGGTGGTGTCTCCATGAGCGAAGTATGTAGGTATAGTATGTTGGCCCCCCCAAAAGACGATGCCATGTGTAGTGGGTAGTGATGACCAGATGCTGCTTTTGCTGCTCAATCGATGTATTTTGATGTGCAAAATTAAAGGTGAACAGAGGGCGGCGCTTTCACTTCAACGCCACAGCATCAACAAAACAAAAACATCAAAAAACAAAATGCAACAACGAGAAGTCATCAATCGACTGCCAAAAAGATGATGTTAAAGTAAGCACCTACGGCAGTTGTATTGGAACAAGTATCTACCTTTTAAAGCTTATTTTTTTTTTGAATTTCTCTCTTCTCTTTTATTTCTGCAGTCCACATGCGTGTGTTTCTCTTTATTTTTGTACTGTGCTCTGTAGCTTACGTTTCTGACATACACCGGTAGGCGCAGGCGAACGAGGCCTGTGAAAGTTATCCCTTTTCTTTCCTTTTATCAAGGTTGGGTAGGCTGTGCTGTTATTTGCTGTTCTTATGTTCCTTTGAGGGCTTTTTTGCTGTTGTGGAGCGCTTCCGTTGAACGCCTCCTCGGCCCTTCTTCGGGTTTTCCCATTTCTCTACCCTCTTCTATCAATTATTATTTTTTTTTGTTCTAGATTGTTTGCATTTTCGGTTCTTCCGGAAAAGGAAAATGGAGGCTGATGATGTGCAATTAACTTTTTGCTTTCTCCGCACTCGTGGCCGCCGTTGATTTTAAAAAGGACCACTCTATTTTTTTTTTTTAAGTCCTTTAAATTTTGGCTTTCTGTTGTCTGTGTTGATTCGTCTTCGCTTGGCTTCGTTGCGTAATGCGTAATACGGACTCGTTGTCCCGGCGGGCACGAGGCGTGTGCCACCTCTAGGTGCCCTGTTGTGGCATCTTCAAGGAAGAAGGAAGAATAAAGCCATGAGACCGAGACAACGCACAACAGCAAAAAGGCTGAGCCGAGGAAAAAGGAAAGGAGAATCAACACCGGCAGGAACTCGATAAAGAGGCAGCAGTAGAAGCATGTGGACGACGTTTGCGAGGAAGGTGGCGGCGCACACGTGTCGATGGCAGCTGCTGTGCTCTTTGGTGCTGATTTCTTGCAGGTCCTTTTTTCTTTCTGTCGTGCGTTCTTTTTGTGTTCTGACGGATTCGCGGAGGTGAAAGAGCCGATTGAAGGCGACTGCGAGTCGCATTTATGAATGCAACTCTTTGGCATCGATTTCCTTCTGCACGCCAAACGAAGCATCTTTTGTTGTTGAATGAATTCAGCAGAGTCACGCGCTTTCTTTCCTCTCTTCTTTTTTTTTTCTTTCTCGCTTTTCTCTGCTGCATTGCAGCAAAGTGCACTCCTTCACCTTTCCACACAAAGGACGATAAAAGAAACGGCAAAACGCAACGAGGTGACGGTGTGCACTGCGATCCACCTTAGCACGCAGCAGCCATGCTCCACACCACCACCCCCACCCTGGCGTCCGCCGCCAAGGGGTACATGAACCGCGTCATGGTGTACGCCCATCGCCGTCGCAAGGCCCGCTACCTCGCCCCAAAGACCGCCCACGTCCGCTCCCCGCTGGCGAACAAGACGCCGGAGGAGTACGGCAACACCTGGGACCCCCGCTCAGGCGTGGAGTGGCACAATCGGCTGCGGCACCGCGGGCACTTCAAGCACTGGCCCTGGGCCCGCTGGACCGACGACCCTATTCGCTTCCACCAAGACGGCGTGTGTCGTCGCACCGTCTCCGCGGCGAACGCGGCGGCCAACGAGGGCATGCCGGAGTGGAATTACTACGCCGAGGTGGGGCAGGCCTACGCGACGCCGTCGCACTTCCCCATGTCGTACACGGCACCCTTTATCTATCAGTACACCTCTCGTTGCTGGACGCGTGAAGAGCTGCAGAGTTACCTCGAGCGCATCGAGCAGGAGGCGGGCCTTCGCAGCATCGCCGACGTCGCCGCCAAGCGCGACGTGCTGTATAACTGGTGGCACCACTCCGCCATGGAGTCCATCCCGCTGGGCGTGCTGCAACACCTGGAGCTGGTGGCGGCGGACATCGTCGAGCAGAACGCGCAGCAGTCCTTCCGTGCGCTGCAGCACGAGTGCGGAGTTCTGCGTACGCGGGAGATGGAGCGCTACTACGCCCTGCCGCATCTGCGTGGTCCGGCGATGCCGGTGGCACTCGCGCAACCGTCCGGCAAATACCCGACCGGCAAGTTCACCCAGATGAATGGCGACGTCAAGATTCACCCCTTGCAGAGGCCAGATGGGCGGTACAAGCATAACATGTACCCTGCGTAGAACCGTGCCCGCGGCTCTCTCTTCTCTCTTCTTCTTCTCTTTGTTCACAGTCACGTCGCTATATTTTTTTGGTGTTGTTTGCGTGTTGATGTCCAGTTGTAGCTCTTTGTAAGAGGAGCATTTTTGCGTGTGTTGTGGGCGGTGGTGCGGGTGCTTAGGCGTGTGTTTATCACACTGTTAGACGAACTCAAACGGAGTATCGATGTCCGATCGACGGCAACAAAGGTCGACCAAGAACAACTCTGAAGCTTCTGCGGCGCGTCTCGTGAAGGCACACGTGTTTCTTATACAAGCGTTTACACTTGAGCCAAAAGCGCCTTCCACAATTGTGCCTCTTTTCTGTTTGCCCCCCGTCGTGGCAAATGACGATGAAGTTTCCGAAGTCACGGAGACTGCCGTCTTCGAAACGCTTTCTTTTTTGGTTTTCTTGACTTGCCAACCTCATTGGATGAACCTGCTCCATTGCAGCGCAATAACAGTAAAAGAACATAGTTACTCCCTTCGGCCTCTTTCTCTCGCTCTCTTCTGAAACGCTTTAGTATCTTGTGTGTTCCTTTTTTTCTTTATCTGCTTCACTGTCATCGTCAGCATAGCTGGAGCGACAGCGGTGCGTGCATTGGCTGCGGTATGGTGCACAAGTCTGCTGAACCCTTTTTTGCTTTTCAAATATAAACGCAGTCTTTCCTTTGTGGAGGTCATCACCCCGAAGTCGCATTGCACAGTTGTCGCTGTTTCTCTCTCTCTCCGAGATTCATTCCCAACTGTTGCGGTGTTCGCGGCGGCTCTGTTGGTGTTGAAGATCTTCTTCTCTTTCTCTTTTCTTTTCGTTTCTTTTCTGAAGTACAGCTTATCCAAAGAAAAATATGTGGGGTTTCCTGAGCGATGTGCGGGAGTCGGTGCGGCAGGTGGTGGCGCCTCCGCCGGGAGCCGCATCGAGCAACGGCAACAGCGGCGGCGGCACAAGCGGCGCGGCAAATGCGAGCCGCATCGAGGAGACCGTCAGCGGACTCACCGCGCAGCTTTTTCGGCTCTGGGGTAGGGTGAACAGCACGGCATCGCATGCGCTGCATGAGGCCTTCGACGAGGCAGTGCCGCTCAGGGAAGAAAGCGTCCCCCCTCTTTTTACTCTTTCTGCCGAGCAGCGGGCCGTGCTGTCCACGGAGGAGCTTCTGAGCCTGTTGGCCGACGGTGTACGGCAGACCGCCGATCGCGCTCGCTGCGCGCTCGACGAGGCGAGCTTCCTCCTCGACCTCAGCATCGAGGAGCAAATCGCTCACACGGACGACTACGTGGCGTGCTACGAGTGGTGGGATCGAGCGGTGAATAGACGACTGCTGACGTGTCAGGGGATTATCCAAACGCGTCTTACACCGTCGGAGACGTCCGCCGAACAGGGCGTCATCGTGGCGCGCCTGGCGAGGCAGATGGAGGCGATATGGCGGGACTCAACGCAGCCGATGGCAGCCGTGGCGGCGAGGGGTCGTCTTTTGAAGGACGAGCGGTACGACTTACTCCGTTCCCTACCGGCCACGTTTCAAGCAGAGGCGGAGCCGACGGCGAAGTCCGCGGGTCTTGGACATTCGAATGTCGACAGCGCTATCACCGCCGCTGCTGCCGCCGCCCCTCCGAAGCCGTACGTGCCGCAGTTTAAGCCGTTCGACGCACAGGCCGTGCCTCGAGACCCCACGGCACCTCTCCCCGCGTCGTTGCAGATGGCTACCTCGACGACAGCTCCGCCAGTAGATGGGGAACGGAATGAGGGCGACCACCAATCCGTCGCAGCAGCGGCACCATCTGCGTCCGTGCAGCCGCGTGAAGCCGCTGAGGAGCAGGCCCGCATTGAGCGTGCAGCCGCTGAGGAGCAGGCCCGCATTGA